CTAAACGTACTAAAAATAAATTTACGAGTTCGCGCGTTTAACATTTACAATCACAACGTAATAACTGGAAACTTAATTAGGAATGAAATGAACGAGACACGTTTGCCGTCCGAATTTTCATTTGAAACACTTGAAGTTGCTTGCTCGTTTTATTGCCGCCCTAATGAGCTGTATACATTGTATCGCAATCAAACGTAACTGTTAATTTTATTGTATAATAATTTACGACATATCATATTATTGCATCGTATTAGCCTGTTATTCAGATAGGTTGTAATATTCACAGTCAGAAACAACGCGAACGCCCACGCCACGTTTAGACGATAATGATCTTGGAATCGGCGTAGGTCTCATTATTTTGGTATTGCGTTCCTCGAGTCGAATTATTAAACTATTGAAATACAGAATGTATTTGCAAAAATACTGCGTCACTGAACCCGAAACTGTATGCGTGATCATACGTGTCAATGGAGCGGACTCTGAAATTATGTAAACTGTGCAATCTTATGAACTATATAGGCAGCGCGTCCTTACCGAAAAAGTTTGACAGAAAAAAAGAAAACATTTGTTTAATACGCTTTTATTAGAAAACTGTGCAGTATCATGTAGCCGGCTAATGTATGAAGATATGTGAACAACCTCTATTGATTCAATCAGATATGGACATCGGTAGAAAGTTAATTTCAAGAGGAAATTCTTAACGTTACTCATCGACTTAAGTGTTTTAGATGATAAGTTTTGTATGAGTACTGTAGCGTACTCACTTTTAAAAAAGAAACATGAAGAAAAACAATATAAAAATATAACATGGATTTATTTTGTAAACAAAGTTCATGAAAACACATAATCGTAAAAAACATCTTTTTTTTTCCTTCCAAACATACTTAGTGATAATAGCTTTGTGTAACATCTAAATCATCGACATGAAAACTCGAAGGAATTTCGATCTTAATCCCTGACTTGCCGTTAGATTTTATTATGAGAAAACAACGTGCATACAACAATCTTTATATAAAATTATTTTGATTTATGTTCCAACGTAGTTGATCTTTGTGTTTTATTGACCCGCGGAAGAGTTATGGTGGTTTAGTTTTAAAAGACATCCGTCACTAATTGGGCCATTTATAACTAATTATTATTATAATGAGTAGCGATCAGTAATATTCACTTTTATTAGCGAGAACTCTTTGAGACATTATTTCAGGATGTCTAATTAATACCATGGCGAATGGAAATTAATCGTCATAATTCTCGAATTCTAGTTTCGTGCGTTAATATAATTTATAATTGAGACTCGCGTCTTGATGTTTCGTTGCGATCATTTTTCTTCGTTGTTTATTTCAATGATTTATTTGTCTCATAAGGTCTCGGTTCCGTATTATATATAACGTTAATTGGTTTTATTTTTGTATGCGATCTATTTGTTGTTTTAATTATTTCGTAACAGTATTCGGGACGTTTGTACTTTGAGACTTTTAAAATGGATTACTAGTTTAATCAAACTTACCGTGTGACCAAATTGAATCCTAAAATAGAAGGTTTTTTTTTAATTGCTTTTATAGGCAGACGAGCACACTGAGTGGTTACCGTCACCCTTGGACTTCAGTAATGCCAGGGGCAGAGCCAAGCCGCTGCCTACCGCTAAAAGGTGTAAGGGGATGATGATAATTATTATTTTTGGGTTCGAGTTTGTTGATTTGAATCGAAATAACAATATTTACGTTTGATACATTAAGAGCGTGCACGTAGCTGCCGTATGGTTCGCGTCTCGGCCTCTCGACGCGCCGCCGCCACATTCGCTCGCTACTGCATCGTGCACACTTCCGTCTTCCATGTTCGTTCCTATCAGTGTTGATTAATAACAAACGCGGCACCTGTTTCATTCGCTTGTTCTATTCACTGACAACACAACATAACGTTACGATTCCTTTTGTCAGGTGTTGACTTCGTTTCTATCGTCATCAACGCTTATCGGTTACAGAATCCCATGGATCTCACGATTTTTTTTTGTTTTCCTACCTAAGCTGATAGCCTTGAGAGGCCATGTTAGCGTAACCATAACGTGTAGGTGAGCTCTCGGGTCTCAAACCAGGAGGCGTTGCTAACACTGGCCCTAGCAAGAGCAGTGCTACGTAGAATCTACCACCGGATCGGAATCGCGACCCACTGAGAAGATCTGCCGAGAAACTCAGTGGGCCTTCACAATAATAACATCGTCAGGTGTTGAATACAAGTAATTTTTTTAAATGCATTATAATTTCACTACTTCTTGTATATGTTAACCTTTTATGAGTGGCTTACTTGAAGACAACTCATAAATAAAATAAAAAAGCCAAGCTCAACTTTGTACATACCATTTAAAATGTATAAATTTTATAATTGTGTGTTTCTGTGTGCGATTGTGAATTGCTGTCGACTAATATTGTATATTTTATCACTTACTTCGCCTTGTCATAAATTACGTTACGTACATAACTGAGGCTTTCGAAATGCACGACCCGCATTTAAAACTACAGTTCCTAAATCAAGATTTTACGATGAAGTTCAGTCGGAGCTTTGTAGAGCAAGTCTCAATTATTTGTGTGAACAACCAAACGTTTCGCTAGGACGATTACTTAATTATTAATACTAGTGGTCCCGCAGTAGTCGAAATTCGACTATAATTAATTGAAATTATAAGTTTCAACCTGTTTCAACATTATTATGGTCCTATTGTTACACATTTCGCCAAGACTACACTATAAACAAAAACTCCGAATATTAAAGATAAACAATACTAACCTATTCTCAATTTGACTACAGACTTTAATTAAAAACAAAAGTTTGACAATAAACAAAGAGTATATGTGTGTGTCAAATACACGGTAATGTGTGTAATGGTTTCTTTATTGATTTAATGAATATTTTATGCATTATTTAAAAAAAAAAATTAGCATTGTGTACTCTTCTGTATTCTCTATAAGTGTGGAAAATTTCATACTACTCCGTCCGCGCAATTTTCGTATAAAGGGATACAAAGTTTTTGCTTTACGTATTAATATATCGATTTCATGTTTGAAATTTATGCGACCCCTTTCTGAATTGAAGATGAGTCGTTTCTTCTCAAAACGGTTTTTTACAAAAACGAATTTGTCTGAAATATTAATGATGATCTCGATATGGACGCGACAACATGAACGAACTTTAATAAACTTTTGAATAGGTTATCAAATTCAACGCATTTTATTAGAACTCATCATGTCGGATCCTCCCGATCCACTAACGGTCCTTTTAGGTACCTCAAGCACGGGTGGTAGATTCTGCGAAGCACTGCTCTTGTTAGAGTTAGTATTAGCTACTTCGTCAGGTTTGAGCCCCGTGAGCTCGCCTACTCATCCGGAGAATCTGGTATAACACCTCGAGGTAACTAGAATAGGTAGAAAAAAAAATTAGAACTTCAACACACAATAATCAATTTGTTGTATTATACTTTTGAAATTAATAGTAATAATAAAAACAAGACAAGACCAGTAAGTGCTTACGTTAAAAGTTTTAATAAATAACGATACTTAAAGAGTCGAACGGATACCTCAGCGTCTAGACATTTTTCCATGAACGCCCATCACAATGTATTTGCATCGAATGATACGTTGGTGATTTAAAATAATATGAGTTGTCTACATAAGGCCATAGTCGTTATGGCTGACGACGCTCATAACAATTACCTACCATCGGCCTTTTATTACTTTACATGAATTTTTACTCGTGATTTTATAGCAATTTCACTAACGACATTGGTATCCTGCATCCCGGGAATGACGAATCAATATTTTGTGACCAGAAAAAATGGACAGTCCATTATTTGAGAATTATTATTTTCGGCCTTTTTGCTTCTAAATTCTGTGGCAACAAATCTTAATAGACAACTTTAATAGCTTCCTAGAATACTGTTTATCAAACGTCTTCCGTAAGAATATTCAAATCAGAATATCAACATTTTAAATAAATTTAAAGTACCTTTATGACATTCGCTTAGAATTGACCATTTAAGATACATATTAATATCTAGTTTCGCCAGCCCTTAATTTATGATTATACTCTGTTAAGTTTCTACCGGAATATAAGAAAATATTTCTACGTAATTGAAATTTCCTTCTTGGATTGATTAAATACGTCAAGACGATAGTTCTAAAACTAGAAAATCCTGATTGTATGTGTACACAATAATAATATGTAGATATATCTTAATACCACGATACATTCATTCAACCACGATTCTTAAAATGAATGATGTTAGTGTTATCGGTAAGATGAAATATTATGAGTCAACAAGGGTGAACGTGTAAATTCCGGTTCGGGCACGTGCTCTAAATGGATTTATGTCCCCTCGTACAATTTACGTCAATATCGACCACCATAACGTGTCTCCTTTAATTCGGATTTACGCAGCCTTTGATTTCGGGTCCGAGATTAAATTCCATTGTGAGGCTGAATCACAACGGCGCGACATTCGACACCGCTTATTGTTGATATACGACACCGTGCATCTGTTGCGGAGATTTCACCGTTAGCGATAGTGATCGTGTACGTGGATCAGGACGCAGGAGGCACGTACCTCGTTTTCTTTTTTTTATGATTGTAGGATTACTGGTGGCCCGGAGGCCTTTCCAGTTTCACCAGGACAGGTGGGCGAGCAAAGGCTCAGCCAAGAGGTGTGGGATTTGCTAACAGCCGCCCGAGCGACCCGCTGAGAAGATCCGGCGAGAAACTCAGCGAGCTGATTCATGGGTTAGGTTGCACGTCGAACTCTTTGTCGAGTTCGATGAGTACGGTTACTGGGGTCCCTAAGCCTGCTCCTAGTGTTAGAGCTGAAGGCGTCTAATGCAAAGGTCATTGGATCTGATGACCTCGTTTTCTTCAGCTGTTCTAAGCAATATCAACCTGCCTCAGTACCTCATTAGGTCTTCAAATTGTATTAGCGTAAAACAACCTCGGAATAACAACTTTTTTATCATTCGCAGGCGGAGCTGGTCGATATGAGGGCGGAGCTGGTGCAGGCTAGAGCGGCATCGGCTGGTGAGTTCTCGTGTTTATCAGATCTCGTACAATACAAATATGTATGTACAAGCCCGTATTGAATAAGGCACGACCCACGCAAAAGTACTGTTAATGCCTTATAGAGGACAATGGTACATTTGAAATTTTGCTAACATTATGCTAATATTAGTTTAGGTTATATTTATGAATAACATATTGCTGTGATGTTTACGTGTTCAGTTCAGTGACTTTTTTTTATAAATCTTCTAAAGTTTCTTAATGAGGCCGCAATTAATATTTTAGTGATTTTTTTCTAAGGTTTAAGTGAGGATAATAATCTCTGATGTTTTTGAGTTGGTGCAGTATAATAAGTGATAGGTTCTCGCAGGCTATTTANTAGTTTAGGTTATATTTATGAATAACATATTGCTGTGATGTTTACGTGTTCAGTTCAGTGACTTTTTTTTATAAATCTTCTAAAGTTTCTTAATGAGGCCGCAATTAATATTTTAGTGATTTTTTTCTAAGGTTTAAGTGAGGATAATAATCTCTGATGTTTTTGAGTTGGTGCAGTATAATAAGTGATAGGTTCTCGCAGGCTATTTACCTATTACGTGAGAAATAATAAACTTTCAAAATTAGGTTGCGCATTGAAACGTTCGTCCCAGTTGATCTGATTTAAAGCCCCTTTTTCTTTTCTTTTCTCAGGGTGTCTAGAATCTGGCGATACTGCCGGAAATGTTTTAGATGCAGCACGCGCTAGGTCGGAAGCTGCGCAACTTGCGAGAGAAAATGCGGCTCTGCGTGAAACCGTACTCGGATTACATTCGGAACTATTTGGCGCCAGGCGAGTGTTCAATTATAATTTTATGTGACCCCTAGTTAGTTTGCTAAATCTCTAGGTGTTTCAGTATAATCTTACGTCCCACTTAGATTTAAAGCATAGCCGGAATCTCTAAGACCGTACCATACCACAACGTGACGATCGGTGCATGCCTTAAAGCAGTGGCTCCCAAATTTATTTTGTCCACTGCCCACTACATTGAGAATAAATAATTTTTTAATGCCCCCATTTTTCAGTTACTTGAAAACCACAATAGCGAGAGCTCTGTCGGTGCCTAAGACTGACTGTAGATGAAATCGCCTCCCAAGCCTCTATACAACGCCCCCTTTTTTTTCTAAGTCTCTTACCGCCCTTCTTTAGTCCTTTGGGAAAGGTTGCCTTAAAGCATACGTGAAAACCTCAATTGTATTAGAATAATAATAATTGGGAACAAATCACACACGATCATTCGGCCTCAGTTTAGAACTCGGTGTTATGGGCACCAGAAACTGACAAATATACTTATATACGTTTAAACTCGTACGTTTAAAGGCATACTCGTATATATATATATATATATATATATATATATATAATGATATTGGATACTCCAGAATAAATAAACAATAAAAGACTTAATTGCGTTTTCTGTTATGTGTATAATGAGAAAACAACATTTAAAGCCCTTAATTTAATAAAATTATTATATTAACAAACTGAACTTTCTTTTTACTTAATGTCAAACTTCACTGAATGACATTTAAGAAAAATCCTTTTTATAAAACTAAAGAGTTTNGAATTCCTTAGAAATTTTGTTTAAATTTTGAGTTTCCGTTTTATTTATTTTTTCTTCAAGCATTTTTTCTAATAATTTTTCAACGTTCTGATTCGAATCGTCAATTATAGACTTAGCATTGCTCTCCGAAATTTCTTCCAAATAAAAATCATCAAATTGTAAATTTTGATCCTCGTCTAAATAAATTCTTGACATATCATTTGTCAAAGTAATCCATACTTTTCTGGTTTGGTGTCTTTTGTTTAAAGATTTTTTTACCTTTGCATAATTTGAAGTTTTTGTAATTTCTTCATGAAAGTTGGCATTTTGATATTCGGTTGGTATCCCAAAAATCTGTCCATCAGGTGTAGCAATTGAAGTTATGCATATAACATTTGATTTTCCATCTTCCGTTGATTTCACAGCAAAATCAAACCTTAATTTTTCCATTTTATTCATGGTGTTGCAAAAAATGTTGTTTTATAATGATATTGGGTACTCCAGAATAAATAAACAATAAAAGACTTAATTGCGTTTTCTGTTATGTGTATAATGAGAAAACAACATTTAAAGCCCTTAATTTAATAAAATTATTATATTAACAAACTGAACTTTCTTTTTACTTAATGTCAAACTTCACTGAATGACATTTAAGAAAAATCCTTTTTATAAAACTAAAGAGTTTTAGACTATGAAGGTTTTTCTTTACATATATATTAGTAAACACCCAGACAAAGAAAATCAAACCTGTCCATCACATAATGTTAGCCCGAAGTGGGAATCGAACCCACGATCCTTGGCGCAACAGTCAGGGGCGCTAAAAACTGGTGGTAGGACCTCTTGTGAGTCCGCGCGGGTAGGTACCACCGCCCTGCCTATTTCTGCCGTGAAGCAGTAATGCGTTTCGGTTTGAAGGGTGGGGCAGCCGCTGTAACTATGCGGAGACCGTAGAACTTATATCTCGGGGTGGGTGGCGTATTTACATTGTGGATGTCTATGGGCTCCAGTAACCGCTTAACACCAGGTGGGCTGTCAGCTCGTCCACCCAGCTAAGCAATAAAAAAAAAATTACTGCACCACCGAGTCAGAATAAAGACTTCAGATAGTGACGTTCCGCCTCACGGCCGATATGAACTAGATGCTGTCAACAACTCGTGCTTCGGTCTTCCCCTTCTGGGGAGCCCGGAGCGGGTGAGTATCATAAACAAGTGCCGCGGCTCCTCCTCTGGTTTGTAGAGGTGGGGCCGCGGCAAAGGGCTGCTGGCGGGCCCCGGTTTCCTGCTGACTGTTGTCCCTGATGTATATAGTAGTCATTAGTTAGTTGTAGTTAGCCTTAGTTAGTTAGTAAGGAAGAAAAAAAAATCAAGCAGATGACAACAGTTGGCGCCGGGTTGCATCCTCCTCGGCCTCCATCCTGCCGCTGACTCGAGCCCAGCATCGTATTATGTATAAGTATATATGTCGATGTGGAGTGCGCCGAACGCGCATGCGAACGCCCCCCCCCTCCTCTCAGTCCTTTCTGCATCATTTCACCCCTGCCCTACGTGGCAAGGAGCTTCTGCCCGGGCAGTGGAGTTCGCCCCGAGGCCCGTTCCGTGCCCCCGTAAGGGGGTACAACGACCCCTCTTTTGCTTGCAACAGGTGCAATATGCAATATTTTAATAATTGATAAATACAATTTCAGATTAGCTACAAAATACCTCGATAAAGAACTCGCCGGCAGAATACAACAGTTGCAGTTATTAGGCAGAGATATGCGAGCGGAAGTCAGGGATTCGCTTTGGGCGCAGGTATGTACCAAGTTTATTTTATTTACTCTCGTTGTCGGTTCTAGTGGGATTTCGTACTTGATTTTATTAAACTAGCTTAAGAACTAGACATTACGGTATTCTAAATATAGTTGAGAATCTGATGACAATAAAATATTTTGTAAATGTTGAAAGCGTATTGATAATGAAGCTCGTAATCATGTTCTCTGTTTATTGTTTACAATTTGACCATATGTGAATTAGTATAAAAATCAAGTAGTAAATATTCAGACTGTTAGTTCTGTTATAACAGTATGATCTCCAACAGGTGGAGGCTGAAATCTTACTACAGAGACACAAGACCCTGGTCCGCGTGTGTCGCGGCGTGTCCCCCCGGCCGGCGCGTCCCCCCGCTCCCCCCGCCTCGCCTCCTGCCGCGCCGCCAGCCCCCCGCGCGCGCCCCCGCACCGTGCGGGTGCGACGCTCGCCGCATCTAGGCCTGGGCATCTCCGTCACTGTACGTACAGACATCTCTTTTAGTCTTCGATCAATAATAGTACTAGATTAAAGATCAGGAACAAAAATAAGACGCTCCAGTGGCCACGTTTCCAGACACGAAAACATTTTCATTTCTTAGAAAAAAGTTTAATAATGTTAACGACTTCAGTTTATTCTAAACCTTAATACTTAAACATAAAGTTTAATTACCATTGCAAAATATATGTATTTAGGTCCTTTCGTCAGAAAAAGAATATTATGGAATAAATTTAAAATGTCACTTGAACATAAAAAGACATCAGTACAAAAATATTTATTCTAAAATGATACTTAAAGCGTAATTTATAAGGTTAAAAATATTTGTTTAAAATTTCGTGCTTATTGTATTGTGGAACTAGATGTAGTTCTTGGTATTACATTTCAATGCTCAGAACACAGTAAGTATTGAAAGACATAAGAGTTGCAGAATATACATATTTGTTTTAGGTTTGTTTTGTATGGTCGCAACTATTTTTGACCGATTCAAAAAAGTAGTAGATAATATTTTACATTGCCGCTATTACAACAAATAGGTGATAAAAAATAAAATTAAATAAAGTAAAAAAAATATGAAACACGATACATGTTTTCCACGTATTCTTTATACAGAAGTAATTAAAACAATAATGTAGGTTTAATTACCTTTAAACAGATTCAGTTTGTTATAAAGCTGTCTTTTAGAAGTCATTTTTATATGAGCGGTTTCTTTTTTACAAATATAATGTAATCTTATATCAATGAATTTTTCTATAATCAGTTTAATTTAGGCTTATTTTATGGCTGTGTTCGTTTCCCCCAGAAAACAAATCCTTTTCAGCATATACGCTTAAAATATTTACACATACATATAAAGTTTTTTTAATACTTTTTTGCATTGATTTGCCACCACCATTGAACAATTCTAGAATTTTTATAAGGGTTCTATATTTCTTCTCCTCTTTCTTTCGCGACAATATATATCCATTGTGCACAGCGACAAGGGGCTACTAGGAAATCTACAAACAAAAATAACATTATAAAATAACAAAACTACTCTATGCATTCCCTGTTCAAGAATTGGTGATGTTTGTTACAATAGTTGGAGCCTTGTTGCAAACATTGGCCAAACAATTACGTTATTCGTAAATTGTGTTTTATTTACAATATAATTGTGTTTATTATTTTATGAAAAACACTTAATAATATAAATTTACCAAAAAAAGATATTCCTTCCAAAACCTTGGTGTTACAGTGGTTTTTTACTCAGTTTTTGAACGCGCATTGCAGCGTTTTGACGTCTTAGTGTTGGCTATGATTGGACCATACTAATTTGAAATAAGACCACAAATTTATTTGTGGTCTTATTTTTCGGGCCGTTTTTGAAGCGCTAATCGCGAATCTAGTAGTATTATTGATCGAAGCTTTTAGTACAATTAATATTACTAGTGGTCGTCCGGTGGTCGAAATTCTACCATAATTTAAATTATAAGTTTGAACTTTATTATACTTCTGTTGTCACATTTCTATAACTATCATTGTTCTATAAACGCAGATTTCGCCAAGGCGACATTACAGACAAATAATATTAAAGACAAATAATATTAATCTATTCTCAATTTGACCAGAGATAGATAAACAATAATCAAAAGAGTATAAATGCGTGAGTGTATGTGTCAAATACATGGTAGGGTGTGTAATATTTTTTTATTGATTCAATGTACTTTACACGCGTAATAAAAAAAAAAAGTTAGCATTCTGCACTAATCCACTATATTCTCTATAAGTGTGGTATACTTCTCCGTCCGCGCAATTTTCGTAAAAAGGGGTTCAAAGTTTTTACTCAAGTTCTCACAACGAACTCCTGGTATGTCTGCGCCATCTAATCGGGAACGATGGCAAAAGTACCTAACTGACAATAAGACATCTCAAACCGGAAAGTGAAGTAGCAGTGGTAGCGATGCGAATCCCGCAGGCGGGTACCAATTTATCTAATGAAATACTTACTTAACAAGTGTTCACGATTGACTTCCACGGTGAAGGAATAACATCGTGTAATAAAAATCAAACGCGCAAAATTATAATTTGCCAGATTATTGGTGGTGGGGCCTCTTGTGAGTCCGCACGGGTAGGTACCACCACCCCGCCTATTTCTGCCGTGAAGCAGTAATGCGTTTCGGTTTGAAAGGTGGGGTAGCCGTTGTAACTATACTGAGAGCTTAGTACTCATATCTCAAGGTGGGTGGCGGCATATACGTTATATATGTCTATGGGCTCTAGTAACCACTTAACAACAGGTTGGCTGTAAGCTCGTCCATCCATCCCCGTCCATCAATGCAATAAAAAAAATGATTAAAACTTTTTTAAGTTTCTGTAAAAAACGTAAAACTGCTTTAAAATAATTTAAATGGCATTGTTTGATATTAGGGCGGACGAGAGCACGGGGTTCCGATACTGATCTCCGAGCTGGAGGCTGGGGGGCCGGCCGCACTCACCGGAGAGCTTTACGTCGGAGACGCCATACTCGCCATCAACGACGTCGATCTCACGCAGGTACACAGCGAGCTGTGGTCTGCACTCTGCAGTCATATCGCCGCGCCTCCTACCAGACATAAAACTTGTAGCCGCATAATTGTAATTAATATATGTAAAAAAAAACCTTTTTCATGTAATTTTTATGTAAAACCTTTGAAACTGCCTTAAAGCAGTAATGCGTTTCTGTTTGAAGGGTGGAAGTTGTAGATGTCTATGGGCTCCAGTAAGCACCAGGTGGACTGTGAGTTCGTCCAACCATCTAATCAATAAAAAATAATGTACAGAATTTTTTTTATGTCATTTTTATGTAAAACTTTGAAACTTTTTAGTTAAAAAAAAAAAAAAGATTTTTCTTATATAGGTTGATTGAACACTCTGTCATTGATAGTCCAGTCATTTTAGGCCAAATTAGGTGCATATTTCGGAAAATCGACATCGAAACACCTAGTATATTACCACGTAAAAACTTGTATTTTGGCATCCTGAAACTATTTTCAAAATTCACGTATAATTGGATGGTCGCAAGTTTTAAAGTTAGAGGTCAAAGGTCACAAAATCGATTAAAGGACAATGCCCATTTTCTTAGGGCGTTTGGGCCCCTAAAAAAAGTTGTCGGGTCATGATGGTTTTAACTTAATTTGATAGACAAAGAAATATCGTTTCATATTCAGAAAACGATTTTTATATTCTCTCCCAGGTTTAAGAGAAATCTGTTTTTTTCTGCAGCTAAAATTAAGTTGTTAATTGTTTTCTTCGAAATCAATAATCGCTCTCGTCATTATTTACAGTATTAAATAAGTTAATTGTGGTTATATTGCTAGAAATAAGCCCTTACGTACATTTTATTATTATTATATCCTCATAATAATAATAAAATGAAATGAAAATCCGGAAGCCGGCAACGATATTGTTGTTGTTGTTTTTACATTCGCCAATAAGCAGGCAAAGAGCGTAGCCTATACAGCCTAGTCTGTCGTAGTTTATCTCTTTTTATTGCTTTTTGGGAGTTTTGACGTCAACTCGATGAATAGCACATTGAGTGAGCGTGAATTTCCGCAGACCTTTTATCTTGAAAAAAGAAAAAAAACAGTCACTGCTATGTTAGCCACAGTTTTATTCCAATGCCTCAATAATCGTGAACAACGATTATTGACGTTTAATACACAAAACAACACCCAATTTATATATTATACATCACAATAAACTATTAAAAAAACATTAAAATAAAACTTCAAGTGACGCTTCACTCGGGTTGCTGCCAAAACTCTCTGATCATAAAATATATAATAAGAATAGAGTAATGGTAGGCCATTGAGATTTTTACTAATGGTTTCAATAATATCTAAAAATATTAAATAATTCATGGTTTTAAGTAATAATAATTATTACTATATATAAATATTGAATTGAACAAAAATAAACTAAAAAGTCTGTGAATTATAACCATTATCTATTTTTTTATTTATTTGTTGTTCAAGTCACAGACAACTCTTTCGTTTGGCAGCTTAAAGGTTTACTATAAGGCTTTATGGGCATATACATAAACTAAACAAAGTGAAAAAATAAAGCATAGTTTTTCAAGTACAAATAGTTTTGACATAAAGTTGGCCCACTTTTGGGCATTGTCCTTTTCTTTTATTTTTTTTTACAAATATGTATTCGTTTTCTATGGGTTTTACGCTATTTGTATTTATTATCAATATTCTATTTAACATTTTTTTATACCTTAAACTATTTTCGAGATAGGACTTGACTGGAGGAATGACTGGACTATGAGAAAAAAGAGGAGTTTAGTTTTACTTAATTCAATAATACTGTGTAAAACAATCATGGGCAGAAAATAAAGGCTTTTAAATATTGTTTTATTAATATTGTACAGAAAACGCTATTAATATTATATTTATTGTTCAGCCATTTTTAGAATATTCCATGTCATTATATTTAATTTAGTTTAAAAAATAAAGAACTCATTTAAAATAGCAAATCGAACTCATAAAAATTTAGTGAATTTTAAAATTATTGTTTCGCAGTCGGTCCTTCATGCGTGTACAAATTATAAAGTAAATCGGAAGTCTTGAAGTCCTTAAAAAAAGTTGTTTTGTTGAAGGCGTGCCACAAGGAAGCCGTGCAGGCGCTGCAGAGCGTCAAGGGCGACTGCGCCCTCTGCGTGCAGTTCATAGCGACCGACGACGACGACAGGCTCTCCGAAGACAACTACAGGTGGTACCACTTACACTAATCGTAATGTTGCCCGGGCCTTGTTCCGCCGCAGCCCGACTTCAGTCCACAGCTTATAAATACTATCATCCGACGGGCTCCCACAACGTAGCTATAAAATTGACTGCAATTAGACAAAGCGTACGACTTTACAAAATAGTAATTGGATGTACTAAGGCTTACTCACTAAGCATTCACAGATATGAAGACATCCTGGCCTAAAGGTGGAACACCAGGTGGAGGAGCTTGTTCACCCGTCTGTGAAATAAATAAATAAATATAAAACTTTAGTCGGCATTAAAACAAAGAAATGTTTCCGTCTAGCATGTTTCATTATTCTAATGCAGTTTTGAATCCTCATTTGTTAACATGGAGATGGGTGCAGGTTCCCGCTGTACCCGGAGGACGGAGACGTGTTCCCGGGCGAACCCGACGGCTCCGGAGCCACGCCCACTGCGCCGCGCACTCCCGACTACACCAGGTAATCAATTAGATGGGTCAACACTAAATTTGACTTTGATTGCAAAGCATAAAATTTCGATATTTTAGATCGTAATTAGACGAAAAAAAAATACATGGCATGAAACAGTTTGCTTTTGAACTTTAATAAATTGACCACATATGAAACAAAATGCGTCAGCATCGTATTTACACTTTCGTGACATTTTAAGTTTTTCTGGGTTTGTACAAAACACTTGATCGTTGTTTATGGATCGAGTGCCATCTAGTGGCAATGTGTAAACGTAAACACCCCACTCTCATAGCGCAGTTTTTTTGAAAGTATTAAAATTAATTAAAATTTATAAAAAAATTGAAAAATGAGTATTATTACTATAACTATCACAAATGCAAACTTTATACAAAAAAAAAAAGGTATTTTATTTTCGTTTTTGTGAATAATTAACCGGAAAAACCTAGTATAAACGTTAAAACGTAAACAAAGAACGGATTTTTTTTTTGTAGAATTTTGTTATCGCGACACTTAATAGATTCACTTCACTCACTCATGTAGTATTGTGAAGCCGCACGGCTAGGAGCAACTATCCTGCTAATATCTACCACGAAACAGTCGGGCGTTCCGGTTCGTAAAATACCGCTTATTATTGTTTACGCTGGCAATAATTGATTATGTAAAACCCGACAGACTGCTTATTTGTGAAGGCTCATAAGAACACACTCCACGACACGAACTCTCTCCAGTATAAAAATTTGAACCGATACGTATCTAACCTATAATATTTCACATGATTGTCCTTGAAAGCGTCGAAGGAGAACGCTTTTTTTTTAAATAAATCCATACTTTAATTGAATATGCAATTTCGAAAAGGGCACATGTCGCATATTTTGTCAAATACGTTTTTTCATATACATGTAGTTTTGAGACTTACCTACACCCATTTTATAATAATTCCAGTAATTTTCAATTGCTAATTGCTAACACTAAAATATATCTCAAAAGTTAATATTTTAAATTTTACACTGCTTTAGAAAATAATCAGATTTTTTTCATTTCCTGAACATTTTACATTTTCAGAGATGTTCCCTTTTCGAAATTGCTCAATTGAAATTTAAGTATTTTTGATCTCTTCTTGGTGGCAACACCGTTCTTACAAGTACAGGGTGTTCGTTAACTGTAGACGTAATGTATTGCGTAGCGACGTGAGCAGGGCCGGGTCGGAGGAGTGCGCGGCGGCACGCTACCCGGACTACAACGCCGTCAACAACAACCTCAACATACTCGACATGGACGACCACTCCATCAAGATCGAGACTAGACTAGAGGTACATCACTACATAGTATAAAACAAAGTCGCTTTCTCTGTCCCTATATCCCTATGTATGCTTAAATCTTTAAAACTACGCAACGGATTTTGATGCGGTTTTTTTTAATAAATAGAGTGATTGAAGAGGAAGGTTAATATGTATACTAACATACATTAAATAGTAGAAATCAATAATAAATTATAGTTTCCGAATCGAAGCGAGGGCGGGGCTCTAGTATTACATATACTACACCCAATACGATACTAAAGTGTTCGGTTGGTGAGCCGCTGGATCCCACAATGGTAAAACAATTGCTGATTTTGACGAATTAACGTTATATAATCTGTGTTCGAATGATTTTTTTTTGCTAAAAATTACCAAACTGACCAATAAAGCGAATGTGGTATTTGACTAATTTGTGACGTTACAAAATAGTGAATCGATGATTTTATGTAGTTAAAAGAATGCTTTAAATATAATATTGAATTATTTTTTTAAATTTATAATCAATATTATTTTGAATACAAACAGATACGTACTAGCTAGCTTAGAATGGTCAGTAACTGTCTGTACCATGTAGCTCCAAGTTCGATTCGCGACCGGGGTTGATATATTTGTGAAAGATATTTGCTGTGCGAGGTCAGAGTGTATTTGATCGTAAATGTATATTTCCGACTCCGGTAACACAGATGGACCTAATTTCCGGCCTTTGTTTAACTTTTAATAATTATATAGCTCATTACTCATATACCTAATTGCATGTATTTTTAGTAATAATTATTTAAACGTATATACTTTGTGTATTGTCTATAATTTATCTATACTAATATTATAAAGAGGAAAGATTTGCTTGTTTGTTTGTTTCGAATAGGCTCCGAAACTACTGGACCGATTTGAAAAATTCTTTTTCCATTAGAAGCCGACATTGTCCCTGATGAACATAGGCTACTTTTTTTAAATTTTTTAAATTTTTTTTTTGTTTCATGTGTGTTTTAATGTTTCCGAAGCGAAGCGAGGGCGGGTCGCTAGTCTCTATATACATATGATCGTTAAATCATGATAACACTAACATTACCTTATAATTATTTTTTTGTACAGAATTGAAATATATTAGCTTAAAAAATAGTAGTACCTCAATTCCTATTTTAACGTCGAAATTTCAAAAAATAGCGCAGTACATGTATTTTATCATATTTTAACGTCAGAATGTATAAGTTCCTCATTGAAGTGTGTCGTGTGGTCGCAGTGGAACGCTTGTCGTTCGTCGGGCGAGTCGGCTCATTCGACGCCCGTGCACGTCCGGAGCCACATCAACAAGAAGAAACGTAAACCGCAGGTGAGCATTAACACTAATAAATTATTCAAAATTATCTAACACCTGGGATATTCTTAATGTAAAGATGAAAACCCAACTCAAACAAACTGCCAGACCTAAAGATACTATTAGTTCGTTCTGTGTGTAATGAAACGTAAAAGTCTTAAAATATTCTTTATAATAGAAAAATAGAGGGTAGTTAGCGCAATATTCAAATGTTGACAAAAAACACGTTGGTCGTCTGTGAGTGTTGGAAACTGTAGAGCAATTGAAATAATAATAATGTAAACGAAACAATAATAATAAAATTAAATAAACGAAGCTAGATTAAATCGTACAAATTGTTTAAAATGTCGACGACTCGCAAAAATCGTTGAAAATGTCCACAAAATAAATATTTTATCTAAAATCCACACAAATTACACACTTCGTAACAGATGTGATAAAGTGCCATAATTTTGGTACAAAAAGAAATCTGTGATCCCACTAAATATAAAATGTATATATATACCCCCATTCTGGTTTGTTTATTAAAAGGAGAAATGTTTATGTCTAGGACTGGCGTACGAAGGGTGCGTACCGCCCCGTGGAGCTGGAGACTCCCTCGTCCGACGAGCCGCACGCCGGGAACACGCCCCGGGACCAGCGCGCCCTCCCCGACACTGGTGAGATCCTAACTGTTAGCAATCATTTTCCCAATTTTACCTAAGCTTATTTCTACATAATGATTTTAATTATTTATTGCTTAGATGGATGGACGAGCCCAACTGGTGTTAAGGGGTTACTGGAGCCCATAGACATCTACAACGTAAATGCGCCACCCATATTGAGATATAAGTTCTAAGTCTCAGTACAGTTACAACAGCTGCCTCGTCCTTCAAACCGAAACGCATTACTGCTTCACGACAGAAATAAGCAGGGTCGTGGTACCTACCCGCACGGACTCACAAGAGGTCCTACCACCAGTAAAAAATGTTGCTACGCTTTGGGGTTCGGGATAAACAAATGTTCCACCAGAGTACAACTTAAAACTGTATTTATCACTTAGAACACTCAGAGAATACTTTAAAATTCTTAATTCACATCGTCCGCTTTGCTTGAGGTGATCCGTTCGCTGTTTCGCTTCGAGTAGTTCTGATTACTGACTACATGCCATCTCTGCAACGCTTTTGTAGTCGATACGACATCTCTAGAATTGTCGAGAACATTCCTCACAAATCGAGTATATTCGACGCGTGTTTCCGCTATCTGACAATAGATGGCGTTGTACCTCTCGAGCGTTCTAGATGTTAGTAGACCCTTCGATATTCGTTCGTATTCGGCGATACTCTAGTAGCGTAGCTAGAGTAGCGTTACTCTTACCGACATTACAATATGTTCTTTTTTTAATTGCTTTTACGAGTTTACGTGCTCATGGCCCATCTGGTGTTAAGTGGTTACCGAAGCCCATGCCGTATTGGGCACGAATAGAATTTGGTAGTGGCCGAATTACCGATGTTTAAGTACGTCACCGAGAATTACTGAAGCACTTTTGATAAACAATGGCGATTTTTTATTTAATTCTATATCTACTTCGGTAAATTAGTACTTACATTTTTGTCTAAGCCGATCCTACTAAAATTAATTTAAAAATAAATTATTGTTTTAAATCTTTTAACAGCAGCCGAGTCACCGCCAATACCACCATCGCTGCAAGTCAAGGAGGCGAATCCGCCTCTGATAGACCTAGTCAACAAACCGGAGTCAACGGAAAAAATGAACGGTGACCTCACTCCAGTTTTCGAATCAAAACCGAACGGCGATGTGAAGACAGTTAGAAGAGAAAGTAAGACTTTCAGGTTAGAGGAAGTATTTGCCGCACTTTTTTTTACATTTCCTGGCTACAAATTAAAAATGTTGCCAAATAAACATGGAAGTACTGAAATTAAATTTTATGAATAATTATGTTCCTTTATCTTATATAACGAGCGAAATCAGTCATATTATCGTACATACGCACTCGGTATTCTAGAAAGATCGTAGTAATTGCAAAATATGTGTCATTCTAGAAAGATCGTAGTAATTGCAAAATATGTGTCCAATGTTTATCAATCCCTAATTATTTCCAAATATAATGGCTGAGTTTCATAGACAATGTCAACAAGAAAAAAAAAACAACCTCTCTAAGGTAATCTATCACATTCAAACAAATGCCACTTTGGAATATGGCTTTAATTGATTTGTTATATTCTAAAATACTCCAAATTGTATTTGGTTTGTCCACACAGGATAGGTACGGCGCGTCGCGTTACCGACATCTCCGGATTGGCAGTGAGTATCGGTGAGAGTCGTCCCGCGCGCCTCCTGCCCGGGGATGGCGACCCGGACTTCGGCACCCCGGTCTGAATGGAACCGAAACACTATGATACATTAAAAGCATGCTTTCACATACCTAGTTCCGGACGAGCTGGAAACGTTGAACTAAATCACTCTGCCACATCACTACAAATTTTTATGGAACGATTATGCAGAGAGAGAGAGAGTACAAAGAAGGGACTATCTCTGTGTTAGAAAATTATTGTTATTAAAAGGGGTTCTCGATGAAAAAAACGCAAGATGTTAGTCACTATATCTATNACATTAAAATCATGCTTTCACATACCTAGTTCCGGACGAGCTGGAAACGTTGAACTAAATCACTCTGCCACATCACTACAAATTTTTATGGAACGATTATGCAGAGAGAGAGAGAGTACAAAGAAGGGACTATCTCTGTGTTAGAAAATTATTGTTATTAAAAGGGGTTCTCGATGAAAAAAACGCAAGATGTTAGTCACTATATCTATCCGTCTGTAGGTGCCATTTAAAATTTAAATTTTAATAAAAACTTTGTATTCGAATCCCCGTATTCCTACGATAGTTATCAAACGAATGGCCTCAATTAAAAAAAAACGATAAAAATATTTAAAAAAGGAACTATTTGAATGGCTTACTTCATTATTTTTTGCTGGACTTTTACTTACGTAATTATATGCGATAGTTCTTCTACTACTCTCCTCTCCATAGCGGGATCTCGGAAGCCGTTTACACCTCACGATTTACATAAGTGACGTCGTCCGCAAATTTCTGAATGTCTTTTTGCGATTTGTTGCATACATACATTGTTGTGTACGTGTTGTACATACACAACTACGGTGTGAATCATTGTCGATATTTTGTATGTTTTCTACCGGTAGGATATGCATTAGGGAAACGCTGTGTGATCGTGATTAAAAATAAATCTTAATTTAAACATAAATAAAATTTTACATAAATTTTTAACAACAAAATTTTTGTCTACATTATTTTTGATCAGAGTACTGATATTGCACTCGTAATTTCTAGAAATGTCTAGCTTAATTTATTTAGTTCATAAATTAGTAGATAATTAACTATAAAACGCTAGCATAAAAAACATTGAGCCTATTTAAATGAATTATTTTGTAATAGTTAAAAGTCGGAAGGTCTAAAAGGTTCGTGTCAGGTCTCGATCTCACGCGTACGCATCACCGCGGAACTGCTGGACTTAGACTTAATTTGGGCGTCAATTCCAAAATTACTCTTAATATAATATGTATATGTATGGATGTATAATATTGTTATAAGACTTGAAATATGTCAAAAACATGAAAATGTGTTAATTTATGTAATACAATGCTTTGTGATTTAAATTGTATGTAGATAGTTTTGATTATGTAAGAGATCGCTTAGAAATTCGCTGTTTTGCGTTTAGCTATTTATATTACGAAATCTTTATATTTTTATGGTTTAACGTTCGCGAGTGTCGTATGAAAAATATATATAATATTGAAATCGAAAAACTATGCATAAGAAAATTTAACACTGTATTGAAATACCATTGCGAAATATGGGAAATGTGTGTGTATATCTTCTTCGTACCGCCGAAATTCCTTTATTTTTACTCGAGATTTGTAATGTTCCATTAAATCGTACTAAATTAATTATTTATAATAAAAATCGAATAAATCTCGTATATAATACGTAAAATAAAATAACTCTTAATATATTTACATTAACTGCAAACAAAACGAAACAACGTGAAGTATTTCATTATTTTGCCATTGCCAAGTGTTGAGATGTACCTCGCGATTAACACTCCGCGTTCTCTGGGAGCTCATTAAATCGTCGCCGAGGCTAATCGGGCGTCGGACGCTGTCATTGTGCCAACTGGACCCGCCGACGGACCACATATCGTCTTCTCGCATTAAAACGGTATAATCTCAAAACTTACAAATTTTACAGGAGATTTTTAAAGGTTTTTGAACATGTAATATTTTTAATATTAATCATCTTTGTAACATTAATTTTTCTTATTTTTTACCAGTTACATTATCTGTCTTTTAAAGTAAGATAAAATTATATATGAATTTTTTTAATAGTAGTCAAAACATAGGTAAATTAGAAAAAAATGAAAAAACTAAATCTAAACTACGCTCTTTTGACAGTATTTATGAGAAAAATACTGGTGATACCAAATGTTTACACGCATATTAACTCAATTTCGAATATTTTTGGCAATTGTACACTTTTAATGCGAAAAGGCGACATGCGGAGCGGGTATTCTCACCTACCGCAACTTGATCTCATTCGATTATAAGTCGTATTTTGTTTTATACAAAATTCAATTTAACATTCCACGTCCACCTACACGGCTGTGGGACTAAAGTGCGTACATTTTTTTTTTATTGCTTGGGTGGACGATCTCACGGCCCACCTGGTGTTAAGTGGTACAGGAGCTCATAGACATCTACAACGTAAATGCCGCTACTTATCTTGAGACATGAGTTGTAAGGTCTCACTTTTAACAGTACAACGGCTGCCCTTCAAATCGAAATGCATTACTGCTTCACGGTAGAAATAGGCGGGGCGGTGTTACCTACCCGTGCGGACTCACAAGAGGCCCTGCCATCAGTAATGAGGGTCCAGACCGACAACTGAGCAATCCGATCGGAAATCGATCCCGGTCCCTCGTGCAAAACACCGTGTCGGCCCTACGAGGTGATGCGAATCTGTCACTTTATAACGACGATAACATTTTTACGAACGAAATCCATGAATGTTTTTCACGAATTTTTTAATAAAATAATTTTAATATTTGATATTGAAATATATTGTTTTCTTTTGCGTATTTTTTTTTAAATTATCTTTTGATAGTATATACATAATTGATTGACTGAGATGTTTACATGTGAATTATTTTCTTCATTTTTTTCGAATTTTCGCTATTTTAAGAAAGGAATTACATAGCTGTGTAGTTTTACATTCCATTTATGTAAATATGTTTTTTTTTTTGTTTTTAATAAACCGAAGAAACAAAAATTGTTTTGCTATTTGAAAAATCATTACTTGTTCTATGCTTTGTCTTCACGACGTTATTGTTAGCTGATGCTAGCCGTGAAACGTTCGCTGTTCGATATAGCAGCTACTTTAGCTATTTTATGCCTTAGTGTCTTGTGTTTTAGACAGCATTAAACACTGAAATAGTTTAAAATCCACCTCTTAAACTGTAGACATAGCCACTACCGATTTTTGCAACTCGGTACACAGCGGCTTGGCTCTGCCCCTGGCATTGCTTACGTTCATGAGCGACGGTAACCATAAACCATCAGGTGGGCCATATGCTTCTTCTTTTTCTCCACCTTATCCCACTAGGTGTGGTCGGCACAGGTAATTTTTCTATTCCATCCTTTTCTATCAACCGTCATCTCAACACTCACTCCTCTCTCTCATGTCGTCATTCACACCTCTTCCCCCTCTACCTTGCACTATCATTTCCATACATCTCTTATAATAGTCACATGCATCTTCTCTCTACGCATCACATGTTCATACCACGTTAACCGTCCGCTCTTTAATTTATAGGGTGGGCCATATGCTCGTCTGCCTAAAAAGGCAATAAAGAAAAATTAAAATTAAAAACTTGGGTCTTACAACAAACCAGTTGACCAAAAAGGTGCGACATCAGCTAAATGTTTTTTTTTTTTTCAAACCATCTAAGTGTTACTTACATCAACCGGGCATTACGATTATATCAGTTATGCGTTATAATTTAACTACCCTTAAACAATACAATTGAAAGTTCAATTCATGTCTCGAGTTGGTGGGATTCATGTTTGATGTCAATGGACTCCGGTGCCAGCGTAGAATCAGTTGAAAATCTGGATTTGAATAGAAATTATTGTTTACTGTGCTAGTGTCTCGTGGATGTAAAACAAGATTATGTGCAATGCGACGAAATATACCTACATATGCCCTTCAAAAGTAAAACAAAAATTCTTTACAATTGGAAATAACCGTATAAAACTATTTATACGTGACGTTTATCATTATCGTTTCATAAAATAGATTGTATCTAAATATAAATACAGTACATAACGCGACGCGTTCCACCGCAGTGGCTGCCGTTGAACAGACAACTGCGACACTGGATCGACGCCAATAATACATATTTCCGCGCATCACAAACAGTAGCATTATGTACGTAATAGTAATACTACATGCGATGGTAAACAAATGGTATATTATTATTATTATCTATTTACTGCTACGCTGCGTTTGTCGTTTCTGTTTGCATATCGGAATTCGAGCACAACTCGGACCTTTTTTTTTTTTTAAATCTTGTCCATTCGGATGGGCGCCCGAAGTTAATGTTAATTAGATTTTTAAAAAAATCGATGAAGTTTAAAGTAGAGTTCGACGTGTCTGTACATTCAGGAATATTCATAAAAATAGAAAAGGGCTAATTAAACAAGAATCAGAACACAGGCGATTTTTTTTATTTTTTTCTGCCTTTTTTTTGCCCAAATCTTTTTTTTTTTATGAAAAATTTGGTTGCCCATAGACCTCGCAAATCTCAAGAACTATTGAAAGAGTTTTCATGCAGCTTTCACTGAATAGACGAATATTAATCTGGAGCAGATTTTGTTTCCTTGCAATCGAATGTTGAAACAAGAACCAATTAATTTTGTATGGAAAATTTTAAAGTCTGGGAAAAGATATAAGACTATATAGATATAAACGTTTCATCCCACCGATGAGTACGGATCATCGTCCAGGCGATATAAAGTGTATCCCACATAGGCGAAACTGCGGGTGGAACGCTAATGACAATAAAATGTATTCAACAAACGTATCCAAAAACTCATTTTAGCAAGAAGTACAGGTGGAACAATATAAGCGGGTGTGAAATTATTCCATCTCCCTGATGTCAACCTCCTTGAATCTCTCTCGAGATATTATGTTCTGAATACTTTTGCTAGAGTATGTTTTTTTGCCGCGATTACTTTTAATAGTGAATATTTATGAGTAATTATTAGTAATATAAAATCAATGCACTGTGTAAACTACTAGTTTACGACTGGCAGTTTTATAGAGACTTCTCCATTTTTAATAATAATAAAATTTTCTACAAATTGCTTGTACAGAGATCGTTTTAAGAGAAAATTTGTTTATTTTGTTTGAGATAGAGCAGATACATTTGGCAAAAACAAGGGACTACAATACGGATTTAAATCCATGCCAATTTTAATATGTTGTCATCGAGAAAAACTCGAAACTCAAAGTTTTGGTATCTAAAGGGAATTAAAGTTTTCTCCGAGATATTCAACGCACCACCGAAACGAATTAATACCAATACCTACTAGAAACATAAAAATGATCTATAAATACCTTAGAATTGCCAATAAAAAAAAAACAATCGAAACTGGGAATTTTCCTATTTATTTCCAATCGGATAATTTTGCAGTTTATAATGATAGTAGATGCGGAGAAAACACGATGTGTTTAAAAAAAAAAAATTTTTATTAATTTTGTTATCAATATTAAGTTAAATTACAATCGACAATTATAAACATTATATTATAACTAACTTACAGAGATCGAATTTTTTAAAACCGCTGGTTTGTTTTATTGTTCTTATTTTAATGGTAAACTTTAATGTCATCAAATTTGTAAAGTAAGAAAAAAAACTTTGTACTTTTTCACTTGTTTTGTCATTGTGGCAATATAGTATTTTTTTTGTTATTTTAAAACAGTGAAACAATATTGACAAAAACTCTACAATGCTACAATTACTTGATTGAAAATTGAAACAAATTTAACGCTCAGACACACCACATTTGAATAGAAAATAAATGTTAAAATCACCGACGAATACGGTTCGGCGCGCTATTTTAACTCTTCAACGCGAACATTTGAAGAAAATTTGTCAATTGTACAGGAAATACTAGATAGATAGCTAGTAGAACCTACTATAAAAATTATGTCAAATACATATACCACATACCACATGTTCAAGGTATTTTATATTTTAAGTATTGTTTTTCAACATATAGAGCCTGCTTAAATATAATTAATTATGATTCATCAGTTCCCGCAATATTCGTTTTCTAGGAATGTCTTGTTTTTAATCTGCTTCATTTATGAAAGATTGTATCGCGTGTATTCATTCCAGGCACGTTCGTGATAAATTGCAGAAGTAATGCATTGTTTTTCATATAATCAGGACAATATCGCTATAAAAATAAAATTTGTATTTGTAAAATCAGTGTTTTATTTTAATGAGTGTGATCTTCACTTGTTCAATTAAATGAACTTAGTAGTGATTTAATAGTACAACGATTGAATTCTATTTAAATTCGAATTTGCTAGTGAACACCATCACAGTTGCAAATTAAACATAATTCAGCAGTGGGCGTCGTGCTGACTTTAATTTTAACATATAAGCCTATAGATATCATAGATAATACACTTAGATATCTTTAAACTAGTCATTGAAAAATGCGTCCAACCATTTCTTTTGCTCCTGTCATATAGCATTAAACCGGTCACTCACATTCGCACGAATACGCAAACCCGCAAGTGTAGGACGACATTTGCAAATGATTATGCAAAGTTTTCGCTGCATTCGCGGTTTTCCAAGCTGTGTCGGTTTTTTAATGGACATCAAAGCGCGCGAACCTCGATCATTCGTGTAGTCTCCCACACATTCGTGTGACCAGTTGCGCCCACGATTGCGAAGGTAACGGACGTATCACCATTTTCATAGGTGACATCTACTGTGTAGCCTACCTTCATCATGGATTGGAACAACACCAAGGTGATGGAGTTCATTGAACTCCTGCAAAAGGAATCGACCCTCAAAAGAAATCCCATAAAAAGGGAATGGCCGTTAATGTCGCCTGGGAAAGAATTAAAAACTCTTTCTGTTCAATGTTCTATTGGCGAATTAAAAAAGAAGAGAAATTTGTGAGACATTCGTAAACAAGTGTAGGAGGAAGCGCAAACGGGTTCGCAAATTGAGCACCGAACCCATTTGCACAGCCGCTAAGTTTGCGAATGAATGTTTGACGGCCCTTCACATGCGCGCGAACATTCGTACAATGTACGAATATTTGCGCGTATGTGAGTGGCCGGCATTATGCACGCATGCAGTTAAAAATATTGAAAAGCAATCAAAGACAAACATGGAGTACATTAAGGATTGTTTTTTCGAAATAGCGATGTATTTATTATAAATAATTAGCAGTAGCAATTAAGGCCAAATAAATGAAATTAAAATAAAGAATCAATGAGTTAAATCGTATAGAACTTACCGGTACCGTATGTCACGGTGGATGCTACGTACCATCCGGCTATGGAATGAGCTCCCCTCCACGGTGTTTCCCGAGCGCTATGACATGTCCTTCTTCAAACGAGGCTTGTGGAGAGTATTAAGCGGTAGGCAGCGGCTTGGCTCTGCCCTTGGCATTGCTGAAGTTCATGGGCGACGGTAACCACTCACCATCGGGAGGGCCGTATGCTCGTCTGCCTACAAGGGCAATAAAAAAAAACTGGTAAGACAACAGTAATTCATTGGTAATAAAACTGTCAAAAGTAAAAGAAATGGTTGGACGGAGTTTAGCTACTTAGGCCTACTGAATTTCTCGCCAGATTTCACCGGGTCGCGTTTCCGGTTCAGTGGTAGATACTGTGAAGGACTGCTCTTGCTAGGGTTAGTGTTAGCAACGTCTCCTGGCTTGAGCCCCGAGAGCTCACCTACACGTTAGGGCTACGCTGACATAGCCTCTCAAGGCTATCTTAGGTAGAAAAAAAGCTGCTCAGATTGTATAATTTTTTGTTCAGGTCCTGCTGGTAATTTAAGTTACTTTTGTATAAGGCGTCGCTCGATCCATTCATTCAGAACATTTATTTATTGACGTGCTTTACTAGAATTGTGATAAGAATTATTTACGCTTAACGGTCCTTTTGCCTGCCCTATTTTGTAAGACTTATAATTTAACTGTATAATGTTATTCTAGCGATCTATTTTTTTCCCCTATGATGATGGAAGAAACCACTAACCACGAAATAATTTTACACTGGTATTACCAAATTATCGAAGTGTCACAGATGTCAGCATCTGTCAGTCCATAATTATTATTACTATAACAGCTTGACTAATGGCCAAGCCTATTTTTCTGATTTAATTGTTTTTAGAGAGGATATTTGTCATTTTACCATTTTGAAAAATACCTTATCAAACATGGTTGTCAAAATTTATATCAGTGGCATTTCTGGCAACAAGGAGGTAAGAGCGAGTCAACAAAATCTTCGAATAGTCCGGTTCACTTTTCGACTTTTTGGGCGAGCTGATTCATAATATAACTACATTTGATTACGTGAATTGCTATGATTAAAGGTGAAGAAACGTCAGCAGCGGGTCCTGATGATTTTAGACTCAAAAAATATAAAATATGAAGTCATCGACATAACGGAACCAGGGAGAGAGTCCGATAAAGATTTCATGCAAAACAATGCTAAATCTTCTGGTGGCACCGTCAGTGACCCGAACCCGCGTTCACCACTGCCGCCGCAGATGTTTAACGATGAAGAATATTGTGGGGTAAGCTTGGAACAAGTTCAGTTAATGCATGAAAAATTATACAAGTTGGATGTAAAATATGTATCCCACTATTGTGAACCTTAACAAAAGACTCACTTGACATTTTCAACATAAATAAAGCCATTATTCGAAAAGGTCCAACAAACAAAGGAGATAATTATGTTGTCCAGAAAACCTCATTAACGGGCTAAGCTTTGTACATATATTAAGATGTACATATTTTTGTCATTGAATTGTGTGTAAATATTTAAAAAAGTATACAAAAAAGAAATCAAAGATTTTTAAGAAATTATTGATAATTTCATCTTATTACAGGATTATGATCAGTTTGATTTAGCCAATGAAGTTGATACTCTTGAGCAGTTTCTAAAGTTGGAGGCACCTCCAGAAGAACCACCTCAAGAAACAGAAAAGGTATTGGGATATAAATTTATATTAATTATTTTGTGATCAATAATGAATTTAATTAATACAATTTACAAGAAACATATAGTTAATGGAAGTTTGTTGAAGTCAATTAAAATAATTTCCTGCAACATTTTACCTTTTCCAGGAAAGTACCTTAAATGGTGATCTTGATGGAGAAATAGCTGAAGAAACCTCCCAAGAAACAGAAACTACAGCGGAAAAAGCAGAAAATGATGAAGCAGACACCATTGAAACATCTGAAAAAGTAAAGGAGACTAGTCCTGTTAAAGAAAACTCACCAATTAAAGAAATTGAAGAAACTACAAAAGAAGCTACACCTGTTCCTGTAGATAATGAAGTGCAGGAAGATGTTGCTAAACAAGGTTCACCCGAGAAGGAAGCCTCACCAGATCTACAAAATTTGGTTGGAGATGAAGCAAAAGAAAAATCTCCAGTAAAAGAGACTGACGATGAGCCAAAAGAGATATCAAAAGAAAGTTCTCCAGAAAAAGAGGGACCAGTGAATGAAAATGGCACCGTGAGCTCGCGTGAACAGTCTGAAGGGAAGGATGTTGAAGTGACTGAAGCAATAGATAAAACAATAGACAATCCCTCAGACCTACTGATCGAAAGTGAGCAGGCTGCATCTGCTGAATAATGGACTGATCACACCCTTGCTTCTCAGCTCAAATATAGCCCCTCTAGCACTAAGCCAGCACTATAATAATAATATGCTAAGAACTATTGTTTCAATTATGTCAGTCATTTATTTGGCATGATTAGTCATTGTATATAATGAGAAGATTGTTGAAGTCAGATAATGTGCCTAAGTATTTTTTTTTTTTAAATAATGAAATGGCCTATTGTCATTAGATTTAATACAAATTAATATTTTCTTTTTTATTATTTTACATATTATGATTTTATTTAACAATTATCCTAAATGAAAGGCTTGTATTATTTAAAGTATTAACTTTTTTATTCTTTTTATTTTAATTATTATTGTTTTCAATTTACATGAATTTTAAATCATTCGAATTTGTGAACTCTTTTTGAATGGTTAAGATTTTGGTGCTTTTTTAAGCATGAAAAATGTGCATTGAATGTCTAAAATGAATAATCATTCTGATTTTTGTGTAAATTACATCACTAATTTTATTATTCATCATGAATAGATCTTGTATTTAAGAAATGTATTGCTTAATGTTGCAATTAGTCTTGAGACAAATTTATCAAGATAACTTTATTTATATTCATTAAAGACAGTTTTTTATCATTTTTTTTCACATAAATTATATACAAAATCTCGTTTTTTATTTTCTAGTTCCATAAGTGAAGAAATGTTTGGAAAATGTTTAATTGAACATCTGTAATAGACAAGATTTTATACCGAAAATACTTTATAAATATATTTATAAAACCATGAAGTTTGAAAGGCCGGATTGTAGGATAAGACGTCCTATGTATTCTCATCAGAATACACAGGGTGTTGAATTAAAAAAATGCAAATAATAAAAAATTAAAGGGTGTAAAATAATAAAAAATTAAACACGGGCTTAAAACCGTTGGCAACCAGGGTAGTCGTTGTAATTATACTGAGAGAACTTATATCTCAAGGTGGGTGACGCATTTACGTCGTACATGTCTATGGGCTCCAGTAACCACTTCACACCAGGAGGACTGTGAGCTCGTCCACCCATCTAAGCAATAAAAAAGGCAGTTACCAATATTTCTAAGAAAATTTACACATACCGTTTTCACGAACCTCTTCCACAATAAAGCAATAGCACCGTGTAATAAAAAAAATCTGTAAAAAANTATCTCAAGGTGGGTGACGCATTTACGTCGTACATGTCTATGGGCTCCAGTAACCACTTCACACCAGGAGGACTGTGAGCTCGTCCACCCATCTAAGCAATAAAAAAGGCAGTTACCAATATTTCTAAGAAAATTTACACATACCGTTTTCACGAACCTCTTCCACAATAAAGCAATAGCACCGTGTAATAAAAAAAATCTGTAAAAAACTTGCGTAATTATACATCGCAGCCAGGCTGTAAGCAGCTCTCGTATGTAGGTATTGACACCCGGCTTATTTCTAGCGAAGCTGTAATAGACAGCATGCGTTCCGGTTCAAATAATGGAGTATCCGATATACAATAACACTTCGATCTTATATCTCAAGGTAGGTGGCGACATTCACATTGTACTACGGGTTATAATAATCACTCAACATCGGTTGTGCCGTGAATTCTGCGCTTCCATATCGATATCAAATAATAGTTTAAGACCACAACAGTTTTTAAGATTCATAGAGAATTAAAAGTGGCCATCAAAATATGGTATTAATATTTTTATTCTTTTCTGAACCTGCATTTTAGAGTTTCCAGGGTGCTTCCTGGTTGCTATGTCCTTAAAACACACGTCATTGCCGCCGTCTATGAGCAACGGTAGCCACTCACCATCGGGTGAGCCGTGCGCTCGTCGCCAATAAAAACAATATTCCAACTAACGACTATTTTCAGCGACTAGACTAGAAGACCGCTCGTGTGAATTTATAAGTTTTTATAATAAATACATCGGGTCGATAGTTATACACTATGTGTACATATTTCTAGGAGGATTTGTAGGTGAGGACAAAACAGTGAGTATTTTAAAGCGTAACTCTATTTTATTCAAAATTACATTTTGAGCAAATAAATAGTCTTAAAAATTGAAACCTACGTTTAGCTTAAAACATTATTAAAATAAATATGGAATAACATGATATAAAATCTATAATGGAAATGTAAAACATTCAGGTATCTAATTCATAGAACAAACGACGACACAATAAATAAATAAAACTAATAATTACATATAAAACGTATTTCATATACTTTTTTTCAAAATTGGCGACGGTGGATCGCCGAATTCTTTTCGGAGCGAATCCTTTGGAAGTTCAATGTTTCTGTGACGTAATTCGTGGTCAGAGCACTCGTCCAGTAAACAAGCCTGTATGTTCTTGTCGAGCGTGACCAGTCGCGGCCGGGAGTTTTTGAACTCTTCGACGAGGCTCAGGTTCCTCTTGATGCCGTCGACGATCCTGACGACGGAGTACTCCCCCATAGCGGCGCCCTCCTGCAGTTTCGAGCCGGCGATCTTGGCCACAGAGGACTCTTTGACATCGGCCACCATCTGCACGCACCACTGCTTCAAGTTCTGCATTATGGTCACCGGTCCCTCATATTCATTGGGAACGATACCGTCCACTTCGGACTCGAAGAACGATAACAGTGGAAACCATATTCTGGTTCTGAAATTAAAATAAATAAATTTAACAACTCTAATGAGAGCTTGGGAGAAGTGTTTTTATGTAAACCATAGAACAGAGTATGACAAACATTCAAAGTATATATTTGCAATAATATTACGTTACTAATTACAATATACTTTTCAAATATAGCTTTATGAATTTAAATGACTCATTTTCGCTAAGTTTATTAACTATGTTAATTTCGTTTTTAGGTGCTTATAATTAAAATAAAAAATAATAATTAAACGCAGTGTGGATATTTTTTAAAACAAAATCAGAGTTCATTATTGGTAGGGCGTAAGGGGCACGGTACGAGTTTCGCTCACCACACAATTTAATGACAAAATGACAAAAATAACGATAACAGAAACATAAAAAATATGTCAATCACTAAACAAAGAAACATAAATATGTAGTTTTTTTAATTTAAATTTGAATTTCCGCACGAAACAAAATGGCGAGAGAGACTCACCTCTCGAATTCAAAGCTTTAAAAAAATATTATATTTCATTATATTTCAAATTACCTGGAAGAATCGCTCTGCATAAGCGCCTGGTTGTTCGACAGCGTGTGGTAATACAGGAACAAACGCGAGGTTATGTAGAACGCGATGAACACGTCGATGGAATAATGCTCGTGGGCGGCCAAGATGAAGAATATACCGAACATGTTCATGACCCACGTCAGGATGTGGAGGAGGTACAGGCTTCGCGATGTGTCTGCCGACAAAATATTACGTTTTAGTTTATTACTAGTTGTCCCCCGGTAGTCGAAATTCGACTATAATTAATTAAAATTATAAGTTTGTACACTATAATGATTCTATTGTCAATACTTCTATAATCACGGATTTCGCCAAGAATTCACTTTAGACAAATATTATTAAAGACAAACAAAATTTAATCTATTCTCAATTTGACCGCAGACTTTAAGCAATAAGAAAAGTTTGACAATAAACAGATATATACACTCGCGAGCAAAAGTTTGGAATCACTTACTTGAAATTGGTTCCGCGCGATCTTGTGTACTAAATATTTTTTTTATAATTATAAAAATGAGATAATTTTAAAAGTTCAACTCTTAACTTTATACTAATACCTAATTCATTAAATCAAGCCAGTATTTAAGAAGCTATCCCGGATTAAGTGAAGGAATAACGAAAAAGACGTATTTCAATTGTTTCATACGTCCCGAGTTGCGACCTATTGACCCCTATAAAAGGACCTGTTATCGGATTTTCTTTATCAGTTGCGTTTCACACGTTGACAGGTACACATCTCCGCTACTTTTGAACCTTTACCTTTACGACAATGGAGACAACACCTACAGAAGCAGCACAAATCGTAGCCTTATTGTTAGAAGGTCTCAGCCAGCGTGTTGTCGCTCGTCGGCTCCACATAAGCCAGTCCTGTATTTCTAAAGTTTTCAAGCGCTTTCGGGAGACTGGTAGCTTTATCCCGAGACCAAGATCTGGACGGCGCCGGTGCACATCGGAGAGGGATGACCGTTTTATCGTGTCAACCTCTCTCCGAAGTCGGCATTTACCTAGTGTCGACGTCCAACAGGAGCTCCGAGATGTTCGTGGGGTAGCAGTCAGCGAGTGGACAGTTCGTCGACGACTCAAGCAAGCGAATCTGACTCCAAACAGACCTGTCACAGGCCCGAGACTCACGGCAGCTCATCGACAAGCACGCCTTCAATTTGCTCGCACCCATCTTGATTGGGAGGTTGAGCAATGGAGGCAAGTCCTGTTCTCCGACGAGAGCAGGATGTGTTTGCACGGTAGCGACCGAAGAGGTCGGGTCTACCGGCGGCCTGGTGAGCGATTTGCGCAGTGCTGTTTCGCTGAAACAGTGGCTTATGGGGGTGGCTCTTGTATGATGTGGGCCGGCATTTCCTTCGACGATAAAACGGAGCTTGTTTTCGTGCCTGGCGGGGGACGAGGAGGCGGCCTAACTTCGCACCGGTATATTTCCGATATTCTACTGGAACATGTCGTTCCCTATGCGGGATAAATCGGTGATGACTTCCTCCTTATGCACGATAACGCTCGTTGTCACACTGCCCGTGTAACAACTGAATACCTCCAAGAAGTCTGTATCACCACATTGGACTGGCCTGCGCTCAGCCCTGACTTGAATCCTATTGAGCACGTGTGGGATGAACTGAAGAGAAAGGTTCGTTCCAGAACTGCTGCTCCTTCATGTCTGAATGAGCTGAAATTGGCGTTAATTGAAGAGTGGGAAGGTATCCCACAAGAATCAATTCAAAAGCTGATCAGGTCTATGAAGAATCGTCTTCGAGCAGTTATTAAGGCGAGGGGAGGGAACACAAAGTACTGACACATAATTTTAGGCTAAATAAAAATTTTATTTATTAATTTTTGTTATTTTATTCATTCATTATTTTTTCCTAATTCTTCCTTTTGCTACATTCTTTACTTAATCCGGGATAGCTGCTTAACTACTGGCTCGATTTGAATGAATTTGGTATCAATTTAAAGTTGACAGTTGAACCTTTAAAATGATGTCATTTTTATGATAATTAAAAATATATTTAGTAAGCAAGATCGCGCGGAACCAATTTCAAGTAAGTGATTCCAAACTTTTGCTCGCGAGTGTAGTATGCATGCCTGTGTGTGTCAAATACATGGTAGTGTGTGTAATGTTCTTATTATTTATTTAATGTATTTATTATGCATAATTTAAAAAAATATTAACATTCTACACTCCTTCTCTATATTCTCTTTGTGTGGGAAATTTCATACTCCTCCGTCCACGCAATTTTCGTAAAAAGGGGTACAAAGTTTTTGCTTCACGTATTAATATATAGATATAGTGCGGAAGAGATTAGGGTCGAATAGGATTTTGTTTGACTTTAGGAACGAGCTCAAAGCCCACCTGGTATTAAGTGGTTACTGGACCCCATAGACATCTACAACGTAAATGCGCCACCCACCTTGAGATATAAGTTCTCAGGTCTCAGTATAGTTACAACGGCAACCCCACCCTTTAAACCGAAACGCATTATACTGCTTCACGGCTGAAGTAGGCTGGGTGGTGGTACCTACTCGTGCGGACTCACAATTGGTCCTACCACCAGTACAAGAGGTTCTTTTAAATGGTCACGAACGACTAAGCTGCTAATCGTCGACGTTTGAATATTATGCGTATATATAACGTATTGTGCTACACTGAGTACTTTTATATGTATAATAATTGAATTAATAGAAACATTGGAATTTTAATTCATTTCGGTACGATACCGTTTTGGGATCTCGGCATGTAGATTAAAATATACGCTACTGTTAACAAAGTGATAAAACAATAGACTCGCAAACGCTATGTTTAACTGGAAACCAATAATTCCACGGTGGATTTGACCCTAAATAATATTAAAGTTATCTATTTCTTTTTTGCCAACGGTCCCGTAGGGCTATTTAAAAGTACAACAAAATTAGTTCTCAGAACGCGTAGTTACGAAAGATAAAAGTAATTTAAACTTTACCACATTTTTTTGTTTTAGTATTATCCGTAAAGAATTATTAGACTGTATTTTGATTCAATAAGATATACATTTACTATCATTGGAAGTTACGCGCAATAAAAAGTATGTTTACAAACAAAGTTAAGGAAATAATTTTATTATTTAATTCGATCCGTTTATGCGCAATTTATGACGTACATGTTATGTTATCGACAAATAGTTTAACTTAGAAATCAAAATAAAATATGGAAATAATACGCGGGATGAGTGAGTTAGACTACACGACGAGTTCATTGTATAATTTTTCGTGAGTGAAGATTCTGCAGCTAAAAAACAAAATACGTTATAAGCCCCGCACGTTGATATTGCGATGGAACCTTGTCACAAATATTAGTCTTATAAAATTGCCTATAATACGTCTGTAAGTTATCGTAGCCTAACGGATAAGACGTCCGGTGCATTCGTGTTGAGCGATGCACCGGTGTTCGAATCTCAGGCGGATACCAATTTTTCTAATGAAATACGTACTCAACAAATGTTCACGATTGATTTCCACGGTGAGGGAATAACATCGTGTAATAAAAATCAAACCCGCAAAATTATAATTTGCGTAATTACTGGTGGTAGGACCTCTTTCTTGTGAATCCGCACGGGTAGGTACCACCGCCCCGCCTATTTCTGCCGTGAAGGGTGTAGTTTGAAGGGTGGGGCAGCCGTTGTAACTATACTTGAGACCTTAAAACTTATATCTCAACGTGGGTGGCACATTTACGCTGTAGATGTCTATGGGCTCCAGTAACCACTTAACACCAGGTGGGCTGTGAGCTCGTCCACCCATCTAAGCAATAAAAAATAACAAATAAAAAACGAATGTTATAAATGTGAAAAAAGTCTTGTCGGTTTCATATATATTTTCATTTATAAACCTCTAAAAAATAAAATGTACGCGCTGACCAACGTTGCGAACGGTACTATAATCTATGACGGTACTGACTTACTGACAGTTCGACTACGTCACCAAGATGGCCGCCAATCGCAATATCAACGTGCGGTGCATAATATATGTAATGCATTTAAGCGAATGAGCAAGCGTCAAAGTTGGCGTGGATCGCTGCCACTCACTACAAAAATCACATGTTACAACTTAAGAGTATAGAAGGGTGACTTCGAACGCATAGTTGTCGTTCGGAGTTATTACCGCGTTTCGTCGTGTCGTGTGTTCAAATGGAAAAACGCTCCGATGCTAAAATCACACGCAATTTAGGGACGTCGATTTGCTGACAATTGTCCGTTTATTCCATTGTATTCATTTTAAAATGAAATAACTGATTATTCTATTTTTGCATTTATTCAATTGTCTTTTGTGTTGTACAAGTATGCACAGCTCACAGCCCTGTATTTTATCCCCATTTTTTTATTTTTTATTGCTTATATGGTTGTACGAGCTCACAGCCCACCTGGTGTTAAGTGGTTACTGGAGCCCATAGACATCTACAACGTAAATGCGCCACCTACCTTGAGATATAAGTTCTAAGGTCTCAAGTATAGTTACAATTAACTTTACCAATGTATTGGAATTGGTTAGAAATCATTTATTTAATTATAATGCACTCGTAAACATACGTTATCAATTTGGGTGCGGTTTTCGGTTATTTAGATTTAGTGCTATAGATATAGATAGTATATAGATAGCTTCGGGTTCACTATATTACAAATAAATTTATATTGCGTTAAATAAGAATATACAAATTGTGGTCGGGCGACTTCTGAACGCGTACGGGTTACTCCACCCTGCCTATTTCTGCCGCAAATCAGAATGGCGTTGTGACAGTGAGGCAGTAAATAGTACTATAGTAGGTAGGTAAGTAGAATAAAACTGAGACTAAAACTCATGTTTCAAGGTGCGTGGCGTAATTTAAGTTGTTGATGTCTATTGGCTTCGGTAACCGTTTAACGCCAGATGAGCCGTGAGCTCGTCCAAAGAACTAAGAAAAAAAAATTAGGTACTAGCACGTGTGAAGTTACGGTCATACTGCTCATGAGACATATTTCTTTATACATACATATGTACGTCGTATCCGCATTGCTAAAACGATAATAATGTTTATCGACATTACGTTAAACGTCTGATAAATTGTATTTGATAATACATATTATTTTATTATTCGGACCGTGGGTTGGTGAGGCAGCACAAAAAAACATTGCACCCGACTAGCCTTACCTTATGCGTCATGATTCTTCATTGACATTATTGGAAAACAAGGTTATCATTGAAATTAATTAGGAAGTATTTCTAATTTTTCGCCACCGAAGGCGGACGAGGTTATCACTGGATAAGACGTAGTGAACACAGTCTCTCATCGATTTTGGCCCTAAAGACGTCATTTCAGATCCTTCCGATCCACTAACGGTGCATTTAGGTACCTCAAGCACCGGTCACCGTTCTCGTCGAACCCGTCGCGTGCGACGAAGGGTTCGGCGAGTAAATTAATCCACAGACACAGTGCATTGAGTTTCTCGCCGGATCTTCTCAGTGGGTCGCGTTTCCGATCCGGTGGTAGATTCCGCGAAGCACTACTCTTTCTTGTTAGTTTTAGCAACGTTTTAGCATCTATATAATACATACACATGTAATTTATCCACGCATTTAGTACTTGTCGTTTTAGTGGGACCAGAAATCTAAAGCGAACACAGCACGCGGTCGCCATATTGTCGGAGAACGATAAATCCACGTGTCAGCTAATTTTTTGTGTTACATTACGTGCAGTTAATTTTTCAACAGACATTAGTTTTAATTCGCTAGACGCGAACACTTACATTCAGTGATGAAAATTACACTTACATTCAGTGATGAAGAAATTCAACAGCGTTAAAGCGACTGTATGTCCCGAGAACATGTAGTCTCCGCAGGTCCTGACCCCCCTGACAGACATGCCGGCTCCGCTCCATATGTCATAGGCTTGTGCCAGTCGTCTGCCCCACACTGTCATCTCGTCGGCTGGTGGATACGAACGAGGTTCGCACTTGAGATGCGATCCGGGAACCGAGAGCGAAGTGATCAGCATCGTGAAGCAACGCAGCAGGAATACCGTCCCGGCGAGCGCGAAGAATCTCCTTAATATTATAAATCTGTAGAAGATTGCGATTGTGAATATTTACTTAAATTTTTTATTTATTAATGTATTTCTTAAAATTATTAAATTAAAAAATAATAATTAAAACGATAATATTACGTTATGGACGGTGTAAGCCATTATAACGTAAATTAAATATTTCTATACGTAATAAATGATAAAAGCACAAATTCGCAAGCACAAAAATTCAGTCGCACATAATTTTAGTACCTTCGCACTTTAGTTTAGGTGATGTCGGATAGGCCATACGATGAGAGTACTTAAGACAGGCCAATTGTATCGAGTAATAAGATATTTGAAAAACAGTTGGGAAGACAGCAAAAGCTATGGAAGTAGGAATTAAAACAAACAAGAGTCATAGAATGATGAGTCAACATCCGTGTTGTGAGCTATAAGTATAACGACAGCGTTTTCATTCAATTTTATGAATGACTAGCTGACAGAATTCGTAGTGCCTCAATCGATAAATAAATTGTATAAAATAAACTTAAAACAAACAAAAGGAATCGGTCCGACGGGGGACACATCAAAGGAAAAACAAAATTGACATTTTTATTTCTTTCATTTTATTTTTTATTTCATTCATTTATCTACCTTTTAAACCTTCTCTGGACTTCCACAAATAATTCAAGACCAAAATTAGCCAAATCGGTTCAGCCGTTCTCGAGTTTTAGCGAGACTAACAAACAGCAATTCATTTTTTTAAATAGAGATAGAAGATCGAAGAAGATAGAAGACTCTGTTATGAATTTCTTGAATTTATCGTATGTCCTTCCTTGTTAAATTCTTTTTTAAATAATTATACCTTAATTTTTACTCCTATTATTGTTTAATATTAACAATCTTATGTATCTAAGTTTAAATTGAATTACGCATTTAGATCATAATAGAGGTCAAGTTCAAATAATTATTACGGTTATGTTTTTATTTATCGCTGTATCAATAAATTGTTTGAGTCGTTCTAAATATTAATTTGACGAGCCCAAATAGATATTAACGATTTATTTTGTAATTCTATTTCGTTATTGTTGTTATAAACGGGCAGATAAGCGCACAACTCAGCTGGTATCGGAAGTTAACCCAAATTTACCACAAAGTTAACGGTACCGTTCATCCCGAGACGTGTTTTTTTTTATTGCTTAGATGGGTGGACGAGCTCACAGCCCCTGGTGTTAAGTGGTTACTGGAGCCCATATACATCTACAACGTAAATGCGCTACACACCTTGAGATATATTTTTTTATTTTTGATGTTAATGCACTGTCGATTGCACCTATAATTGAGGTGACATCTGCCATGAACTTTTGTCAATTGTTCAATGTTTTGTATTGATGATCACTTTGTTGGTGCAACTTAATAAATAAATAAATAAATAGATATAAGTTCTAACGTCTCAGTATAGTTACAACGGCTGTCCCACCCTTCAAACCGAAATGCATTACTGCTTCACGGAAGAAATAGGCGCGGTGGTGGTACCCGTGCGGACTCACATGAGGTCCTACCACCAGTAATTACGCAAATTATAATTTTGCGGGTTTGATTTTTATTACACGATGTTATTCCTTCACCGTGGAAGTCAATCGTGAACATTCGTCAAGTACGTATGTATTTCATCAGAAAAATTGGTACCCGCCTGCGGGATTCGAACACCGTTGCATCGCTACATACGAATGCAACGGACGTCTTATCCTTTAGACCACGACGACTTCGAACACGACGACCAAGTACAAAACCTATGAAAAAGCTCTTGAAGCATCTAATTTATAGCAGTTTTATTAAGACTTAACGGCACTCATGCTCTTCAAACCGAAACGCATGATTGCTTCGGCCGAAATATGCTTGTTCGTGGTTTATGCACATACAACATACCCAATCGACAGTTTTTTATGATAGAAGCTAATCTAAGCCCTCAATTTCGAAGTTAGCTAGGTTAAATAGGTCAGGCTACCATGTAAGGATTGATGGAGAAGCACCGCACTGTTCGAAGATTCCAGATTAATATACGAAGAGAATGTTTATTTTATTATATAGCTAGCTGACCCGGCAGGCTTCGTAGTGCCTCAATCGATAAATAAAAGACCAAAACTTCTGTATAAAATAAACTTAAAACAAACAAAAGGAATCCGCCCGACGCGGCGACGGGGGACACATCAAAGGGAAAACAAAATTGTTATTTTCTAGAGTTTTAACGAGACTAACGAACAGCAATCCATTTTTATATATATAGATTAAGATCATTTGAATTGCACTCCGTTGAAGTAGAGAAACAATAATTCAAGGCTGTGACATAACAAGAGCAGCCCGTTTATTTTCAGAACGTAAATTTAAGTGAATATGTATTTGCAAAAGTACTGTTACATGATTTCATTAATTCCTAAACTAATGAAATTTCGTACATTCCCAAAACCACATTAGTATTTTACGATTTTCTACTGACTATAGCTGAGTCGACTATTATCAAAGCCGGCAATATGACTTTTGGATAATTATTGGTAAATCAGAAAAACGAATTATTGACTTTGTATTCCATTGGCAGTCACAAAACTCTTCTGAACGACATCTTAGATAAATAACAGGTTAAGTATTAACCTTTATTTAATGCAGGTTTTGAACCGTATTCTTTGAAGGAGACCATTATATTCATATCAATCTGTATTGAAATATCAATAATTTTTTTTGTCCAAATGCACAGATTGCCACCTTTGATAATAGACGACTCAGCTAATCTTTTCTTATTTCTTGATGTAATAAACAGTTTACTGGTGGTAGGGCGTTTTGTAAGCCCGCACGGGTGGGTACCACCACCCTACCTATTTCTATCGTGAAGTAATACGTTTCGGTTTGAAAGATGGGACAGTCTTTGTACGGTTAAGCTGAGAGTTAGAAGTCATGTCCCGAGATACCCACCTTTTTAGGCAGCATTTACGTTGTTCGTGTCTTTGGACCTCGGTAACCACTTAACACCAGGTGGGCTGTGAGATATTCACCCACCTAACCATTTCTTTAAAAATACGTTAACATAGACTATTCTTCTCATTATAAAGGCCGTTGCTCCGAATACCATTCAAGCTGTTCATTAAAACAATTAACAGTGGCCAATTGTTGGCTTAGTCATGTGTCTGATTTAAGTAAATTAACTTCGCCAGATCAGAGTTAAAACGAATTTTACACATTACCATCACCAAGGCACCAAGCACCATCCCAGCTACACTTTTATGTTTTCTTTGTATTGACTTATATTGACTTTGCATTCGCACAATGATAACGTTGTGTGGGAGGACAGTTTCACGGGAAACATTACGTAATGAAAACGCAAAAATAGTTTCAAGTATTAAATGTCTCCGCTAGTAATTAGATAATACGATAGCGATAATTTTTGGCGGGAGAACTTCTTTCATTGATTGACATAAATAAATATCAGAACAAATCTCGATTGCATAGAAATAACGACTAAAAACTCTCTGGGTAAAACGCAGTACGGTTTAAAAAAAAAAAAACAAAAAATGCTGTGAAGAAGACAATTGGTGTTTCATTTAAAAGTAAGGACTAAGGTGAAGTTAGAGATTGATTAGGCATTTATATAACTCGACGTCGGAAAGATGAGATATAACTCTCAGTTCATAGGATTTAGAAAAGTATTGAGTAAGGCAGCAATATGTGATAATTAATAGTATAAAAACAAATGGTTTATCACAGCATTTCTCGTGATCCATTTAAGTTTGAGGAAAATTCGGAAATGTCAATTTATTTTCCGTCCGTAAAAATTGTACAGTTTTGATAATTATTCTCAAAATCATTTGTTCAAATATTTTAGTAGCTGTTAATTAATATACCTACATCGTGTGTTTGTCACCGTTAAAATTGTTGAATTGCGGTAAATATTATTATAAAAAAACCCAAAATCAGATATATTTTTTAATTGTGTAGATGGGTGGACGAGCTCACAGCCCACCTGGTGTTAAGTGGTTAATGGAGCCTATAGACATGTACAACGTAAATGCGCCTCCCACCTTGAGATATAAGTTCTAAGATCTCAAGTATAGTTACAACGGCTGCCCCACCCTTCAAGCCGAAACGCATTACCGCTTCACACGTAAGAAATAAGCAGTGTGGTGGTACCTACCCGCGCGGACTCGCAAGAGGNGACGAGCTCCCAGCCCACCTGGTGTTAAGTGGTTAATGGAGCCTATAGACATGTACAACGTAAATGCGCCTCCCACCTTGAGATATAAGTTCTAAGATCTCAAGTATAGTTACAACGGCTGCCCCACCCTTCAAGCCGAAACGCATTACCGCTTCACACGTAAGAAATAAGCAGTGTGGTGGTACCTACCCGCGCGGACTCGCAAGAGGTCCTACCACCAGTAATTACGCAAATTGATGAATTTGATTTTTATTACACGATGTTATTCCTTCACTGTGGAAGTCAATCGTAAACATTTGTTGAGTACGTATTTCATTACAAAAATTGGTACCCGCCTGAAATTCGAACACCGGTGCATCGCTCAACACAAATGCACCGTACGTCTTATCCTTTAGGCTACGACGACTTCAATGGCATCTTTAGGCATCAAAACATCACTCGATAAATTGTATGCCCTTTTTACCATTTGTAGCCATTATAAATTTTGAGTGATCACTGTTCACAGCTACAACATTCAGAGCTACACATATATTTGCACTATTTGCATTGCCACTTATATCGACCTTTCTATTACAAAAAAATGACTAAAACTTTTCTAGCTATTGCCAGAATGCTATTAATTATTGGAAACCAAAAAATATCATTATTCATCTCAATTGCAAGCTGTTTGCATATCCTGCTTTTATATGAGCAGAAATAAGCACTACTGAATTAACTTTTTTCTGTTTCGGGGGCCATGTTTAACAGATTGTATTCTTCTCATAACCGAGCCAACATTATAATTCCTATAAAATCGTGTTCTAATACTGACTTAACTCTGCAACATCTGACTTGTGGCTTCTACTTTATTCATGTAAAATTACTATTGCGAAACTCAATTATCTAATATATAAAATTCTCGTTTTTAATAAAATATCTTTCTCATTAATATGAGCTGTAAATAGTCCACTGTGAATGTTGACGCTGTCTCTAAAGCCCCCATGTTTCTTTAATTTGAGGTGATTCCCAGTTTACTTTTTCATCTTTTTGATTTCTTCTGTTATTAGAGAAGAGATAAAAATCATCAGCATGCAAACATATTTACAATTCCTCATTTTAACACAAAGGTCATATTAAGGTTTTAATCCATGTACCACATTTGATAATATTATTTCACATATTGCATACATATGTGCAATGAGTGTTCCTGTTTTTAAAATTTCCTGGTTCTTTATATAGTTACCATTATTTGAATAAGACAATAAGTGACAAAATAATTCTTTTTAACTTTTCAGTAAACAAAGGAGTTAAAACTGGCACACCATGGTCACAAGTATAATACGATGACTCACATCATGATACAATTTAAAACAAAACAAAATTCTGAAAACTTTGAATTTAATCACCTTTGTTTTCAGTTTCTTTGTATACATCACGCATATTAATGCGGCATATTTATGATCTTTATTATGTAAATCCTACTGTGCCTCTTATTACTTTTAATTATGGAATAATTTCTAAAGATGAATGGTGATCTGGATTAGAATTCTATTCATTTAATGAAATTTGTTACATATCTATTTTAAATGTTGGTTGATAACTAAAAATACCCCTTAAAAGAGTTTTTTTTAAACAGAAGCAACCATGTTCATTTAATTAATTTATTAATTTTAAGAGAATCTATATTAGTAAGATAAATAAAAACATACCTGTGTTTATGGAAAAATAGCACTATCAACCATATTGCCATAAGTAAGGAGCCTGTAATCTCGCACATGTCAAAAGCCCATGGAATGTGCGGTACATTATCCAAAAACAAATCTGGCAGGGGAGGGTATTTCTTCATGTCCGGCACCTTATCATGTACTATAACCATCACAACTGCAGTTACCCAAGTCACTAGGAAGACATAACCTGTTGGATTTCACCATAATAATTAACATCAATGTTCCATTAAGAGACATTTCGAAAGTTTTAATTAGAATAATATTCATATACTTAGTTCTATGACAAATAAAGTAATTATTTACCCAAAGCTATAGCTGTCTTCCAAACCTCTGGCCTTAACTTGGAAGCCTTTATGTCAGCGGGAGGATAGCTTGATACACATTCGGTATTCCCAGCAAATGATAATTCATTTGGAATTTTATTGTGGAGATCATAACTTAAATGTGACAAATTAGTGCCAAGAAAATTAATGTTAGTAGCTGGATTTATTAGGTCATCACATAGACCGAGCTCCATCATAGCGGAGCGATTGTGTCTTTGTAGTTTCTTCACGAGTAAAATAAATCTTTTTCTTTCACCAAGTTTCAATTGATCGAAAGGATGCGTATGGAAATCGCGATCAACAAACGATAGCAGGCACGGTCCGTCTATATCGTGCGTTTTACATATTTCTATTAAACAGCTGGAAATATTCTCTTTATGTAATAATTCTTCCACTTCTTTGTTACCCCAATTTAGAATATCGGACTCCATCGTTTCACTGTATTCTTCTAATTTTATTGGTGGTACAAAAATCCAACTCACGTTCTAAATAAAAATACTTCAAAATAAAGAAACCAGACGAACACTAACATTATCTAATTGTCACTTACTGAATGTAACAAAATAAGTTTAACGCATCCCCTGTTTATAAAATAGTGTTATGATTCTTATTGAATCGATGCGATTGGTGGCATAACTGACATGACATTATGATGATACCAATCGAAAAACCTAATTTACAGTGACATGGCGAGACATGGCGTTTGATTATTAACAATATTTTTACGATTGAAAATTGTTCGCAAGCAAGCAAGAAATTGTTCATCTAGGTGAGTCAAATTAATAAATAAATAAAATCATCCCTTCTGGTATTTCATTCGAAACAAATGACATGCTGTTATATTAATTCTCGATATTTAACGATAATTCCATAAAATTTCTAGCAGTTCGTTTTTATAATGATCTGGCAGTACCAAATTTGAAACCAGCGTTTTATTCGTTCATCAGACAGGGAATGGAAACTAAACTTTCCTGATAAAGGGTGTAATCAACATTTTTACGGAAACACGAGGCGCGGTAAATTCTTTTATTTTGGTTATTCCGTATTTCTTTAGATTTCAGCGTGTAATATCGGTAGTTGATTTGCCATCTGTGAAAATTAAACAAAGCCGCTGGACGTAGCTTCTGGTGTTTTTCTAAAAAGTCTACTTAGTACTAGTGTGCGTAAATAAGCATAATTTTATTGAGATTATTTCGTTCGATCTCCTCTCATTTAATTTAATTTCATTCAAAGCAATTAATTAGTTTCAAATTAATTAACTTCATTTCGTTCCGTATTATTAAGTAGTTTTCATCAAACAGAATATGTATATTAACATAATATGTTATATATATAACATAAATGTAAATAATATTATNTTAGTACTAGTGTGCGTAAATAAGCATAATTTTATTGAGATTATTTCGTTCGATCTCCTCTCATTTAATTTAATTTCATTCAAAGCAATTAATTAGTTTCAAATTAATTAACTTCATTTCGTTCCGTATTATTAAGTAGTTTTCATCAAACAGAATATGTATATTAACATAATATGTTATATATATAACATAAATGTAAATAATATTATATACATTTAACAGAATAAATTTGTAGTAGTTGTGGCCTAAAGGATAAGACGTCCGGTGCATTCGTGTTGAGCGATGCACCGGTGTTCGAATCTCAGGCGGGTACCAATTTTTCTAATGAAATACGTACTCAACAAATGTTCACGATTGATTTCCACGGTGAAGGAATAACATCGTGTAATAAAAATCAAACCCGCAAAATTATAATTTGGGTAATTACTGGTGTCCGCTTGTGGGTCCGCACGGGTAGGAACCACCACCCAGTGGCGTAGCTACCCAGGGGCTAGGCGGGGCAGTGCCCCGGGGCCCTCAAGCTCAGGGGGCCCTCGAATCCTTATCAGAAATCTCGATCGAACTGAACTTTTGGTAATTTCAAAATAAATATGACAGGTAGCAGCTCCACTTTAATCATGACAACTAAGTTGAGAGAAATTCATAAGAGTTATGCCTAGGGAATTCCCCTAAATTCTTTCTGTAGGTTAGCAGTGTTGTCAATTTGACGGATAGTAATATGTGCGTTTTATTATTCATCGATGTGCATTTTATTGTGAAATCGAGTGAAGATTTTTTTTTCGAGAACGGTTAAAAAATTAATGCTGTATCAGGAGGAAGTAAGCTAATGTCAATAAACTTTTTTGTACTGGTCTATTTTGGTTCAATTTTATTTGATTTTACTGCTCATATTGATCTCCATTAAATCAATAAATCGTGTCAAATCTATAGATTTCGGCTACAGCGATCCGCAGGCAGGAGATCGTTTATGGCCTCCACCGTTAAATGTGGTAACACTAACGGTGATAAAAAAAAATCGGGGATTCTCCAACGACACTTGTACTTGTAGCGTATCATTGTGTTTCTCTTTCCTTTTATTTTACTTTTAACGTAGTCAATGAACAGTGAGTACCTACCTACTCGAGCACAATCTTATATTGTATTGTTGAAATAAATTAGAAAACTAAAATTATGGATAGAAAAGAAGTAACCCAGTGATGCATTTAAACGCAAACAACGTCAAGAAAGAAAATAGTAAACAAAAATTGCCCAAATTGGACAAGTTTCTTAGTCAGCCTTCTGCAAGTACATCTGGCCAAAATATCTCTATTGATAGTGACTCAAATAATGTGGTAACAGCAGTACCGGTTGAGAAGCCTACTGAAGAAGATTCGACAATTATTGCAGTTGGAGATACCTCCGCCGCCGATCCTGTGAACGTGGATCATGTTTGCATGACACACATAAGAGCGGAGGGTTTGGAGGAACCACAGACCTCTACATTTTTTGAAAATACATACGACAAATCTTCTTATGGCTTGGGAAACTTTACGAACAAAATATTAAGTGATAACGAAAAACGTCAAATTCTTGATATGGGGCCTTTACAGCCTTCAGGACCTTTTGAGACAGACATCAACTAGAACGATAGGTGTTTTTCAAAATCGTGCTACGTTTCGTGTTCTAAATATGGGCCAGTTAATCGTTTTTGGTTGTGTTATTTCAAAATACTAGACGCTGCCTATTGTCAAATTGTCAACCCTGCTGGCTATTTCCTTCACAAAGAAATAATGTTTGGTGTACGGGAATTCAAGATTGGAAGCATTTATCAGAAAGAATTAAATAACACAGTTGTTCGAGTGGCCATTCGCAAGCATGTGCTGTATATGAATTTTGGAAAAAAACGATACTAATACGTCGTCAGCGCCACGACCACCAGCCCTCTCGGTCGGCAGGCTTTCCGGAGCCCACCTAGATGGCGCTGGTTAGAATTGTCCTACGGAATACCCCGCTGGGTCAGAACCAGCGTGGATCGAGGGTAGCCGGCCTTCCATCACCCGGATGCTCTTGCGTAAAACGCGTGCAGAGCAGCATGCACGTCGTCTTCTTAGGCCCCCTTCGCCGGTCCCCAGACCGACATGTGAAGGGGACCCGAAACACTAAGAGAGCCATGGCTTGGGCGAGATCCGCCTCCCTGGCCCCCGCTCGATAGCGGCGGGCTTGTGAGTCTCTCACGCGCCCCGTCGCCTCATTCTGTGAGATGGTGCACTCGCAGAAGTCGAGCATCGCCTTCCACGACTCGTCGTCGCCGATCATCGATGCCACAACACTCGGCAACGAGTCACAAGTCGTATCCTACTTTCACAACAAGTCGGGCGTCCTCTGTCATGATTCACCCAGTCCACAAGGGCTGGGCGAATCGCCTTGACGATCCTACGACCAGCCAAAGGATCAGATAGTCGCCTGGACCACAACTCCAGCACGGACCGCCGAGATTGGGCCTTCCGCGCTCTGACCACACTGGGGCTGGGACGCGCCATGCCCCGGGCACCAAGGCCGAAGGGCATTGATCGCACCACCTCTGTATAGAGACAGCACGTCACCTGGTCAGGCCCCCCCGACGTTGGGCAGAAGCCGGCTTAACGCGCCGGCCACCCCCAACAAACGAGGGTCCAGGATCTGAAAGTGAGCACGGAAGGTCCAACGACTGTCCAGAATGAGGCCGAGGTACTTTAACTGCACCCCGACCCCAATACGGACGCCTCCAACCACGATATGGGTATCGACAGTTGGCACTCTCCGGGGCCTGTGGAACCACATGGCCTCGGATTTACTGAGTGCCACGTCGAGGCCCAATCTCCTGGTTTTGCCGACGACATGCGCCACCCCAGCGGTAGCAAGACGGGCAGACTCAGCAAAACTTCTTCCCCCCGGGCCACGACCAACGTGTCGTCTGCGTAACAGATTACGCTCAGGCCCGGGAGGAAGGCACCCCTCAGCACCCAGTCATACCCGATATTCCACAAAAGGAGCCGAGCACAGCCCCTGTGGAACACCGCGCACGACCGGGAACCTGTGCACGATCCCACCATGTCCGGTACACGTGACCGATCTGTCCTCTAAGTAGAAACCTACCAGCCACCAGTACGCCTGGCGATTAGGAAGTCGAAGGCCGATCCGGGGCATCGATGCATCACAGACGCGACGCATCGTGTCCCGGAACCACCCTGCCTCGCCCTCGACCTCGACTGGGTGTGGACGCATGGGCGCCCACGCCGCCACCGTAGAGGCTTCCATCAGGAGCTCCTTATTCAGGCGCTTCAGTGCCCACTTGAGGAATGACCGGGATGCACCACGGGGATGGTCCCCGTGGATGTCCGCGACTGAGGAGCGGGCGGTGAGGTTAATCCGAATATATCGGTGGTCTGTATATATCGGTATCTGACAGTGTCTCCGCCCCCCTCCAAGACCCTCCAGTCGCGGATTCGGCGCGCGATGGCCGGGCTCGCAAACGTAACGTCCTTAATAGACTCGCCCTGCCACCGCACGCACGTCGCAACCGAACCTCTATTCAACAAACAGAGGCCGGCCGCGTTCGCCCACCTCTCCAGCAGCCTACCACGAGCGTTTGAGCGGGGGGACAGACTCCGTATTGAGGTCCCCCGCGAGAATCACTGGATGGGGAGCGAGGCGGCGAGCAATCGCCCCGATCCTGCCCAGAAAATACCCGCACTCAACAGTAGGCCTGTTCGGAGAGAAGTACGCTCCGATCACGACGGTCTCTTAAAACTGCGACGCGACGAACCCTTAGCCCCTGGTCAACATCGCCAGGGGGAGATCGCCTATGACTGGCCGCCAGGCCGCCATCGTCTCCGAACCAGCAATCATTTACCGGGGGAACGAAGTACGGCTCGGCGACCACAGCCACATCTATGGACCACTCCGCCATGCTCTGAGACAGCATGTCCTGAGCTCTGCCGCGGGCAGAACCACCGACAAGACGCACGTGGCGCGCGGCTGCTTGCTACACCGCGGGCGGGCGGCGGCTGTGTCGCCACCTTTTCTAGCTTTTCAAGCGATACTGATCTTTTAAGTATATAGATAAAGCTTGAAATTATTTCACACTGAAAGTGCTCGTCGCGACGCTGCCATTTCGGTGTGACTCGGCCCTCACCATAGGAACTTAAAAAAAGGGGAAGGCCGAAACCGTTTCCATTAATGTTGTACAATTTTNCTACACCGCGGGCGGGCGGCGGCTGTGTCGCCACCTTTTCTAGCTTTTCAAGCGATACTGATCTTTTAAGTATATAGATAAAGCTTGAAATTATTTCACACTGAAAGTGCTCGTCGCGACGCTGCCATTTCGGTGTGACTCGGCCCTCACCATAGGAACTTAAAAAAAGGGGAAGGCCGAAACCGTTTCCATTAATGTTGTACAATTTTACAGATGCTAAATTACTTAACCAAACTTATTACGCGTTCAATCCTGAATAAGCATTAAAAATTCCCGCAGTTTCACACCTTATGTTTAGGCCCTATAGCGCTTTTCTTGTAAATTGACATTTTTTCAGACTCACATTTATATTCTTAGTTTTTTGCATTAATTTGTAAAATGTATTTATTTATAAATAAAACATAGGCATTGCGTAATTAACATTTATTATGTTACATACTTCAAAATCAATAGCGTTAGATACATAACAACAAAAATTATCTCAATTGAATATTTCAAATATTACCGACATATTTAAGCAATAAAAAATGGTTAGCAATTATTTTAATTATAATCATTTCATAGTTCAGATTAACTTACTTTTAAACCAGAAGAATAGCTGCGATCATATATATTGATTATAAATGTAATTTTTTTTCTTGGATACAATTGACAAAAAAAATAAAGAAAAAAGTTTTTTTTTAAATCCTCGTAAAACATGATTTGCGGCTATTCATCTACAAACTGAACAACATGAAATATTTAGCAATATAGCATCAAGCATTACATTACTATTGAATAGAATGACTTACGAATAGAAAGAAAATAATATGTAATTATTATCTGTAATCGAATCTCATTTCAATCAGGTATTTCACTTTGACCTGAGCCACGTCGTACACGATGAACCTGATACTGTGCTAAGGAAAACATTGTCAAATATATATTTTTTATAACTGTTGAATATGCTATCAATAGTTGATAATTAGATTTTGGAAAGAGTACAAAAGTATTGATTCCTATTAGACACTGCTACCTTAGTGATTTTCCTACCTTTCTAGTCGAAGTGGGCATATGGATTTAATAAAAGGCTACTAAGGGATTCCATCGGAGAATATACAGCACTGTAATTTTAACGTAAATCCACACGGGTAGGTGCCATCATCTTGCCTATTTCACAATTGTGGCACAAGTGCGTTCCGATTTAATGATAGACAGCCGTTATTTAATAGAATTGAGACTTCTAGCTCATGTCTCAAAGTGGGCAGCATTCAGTTAGCTTTTCTATTAGCTCTGGTACCGTACACTGGCCATGATCTCATTTACCCATTTATGCAATAAATAAGAAAAATTGAAGCAGTGATAACAAAATGTAACTTGGAACATTATTCAGTTCTTAGGACCACAGTGTGCTTAGTGCGAGTTTTTTAAATTCTCTTTTTTTTTTCTACCTATGTTGATAGCCTTGAGAGGCTATTTCAGCTTGACTCTAACGTGTGTAGATGAGCTCACGGGGTTCAAACCGGAGTGTTGCGAACACTGGCCCTAGCAAGAGCCGTGCTTCGCAGAATCTACCACCGGATCGGAAACGCGACCCACTGAGAAGATCCGGCGAGAAACTCAGTGGGCTGTGTCTATGGGCTAATTCGCTCGTCGAGCCCTTCGTCGCAAGCGACGGGTTCGACAGGCACAGTGACCGGTGATTGTGGTGCCTAAAAGCACCGTTAATGGATCGGGAGAATCCGTAATGACGTGCTTTGGGCGACGTCGACTGTATATCATTCAGTCTACAAGATCGGGTATGTAGTTTCCGGCGGCCACGATGAGAGGGTTCTCGTGTCGTGACGTTTTGTCGAAGTGGCGCATCGATCCCGACTGTAGATACTCACTGACAGAGTCGAGCTCCAGGTCATCGTGGAGATCCACGTTCCTCAGGAACCATGAGCTCCGACGGCTATCCTGCAGAATCGGGACTATAACTTCTCGATCGCGTAAAAGTTAACTCAAATTTGTATGGAGATGGAGCAGCTTCTCTTCGTTAGCCGCTAGCACTAAGCACACCGGTAACAGTCAGGGTACGAAATTTGTATCAAATGAGGTAACATAATGAAATTTATATTTGTTTAATAAAGGATACTCGTTGTACAGCAGCGTGCTGTTCTCCGCCCTGTCGACGGGCGTCCCGAGCGGCACAATGAGTCCGTCGGGCAATTCCTTATTCATTTTCGGGTCCGGCTCAGTTCGACCGACGCCCCACACGGAATGCGTGCCGGACGGGGCTTTAGAGAAACCTTCAGCATTGACACACTCCTTCCTGGAATCAGTGATTAACTTAATAACATGTAGAAGAAGTCGTCGTGGCCTAAAGGATAAGACGTCACGGTGCATTAGTATCTAGCGATGCACCGGTGTTTGAATTCCACAGGCGGGTACCAATTTTCCCAATGAAATACGTACTTAAGAAATGTTCACGATTGACTTCCACGGCGAAAAAAAACATCGTGTAATAAAAACCAAACCGCAAAATTATAATTTGCGTAATTACTGGTGGTAGGACCTCTTGTGTCCGCACGGGTAGGTACCACCACCGTGTCTATTTCTGCCGTGAAGCAGTAATGCGTTTCGGTATGAAGAGTGGGGCAGTCGTTGTAACTATACTGAGACCTTAGAACTTATATCTCAAGGTGGGTGGCGGCATTTACGTTGTAGATGTCAATGAGGCTCCAGTACCTAACCACTTAACACCAGGTGGACTGTGTGCTCGTCCACCTATCTAAACAATAAAAAATAAAAAAATGTATCAACTAACGCTACTTTAATTGGGAGGTCTGAGAGATGTTATGAATTTAATTATTCAGAATAGAATTGTAAGTTGCCAATACAGTCTTTAGTATTTTTTTAAAGAGATTTATTAACATCAACCTTAAAAAAATGTTCATAAATAATTTATCAATATATTTATCAATATAATCAGAAGTCTGGGTTGATGTTCAACCGACAATACCTGGTGTAAATGCAAGCTCACCAATTCGTCTCCGTTTTAAATAAATAAAGAATCAAGTGTCACTGACTTGTAGAAAAATTAATAACGAGGAAAGGGTATGAAGAAACCTCTTTCTAGCTCGCTGTTATTAGTATGGTATGCATGTTTGTTTGTATGTAATGTAATCTTTGAATACTATTTTAACCCACTTCAAGGCCCTGGATTAACTAAATTTGTACATACATTAAGGACTGATGACAATACAATCAACAGCATAATAAAAAAAAACAAAAATTGAAAAAAAAGGATATAAAAATTTTTGTTAGTTTGGTTCGCTATTTAAGTTTTGTATATTATTATTTTGTTTAAGTCTATAAAACCTTATACGCATTCAAATGGTAAATATTGAAGTGTTGCGAACGCGAACATCAAAATTGCCGTTTCAGTGGTTCGTTACAATTAAGAAATTTAACATACATATTCCCGAGAGCGACCTCACACAGCAACATGAGGCCGACGGGGTTGTTTCTGGTGGTGCAGCAGTAGTTGGCGGACTTGGAGACCATGTCCGCAAAGTATATGCCCTTGCCGAACATGTAGCCCGTGACCGGCGCTTCGGGCGGCGCAATACGAAGACCTGCAGACAAGCAAACGTTGGTAACACGGGAAGCTGATTCTTTGAACACTATGATTTCATACGATACAGATAATTTTTTGTGATTAACATTATTTGTTGACGTCACATCAACATCCATAGAGTTCCAAATGCTATTAAAAACTATCATAATAAAATACGTCGCTGGAAACCACATCTAAATCCATCCATCATAGTTGGGCCATGGTGAATTTTACCATGGACCGATGCCTAGATAAAGAGACAATGTAGGTTTTAAAGTAGTTCAACAGATTATATTTTGCTTTGTTGTTAAATGTGATTGGAGGAAACTCATATTTTGTGTAGTATGTAAATACGTGAAGACAAAATAATCTTTGATCTTTTTTCTAAAAGCTATATTTATTATTAATAGAACGGTTTTTCTTTGAATTTACTAACACAGAAGAATATAGCAATTATCACTCATAAAATGAATCGAAATACTATAATATTAATTTTTTTTGTTAGAAACGACAATAATTTCACCAAAGATATGGGCAATCTTGTCATTTACCTTGTGAAATAATGCCGGCGAAGTTGGTGGTGCGGGAGCCGTGCCACAAGAGGCGGCGGTTGTGGAGTTTCTTGAAGGGCTTGTAACGCTTATCTTCTCCCTCGCGGATAACTTTGAACACCTATCGATAAATTGGATATGTAGTTTATTAATTTTAAACATTTTTAATAAGTTTATTAGATTTCAATTTCACTATATTAACACTATTCATTCATGTACTAAAAGTTGTCAATAATGAAAATAAAAAAGACTTATTTACTTAAGATTTATATCATTATTCATAGTGGGAGAATTAATATATGTCTTCTTGATTTCACAGTATTTGATGTGGTGTAGTTCAGTAATGTTTTTTTTAATAATACACACCTCTTCCACATTGAGCGTGTAGAAGTTGTGCGTTTTTCCGTGCGTGTTCCGCACGTACTCCAGGATCATTTCGAACTCGTCGGTGGTTTTGTCGAGCGGCGCTATCTCCGCCTTCAGCTTCTTGTAGTGGCCTTCGATGGGGCTCACCGTGTCGTCAGTGTCTGTGGAACGCGAACTAATTTTATTTATACCCATTTATTTAACACTATTAGTACGGAAGTCGTGGTGGTCTGCTCTAGACCACCACGGGTCGGGGAACTGGGGTAAATTACCTCAAATGGGGTAAAATGTAATTTTGGGGGGTAAAAATAAAACTTTTGTGGATAAAAAGTATATATTGAAGTGAAACTTCTTTAGAATCGTTGTGATTTCAAACTCAATGAAACGAAATGAAACGAAACGAAGTTTTTTCGTCTAATAATACAAGAAAAATATCATATGAATTATAAAATAACAAGAAATTATCATTTACTTATATTTTCTGTGGGGGCGATTTTTTTTTCCTCAACTGTATATTACATATATTACTATTATTACCGTTATGTATTACTAAGTATTACATTGATAAATTGAATAAATTATGTTTACATTAAACTTTTAGTTATCGTTTTCTTTTCAAAATTATTGATGATATTTTTCATAATTGAAAGATACTAAAAAGAAGCGATTTCGTTTTTTTTTTGTTCTTCGGCATGGGGTAATATCAACTTAAACAAAAATGTTTTGGGGTAATAATTAAAAAGCTTACCCGACCCGTGCTCTAGAGGGTAGGATGCCTGACTTACTTTAACGGATTACAAATTCGTTTTCGTAGCTCGGTTCTTTAATTTATGGTCGTTTGAAAACAGTGACGACCAACATGACAATTGGAACACAGACGACATGTCTCTAGTTCGGCATGCATGTTGCGAGGAAAAGTTGTTTGAAAGCAAGTAATCTTTTTCAATATATCAATTGTATAACGTTTGTTAAAATTCCAGTCTATACAGAGAAATGTACCGGACTTTCTTCATACGACTAGGTTTTTATTCTCTGTCTAACATCACTTTATTATATACTAGCGACCCGCCCTCGCTTCGCTTCGGAAACTGTAATTTATTATTGATTTCTCCATTATTTAATGGATGTTATTATACATATAAACCTTCCTCTTCAATCACTATCACACATAGGGATATAGGGACAGAGAAAGCGACTTTGTTTTATACTATGTAGTGATGTCATTAAAATTTTTTCGATCTAATAGTTATAATAAAGGTCTTCCTACAAAAAGATATCTTAATTTACTTATACAATGACATTAACAGAGGTAGAAGTAGAAGAGCATACCTGATTGTAATAGACCATACGCAATTTCAATTTCCAACAGGTTATCCATCATATCGGTCTTCGTCTTTATAATTTCATTATTATCCAACAGCGGTGCGTTATTTACCCCGAAGTCGTGGGGTATTAAAGTGAAAAATCTGTTTAAACAATTGCATGATTATGAAATGTATTTTATTTTTATGTAATGTTAATAATGTACATTGTAATTTGCAAGCTGAAACTTTCATAATATAATAACAATTTTTAACACAGGCAACAAAGGAACAATTTAAAAAAAAAAAAAATTTGACGCTCACATAATTTATTCACCAATATTTCTTTTTTATTCAACTAAAACCGAAGATGATACAGATGTTCCATACTACTTAAATTTTGGGTTTAATCCCAGATTCATTTCATTCAGAAAGCTCTCGACTTGTTATATATTGGTAATTTTGAAACATAAAAATATATTTACATTATATATTAGAGTTAAATGATGCGTTGATTTGTTTTAGAAGTTGCAATACAGTTTTTACCTATTAGTGGCATCCACAATTTTATTTCGACTCGCATCTCCGCTTTTTATGAGATTCTGCAGTTCAGATAATACTTTGTAGCCTGCTTTTATTTGTTTCTTAGACAACTTTCCGAGAGGCATTTTCTCTGTGTCCAACTGAAACAATAATTAGGATCTTTCGGTTATTTTAATTTGTATAATGCAGGCAAAGCAGCGCGTTATCGAAAGACACTATCATTTATGTAATTTAGCGACTGTATATTGGCGTCAATCATGTTGAGACTTCGGTCTCGAGTGTATGGTACAGCGGTTCTAATGTACCCTATAAACAAATCACAATCACGTATATTTTTGTAAGTTGCATAATTATTACAAAGTCCATTCATTAATCGTGGAAACGGCTTGTAAACACGTGTTAAATACGTATTACCTTACACCTATTTAGCGAAAATGTTGAGGGTGATAATTTTCAGTAGATATTCTTTAGGGACTTTTCTAATTACGAGGTTCTTTCAAGTAATTTCAATAACAAGTGTACTCATGTAGTTATTTACAATCAGATGGTTTATTGGCAGCAATATCAGAGAGACACTTTTCTTATTTAACGTTGTAGCAAATTCAAACCTGCGGGGCACGCTTGGTGGAAACTAGCAAAAAAAATTGAGAATGATATCAAAAGTATTTCACCTCGAATTCGAGCAAGGTCTGCTTCATGTAGTGGATGTCAAAGATGGTGACGATGAGTCGCTGCACGGGCTCGGCGAGCTCACACTTGGGGTCGACAGTGAGTGTTTTCGTCTCATTGTCACCGTAGTCTATTTCCAGCGGGAAGTATCGCCCCGGAATCTGTTCAGTAAAAATCGGATTTTTAAATCATTTATTACATCAACACATGTAAAATGGTGAAAGTTACAAGATAAACCTGAACACAAAAAAATACCAAATTTAATGAGACGTTTTTCGAATACCTTACAGTTTCCGTGCAAACGGAAGATTGATATTTTTTTCGTAGACATTTGAATATTGTGCAAACTACCGTATATTTTTTATGAAAAATATTTCTTGCCCTTTTTTACGTTTCATTACACAATGAGTGAACTAATGGTAACTGAACTCTTCAAGGTTAATTTTGTTATCCTTAGTCGTCCGTGACCACAGAGCTATAAAGCGAATATACATACGTATATTCGAAGCATAGAAAATCATATTAAACGTACATAATAAAAAGTAAATATGTCAATTTACATTACTTAAAAGTAAAAATGCTTTGTAAAGGTCATGCACTCTCAGCACTAAGGAATACGATATATGGAGAAGGAGGACAGTAAACACAGGCCGGACAGTAGTACAAATTCTAGCAGGCACACTTCAGCAGAGTTAGGTTACTGTCACTACCGTGCATGGTTTAGATGCTTTCACAAGACAAACCTTGACAAAGTTATTCCTGTCTTTCCAACGGTTTTCAGTTTTTTCTTCGTACAGCGCTTGGAATCTGTCCAAAGCGTTATCGAGATCTTTCATCTTCTCGACTTTACTGCCGCCGATCGTTGTGCCGATCCGACCCCACGAACGGAACAACCAGTATCTGAGAAATAAGCGGGTTCTATATTTGAAAATTATTAACAACTTTATGGCGTGCTTAAGGAAATAATTTACAGATTCGATAGCGTCACTGTCGTGTAGTCTACTCGTGGTACCGCATGTTGAGACCACACAGGGTAGCACCAAACTCCTTTCTTCTTTCTACCACAAAGCAGTCAAAGATGACGATGGGTCGCAGTGTTAAAGCTGTGACATCCTCCGGCTGTGATAGTTCACTTAATACCAAATGGGCCAGGAATTTACTTGGGTGATTTTTAGCAATAATTTATTTTTTTATTGCTTAAATGGGTAGACAATCTCACAGCCCACCTACCAACGTAACTGCACCACCCACCTTGAGGTATAAGTTCTAAGGTCTCAGTACAGTGCATTACTGCTTCACGGCAGAAATAGGCAGGGTGGTGGTACCTACCCGCGCGGACTCACAAGAGGTCCTACCACCAGTAAAGTCGGGCAATCTCGTTACCTGTTCTCTTTATTATGTTTCAAGATCTGCAGTTTGTAGAAAGAGTTCTTCTGAGCGACAACATCAGCGAGCGAGAGCACGACCGAGTACGTTGTTTTGTAGCGGTCCGTGTACACGTGGCACTCCTCGTCCAGTTCCGACGCCGGGTCCACAGCGTTGCCGTCTGCACATACACAACATGTATTGAAACTTGTACGCTTTTTATATATATTACGCACAAAACTGAAGCTTAGCTTCCTAATTACTATTTGAAAAAAAAAATCGAATTTTCTTTTCAACTATTCTAATGGAAAAAAAATTCAACTAAAGTAACAAACAAAGTAAAAACAAACTCTTAAGTGGAGAAATGATGTTACGTTTGATGAAAGATAGTGAACAATTATGTTATAGTTCTGATAATGAGTTCTACTAGACTACTTACTATATTATTTAAAAAAAAATGTATGAATCGTATTTACACTGCCCTTATATTTGGAAATAAAAGTGTGACGGTTGAAAGGATTTTAATTATGATGATGATGAATTCTCGTAGCAAAAGATTTGGATGTAAATGATATTTACCGCGGATCTTGAGTTTGACTGCTGATTTCTCAGATTTGACATACATGCTTTTACTCTTGGGTATGGATTTTCCATCAATAATATCTTGGGGCAGCTTAGAGGCAGGCTTAAAAAAAAACAAAAAAGTATTACTGGATGAAGAACAGCTGTAATAAAATATTGTAGGTGTTCTGTAAATTCACAATTATTATTGTGCATTTTTATATTTGCTGAATAGGTTACGATGGAACGAGATTTTTTTTAAAGGTCTACTGAGAGCTACTGCATTATGAAAATGCACTGTCGAACAACCCCGCCATATATTTTTTGTCGGTCCATTTTTGTTTTATTAAGGTTACATGACCAATAACAAAAAAATCAAAAAAAGTATAACGGATATTGCTAAATACAATTATTACATTGCCATTAAATTTTGTTGCATCACTAAAATCTAAAAATTTAACACTGAATTTCGAAAACCATAGAACATTATGTGGTTCATCACTATTTATTCATATAAGATCGACGGTTAGCGCGTTAATGATTTTGACATTAAAATGACGTCATACCTTACAAGTTGAGTTCAGACTTTTGTTAAATTTGGTAAGCAGCTCAGAATAAAAAATAAAAAATAAAATGTACTTTGTTGTTATTGTTGGTATTACAATGCAATTTTTTACATAATACATCATTCAAGACACTCGAGTCATTCATTCATCAAATGGGTGTATTCCATATATGTATTTAGCTACATACGTACTACACAGCAAATTATGGCCGGTATTCACACTACTTCACGATTTAAAAAGTTGTATTTACTAACTTTTTGCCTATTTTGTAGAACAGAATTATTGCGGATTTATAAGCTATATTTTAATTTAATTTCTATTAAAAAATACCAACTCACATCAACACCCCAATCGGCGATATTATATTCTTTCATTAACTCCAGGGATCTGGCTACAGTTCCGGTCTCAGGGTCAATCGAATTTAGAAAACTTTCATCTAGAACCTGTTAATAAAATTGTTATTAAGCAGTCACTTTTATTATTTACATGAATTTTTGAAGAAATAAAAAACTGCAGATTTATTAATTTTAAAATCATGCACTTAATATTCCACTAGAACCCGCTTACTACGTTTATTTTGAAAATTTATATTGTATTTGCAAAATACAGTAAAAACGAAAACAGACCTTTTTAATGACCTGTGCGTTTATACACGCTAATGTTAACAATGGCTGAATTTAAACGTGATTTCAATATAGAATTAGCCTTATTGCAATACATTGAGTTCGCATAATAAAAACACTTTAAGTGCTCGTACTTACTACAATATCCAGATATTGTATGGATTGCATTTTAGGAGACATTTTGTCGACATCCGCTTTAGTAGAGATGACTGCGACCGTAGCTTCAGACAGTTTACTGACGGGGTCTCCTCCGAGCTTGATAATGCGATTCTTGATATTCTCCTTTTCATTCTTCTTCAATGTTCCGTAAATGAAGAATTTCAAGTTTTTCAAAGGCGGCACACGGATTTCTTTTTTTACTCTGAAAAAAAATTTAATTATAATTTTTCTTTCACTGATGCATACTAAGAGAGGACTATTAAAGTATTTTAATATTATAAAAGAAAAAGAACGCGTGGGAATTGGTCAATGTGACCTAATTTTGAATTTAATGACAGTATTTTCCGAAGCCTTTTTTTTTATTGCTTAGATGGGTGGACAAGCTCACAGCCCACCTGGTGTGAAGTGGTAACTGGAGCCCATAGACATCCACAACGTAAATGCGCCACCCACCTTGAGATATAAGTTTTAAGGTCTCAAGTATAGTTACAACGGCTGCCCCACCCTTCAAACCGAAACGCATTACTGCTTCACGGCAGAAATAAAAAGGCCTGACGAGTGCTCGTATCGAAGAAAATAAAAACGGTAAGCATTTCAAAACGTTGTAAAAGGAAATGAATACAAACGGGAGATTAATCGCAAATTCATTTAAATTATTGCATTATTTTGGCTGACAGTATAACTATATAGTCAACCTGCTTTTAACGTCACGATGCTTCTGCTTCAATTACGGATTTAATATGCAGTGTAGTAATGTATTAATGTAATTCATGAGGATAACTGATCTTAAACTGTCTTTATGCAACTCAAGGAATTTGGCGGAATAAATAATAAATCGATGGCGGGCAAGTAGTGGCGCGACTATAGTAGAATTATTTTGTCCGGTCAGTTTGGGTCATAAAAAATCGGAGCGGTGCAGCGAGTATTTCGCTCTCTCTTCCACTCACGAGCCTTATGGACGGGCATAGTGATGCCCATTATTGTTGTCGATACGCGTTATCGATAGTGAATTTAGTCTTGTCATTTTGTGAGTTAGTGATAAAAACGAAAGAAAAAATCACTAATCGAACACTTACACCACACATCGCCGCAGCAAGTTAACGAGAACGGCAGAAATTAACACGTTGTAACTTTTCGGAATCTATTTTCATTTCAGTGAAAAATTTTAACACATTGTTGATAATAACACGTGCTTGTGCTGGTATATTTTTGACAACAAGTAAAATATTAGAATAAATTCTGCCGTTTTGGTACAAAACAAAGGAGTAGCCATTGAGCCACTAAAGAAATTCAGAGAACGAATGCATAAAAGCACATTTCTCTTCGACATAATGTATTATAATTTGCAGGTAAGTACAAATGACTCATAGCATAACAATGTCTCACCACCCTTCGTATACCACCCCGCCGGCGTGTACCTGTCTTCGATGGCTCATTTGTTTTTATCGATAATGGCGTTGCGCCCGCGCAACATGCTCACCGCCCTAGCCGGGCTATGTTTTATGACCCAAGCTGCACGGACAAAATAATTCTACTATAGAAGGGACCGTTAAAAAAAACGCAACGTGTTTGTTCGGCTATTTAGGGCGACAAATATTTGATTTTAGCAACGAAAGTGTGTGATTAGTAAATTGTTATATACACAATATAATGCGTTCAAAGCCCGAGTAAGAACATAAGGCACGGAAGAATAATCTTTTATAAGACTTTTATTATGTAAAAAAAATTTTAATTTACAAAACAACTACTTAAACGTGAGAGTTGCGAATTGTAAACAATTAAAAGGTGAGACCTATATTCAGCAGTGGGTGTCTGTGAGCTGAAAGTAAAAGAAAAAGATAGTTCTTACTCTGTCTCTTCTTGTTTCACAACAAAGTTTTGTGATGGAAGTGGAGCGTGGAACAAACGAGTGCGGACCGTGGGCTTAAACGAGCGGAAACAATCAAGCCCTTTGTAATTTTCTGGTATTTTCAGAGCCCTCCTCTTCGGTTTATCAGTTTGATAGGTACATTTGGTCCACTCGCTCAAATTACCTGATTGAAAAGACAGATTACTCTAAAAGATTACTCCTGATTTATTATTTATTTTAACTTGTTATTTATTATAATTATATTGGAATAACAGTTATTTCAGAATTAGAATGTGTGTATGTCTAATTTTTAAGGGGTTTATGTATACAGTTATCTAACGTTAAAATTTTATTTACATTTTTGGTATGATTCGAAGAGGGTATTACTATATATGTTTACAAGTGTATGCAAACTTTTAAGCAGTGTTTTATGAGAGTTGTGGTACTGCATTCAGGTTGGATGTATATGGACTCAGGTAACACACTAAACACAAGGTAGGTAAGAAAAAATAGAGATAAAAAAAAGAAAAAACAAGGATACCTGTGCATTTATAACCAAGGGTATCTACAACTAACTGCCCATGTTTACATTCAGGACAGGTCTCGAGAGCTCCGAATGTCATACAATCTGCTAAACGATCAAAACACTGAAAAATAAACAATGAATAAATGTAATAGGAATCCTATACAGTGGTACAAAAGTAAAGATGTTAATTATTATTATAAAAAAATACCTGAAAATATTTCAGTTTTACACATGAGTCGTCTATTATCAAAGGTGGCAATCTGTGCATTTGGACAAAAAAAAATTATTGATATGTCAATACAGATTGATTTGAATATAATCGTCTCCTTCAAAGAATACGGTTCAAAACCTGCATTAAATAAAGGTTAAACTTAACCTGTTATTTATCTAAGATGTCGTTCAGAAGAGTTTTGTGACTGCCAATGGAATACAAAGTCAATAATTCGTTTTTCTGATTTACCAATAATTATCCAAAAGTGACATTGCCGGCTTTGATAATAGTCGACTCACATGTATGTAGAAAAAGCCCATTTGACACTAAAAGGGAGGTCTTTTTACTTTGATTGCACTTTGTTGAGGTCAATTATATTGACCCCTGTTACATGTGACGGTAGTCACAGAAAAACTATTGTATAGTGCATAGACTCACCTCAGTCTTTCCTGTTGGGATTCCCTGTAAATTGTACTCCAAAATTTTTTCTACATCTTTTTTATTTGTATTCATTAAAGCATTTCTATGTTTATCAAACAATTTGTTTTGTTTTTCAATTTTGTTTTCAAGTGCTTTGTCCTCTTTCAACTCTTTTTCGTCTTTTACTTCATTCTTCAATTTTTTTATTGGAATGTCAGGGCTTTCAAGTGGTCTGAAATGTATTGTTGTTATTTTTACAAAGCAACAGATAAAAAACCGAATAATAATAAAGATGATTTGCCAATGAAAATCGAACGATGTGAAAAAAATTACTCTGATCATATGAACGATTTTAACGGTAGTTTTTATTATTTGCCCAATTATATTTAACACTAGATTTATGAGGCTACCGCACAGGCACACAGTGGGTCGATACTATGATTTTAGTGACTTAGGGACCAACTTTGTTTTTTAAGATTTTTTTTTATGTGGATAGATAGAGCTCGTTAATCTCAATAAGAATTGTTCTTGGCAAAAATTACAAAAACTTTATAGTTTGGTCAGAAAAATGTGTTTTGTGATTTTTTTGTATGGAGCGGGTCACATTAAATTAAATTCCTGCTAAGTACCGTGAAGTCCCGCTTTGAAACTATGTTTTTCTTACACCTTGCCTAGTCTACTATCATTTGATGCTATGAACATCTGCATAAAGTTGCAACTCTGCCAAATAAATGGATCAAAAAAATGAATAAATACATAGAATAAAAACCTTCATTTTTTTTTTTTCGTAAGTGCTTTTAAGTTAAATTTGATATGGATTACTAAGTAAAAGCACGTAATAATACCCATAATTACATAATAACTAACAACAATACATTTAGTATGTCTCTAATTAATCAATCTCTCTAAGTATTATGTATTTTGTTTCACTATTCGATCTTTGGATCAGAAGACCAAAGAAGATTGTTTAAAATATCCTAATTATTCGACGTTCTACTTATCTTTCTAGAATAACAACTCTCTGTATATTTCCGAAAATCTTTATTGCGAGCTTCCGCTGCTTCTTCCGACAGTTTACCTATAGGAATGGCACCAAAGTTCTTAATTATTGTATATCACTGCTATGTGCCAATTTATGGATACTGGAAGGCATATAATACCAGGGATATAAATAAACATACAATTCTGCAGTATATCTACAAAATTCGGAAAAATTGGAAAGGTCCACGCGCTCNATATTTCCGAAAATCTTTATTGCGAGCTTCCGCTGCTTCTTCCGACAGTTTACCTATAGGAATGGCACCAAAGTTCTTAATTATTGTATATCACTGCTATGTGCCAATTTATGGATACTGGAAGGCATATAATACCAGGGATATAAATAAACATACAATTCTGCAGTATATCTACAAAATTCGGAAAAATTGGAAAGGTCCACGCGCTCCCCAGATGCAACAGTCTTTAGAATCACGTGAAACCTCTCTATTAAATCTTTACGTATTCCTGTTATGCGGGCTGTTCCTTCTGCATCCCTGAAAAATCTTCTGGCAGTATTGCCATCATTGGTTGTTCCTACGTCTTGCTTGACAACATCTATAAGTAAACCGCATTCCACCTGCACCATTCCACCAACCGCATTCCTTCCATGCACCATTGCAATGCACTATTTCTTGAAGTCCAAATGATAAGACGCAAACAAAAAAAATGTCATTTAAAAAATAATCTCACAGGAAAGTACATACGATGAAAAAATTGTGATGTAATAAAATTATATTTACCAATATGAAGTAAGCAGTCCATGCATCTTATCCAGGCATGTAAAGATGGCATTCCATACTGGAATATTTCTTCATTATTTTCTCTTTGATAAGCAAGTGATTCCAAAAAACCTTGACGGTTATGCTTTGCAAATATCACAGGCAGCAGAAAAAGTTTCTGACAAATATGAGGTTATTTTGCCGTTTATCATCGTCATGTGCAACTGATGCTTAACTTCAACTTGTTTGATTTTTGATGACTGAAGTCTTTATATTTCTTCTGTTATACTAGCTTTTATAATTGCCACTGTTGACTGCGTTTTTTTTGTAAATTTAAACATTATTGGACGGCAATAAAAAGTTGATGAGGGTTGGTCGTTTTACCAAGCAACTGTTCCATCAAATTTCTGAAGCCTTATAGGAACTAGACTGGCCATGAAAATAGATGAATCATCAAACTCTGTTTCAGTCTTTTGTTTATAATTACTTTGACCTGGGGCTCTATCAAAGCCTATTTGCTTATAAGCAGTAGCTCTCTTGCCGAGTCCAAATCCGAAGTAATCACATCTAAAAGCCTATATACGGCCAAGCTTAGTAATGCTTGCATTTTAATAGCAGCTCCTTCTTCACTAATAATTATCTCGTCTTTCCCTAGATAACATTTGTTCTTTTCTTGCTTAATTTTATAATAAGAAGGGTATAAATCAAACCTATTTTCACTTGCTGCTTCTCCTAGCTTTATATACTGCCACTTACTTAATTTAAGTGAAACTAATAGTGCCTTATCGGGAGAATGTATACTACTTTTCTCTTTACTTGTACTTAAACACTCCTTAACTTTTTCTAGATCTTCTGGGTGATTTGACAAATGGTTCATTATTTCTCCTACATCTTCATTTCCAGTGTTTCTCAAACTAGCAATTGTAGTAGCTTTCATTTCATCCGGGGATAACGAAAGCGATTGGTAAATTTGTTCAATGCGTCTTCGTTTTTGCCTGGATCCCAATTCTTCAAAAGGTTTTCGAGGTGTAAAAGTAGATGTCGAGGCTTCTGTAGTACATTTGAGGGTGGTACATTTTCAACATCTTCAGTATTCGAAATCTCGAGCCTTTCCTGTGCAGTGTTGATAGCTTCAGGTATCATTCCTTCGGGCCAGTTTATTGCACATTCTAACCAATCGCAATTTTTTCTTATAAACTGTGCTAACATGCGATACTTCGTTTCCATATTGCACTTATATTTGAACAAAAGTGCGTACAGAATTTTTGGAGCTTAACACTTTTCTCTTCAGTCACGTTTATTTGATTTTGTAGGAATTGAAAGAGTTTTTTATTATCAGACAGCGACTGTAGTTGCTCTTTTAAAATCATAAATAATAATAAATTGATAACAAAATTATCCACTATAACGGAAAAAGGAAGATCACGACGACAATCACGAGATGTTAGTAGTAGTACGATTAAACGAACACTAGTTAGTATATAATAAATATGGTCACTTTATTTATACTTCCAGAGACAAGCAAATGTTTACTATATTTTCTACTACCCAGTAATAGCTGCTTAACTAATTATCCTCATTAACTAATGTTAACTATCCTAATAATTAGAGAGATTGATTAATTAGAGACTTACTAAATGTATTGTTGTTAGGTATTATGTAATTATGGGTATTATTATGTGCTTTTACTTACTAATCCATATCAAATTTAATTTAAAAGCACTTACGAAAATAAATAATAAAGGTTTTTATTCTATGTATTTATTCATTTTTTCGATCCATTTATTTGGCAGAGTTGCAACTTCATGCACATGTTCATAGCATAAAATGATAGTAGACTAGGCAAGGTGTAAGAAAAATATAGTTTCAAAGCGGGACCTCACGGTACTTAGCAGGAATTTAATTTAATGTGACCCGCTCCGTACAAAAAAATCACAAAACACATTTTTCTGACCAAACTATAAAGTTTTTGTAATTTTTGCCAAGAACAATTATTATTGAGATTAACGAGCTCTATCTATCCACATAAAGAAAAATCTTAAAAAACAAAGTTGGTCCCTAAGTCACTAAAATCATAGTATCGACCCACTGTGAGGCAGCTTGGCAGCCAGAAGATCATATGGCGTTGTATAATAAGTGCACATAAGCAGCCCCAAACTCCTGGCCCTGGCTACGACGTCCATGAAGATATAATACTCTGGCTAATTTACATTTTGAATAACAATATATATTGAGTTAGCAGCTAAATTTGTTTAACACATAATTTAATAATTATGATTTAAAATTCATGAAAATAATGAGAATATTATTAATCAACATACTTTATCTCCGTTTTCACAATTATCTGATCTGCTTTCTTAAGATCATCAAATCCTGGAAGATTCTCTCCTCCAGCGAAGTACAGAAGTTCATTTCTGCATTTAACGAAACAAGGCAAGTGGTGCCATCTTGGTTGTCCACCATATTTCATACCAACTTCTGTATCATATAAAATCTTACATATTCTAATTTCATCCTGGAAATGAACATTTTTTTTAATCAGCTCATGAAATTTGGTATGAGGTAAATTTTTTAGTACAAGCTAAGGGAAAAATCTTTATCTATACATTAAAAAACATCTAAAAAATAAAGAAAGACTTTGTGAAGTACATAGTTATATTTACATTTGCAAGTTAGACATCGACAAATGTAAGAGATGTTTTTGAGGGCAAAGTTAAATTTATTTTTACATCAACCATGTATGTCTCACCACATTATGGTACGCGAATCGGCGGGATGATAGCCGGGTTACATAAGTGTATGTAATCTCTAAGTTTATGACGGTGATTTTGAAAAGACTTACATAGCATCCAACTAAAATTATTTTATTTTTACTGATGTTAAATTAAATCTTTTAGCGGAAAACCAACTTACCTTACAAATTTTAATTTCACATTCAGGGCATGTGGCCCTACTGCTTTTCGAATATTCAACTTTGAAGTCCTTCAGCGCAGAGTTATCTGATTCTGGGGCGGCTCTCTTGTTACGTTTACCTTTGCCTTTGGTTTTGGTTTCTTGAATGGGCATTACAACAGCACCAGCACTGTTTTCTGCTCAATTGAAAGTAATTGGAACTAGTAGTGTTAATACAGGCAGGAGCTGATTAATTCTGTTGCATGTGTAGTGTTAACTATCATAGAAAAAAAACTCAGCAAAAATTTTAATTGCACTACTGACATTTATAAAACGGGTTTCCATTTTAATTTATATATTTACACAAGTAGTAAACAACAAAATTTATTGGTTATCTATCAAATAAAAAATCATGCATGGTGAAAGATGTTCACTTTGTCAGTTTTCTGAAACGTTTTTAGCACATATTTTGAACACTTAATGACTGTACATTTTAAATTTTACTAACCTATAGTAGTTTTTATTCTTTTCTGGTCTTCATTTTTAAGTACATTGAAGTTTGCAATTTCAGTGAAACTGTTTAAACGTCGCTTTTTAAAAAAACAATCTTCATGATGCCAGTTTGGTTGTTTTCCATCAAAGAAAGCTGACTGCGGAGTTTTAGAAATATTGTGTGGTTATATATAAATCTTTGGTTGTGGTTATAAATAAAAAATCTACATAAATTAAAGAATGAAGTTGTCGTGGCCTAAAGGATAAGACGTCCGGTGCATTCGTGTTGAAGCAATGCACCGGTGTTTGAGTCCCAGGCAGGTACAATTTTTTCTAATGAAATACGTAGTCAACAAATGTTCACGATTGACTTCCACAGTGAAGGAATAACATCGTGTAATAAAAATCAAACCCGTAAAATTATAATTTGCGTAATTACTGGTGGTAGGACCACTTGTGTTTCTGCACGGGTAGGTACCACCAGCCCGTCTATTTCTGCCGTGAGCAGTAATGCGTTTCGGTTTGAAGGGTGGGGTAGCCGTTGTAACTATACTGAGATCTTAGAACTTATATCTCAAGGTGGGTGGCGCATTTACGTTGTAGATGTCTATGGGCTCCAGTAACCACTTAACACCACATGGGCTGTGAGCTCCAGCTGTGAAATCCAAGCCCTGTCTTCAACCTAGGAAACAAATGGATGACTTATTGATGTAGTTTTACTATTAAAATAGAAAATAACCGTAATTAGTTAGTAGTTTTATTTAGGTTTTTTTACTGCCAATTTACTGATACATCTCACCATCACCATTGGAACATGAGGTAAATAGTCATATATAAATAAATATATATGTATTTACTAACAATCACACCACATTAACTGGTCCCATGCTAAGTTCGTAAAGACCTTGTGTTACAGGTACCAGATAACGGAAATAAAAATAAGATTCTTATTAGCTTGCCTAACCTTATATTTGTAACTGAACACACTAAATTATAACAGTATTACACTAATTGTCGACTTGAACAATTCTTTTATTTTGCCTACATCACTCCAATACACTTACATTTATATATAATATACATCCATAACCCTGGAAAAGACATTTTATATTTATCATACAAATATCTTCCCTTGGTGGGATTCGAACCCGCGACCCACTTGTGTAGTGACTATGTCACTTACCACTACACCAGATGGCCATTGTATATATATCAACGCTTGAAAGGCAAACGTGACTAAGCGACAATAACTGCTTTGTACATAAATGATAGGCAATAAACATATTCGATGCGCAAAAAAAAAAAAAAAATCGTAGGTCTATTAAAATAATTTCAATCCTACAGCTACTAACTAGATTCTACTACAGCTAGATTAGTTAAAATGAAATTTGCTTTTAGTTATTTCAACTTTAAATTAGTCTACTGTAAAGTTCACGCATTGTCGCTTAGTCACGTTTGCCTTTCAAGCGTCGATATATATTTAATTTTAATTACAAACAGAATCTCTGCAACTTTCTGAGAAGTTTAATTTTCTTTTTCTCAGCATTGTAAGCAGTGTTGAGTAAGTCATTTGGAGGGCAAAGGCTAATTGGAGTCTAAAGTTTTGGGAGTCTCCAATAGAGCAGTGCAGTACTTCACGTCTGAAGAAAAAATTACAGGTACTTTACAAAGCACAAGTTTGGCCTCAAATGCCTGCTCCAATCTCTGGGCTCTATAAGATTTGCAAAGGGTACTTAACGCTAAACAGCAACTTGGCTATGTGCTAGCATTTATTGTCGTCCATGAGCAACGGTAATTAATCATCATCAGATGAGTAATTACCGATAAAAGCAACAAAAAAATACAACGGCTGTTTCACTTTCAAACTGGTTCTCAATGTCAGTAAACTAGTAGGTAACTAATTAATCTGTGCTCAAGACTACATCGCGGCGGAAATAGGCAGGATGGCGTGCTTACCTTTATCGGCTTAGTCAAGAAAATATATACATAGTTCTAAATTTTGCACATTATACAAACCTGTACCATCACAGCAATGCGCAGTGAGCCTTGATCAATTTTTTGTTTACAACCCTTACAGGCTGCTCTACCTGTCTTTGCGTATTCAACTTGATAAGGCAAGTCAGCCATTTTTTTGCAATTCTGTTATGTATTACCTTTAATGTACTTTTTATGAAACTAAGGTAGTTCTTTTTGCTACATACAGTTTACAACGTTCAAACAAATGCACATAAAGTGACGTTTGTTTCGGCTTTTGCAACCACAGTTTTGTTTTCTTAAATATTTTTTTATGGGATTTTACGACCTGATAACTAAGACCTTTAGGTCAAGTCTCATTTTAATTTTAATGAAAACTTTTTATATGAAAAATGATAATATGAAATGAAATGAAAACGAAATGATATTATATGAAATGAAATGAGATGAGATGATATGGAATGAAATATAATCTCAGTAAAATGGTGGTCATTTACTGAAACTTTTTCAGTGGATTTTTGGATGACCCCGAGAAGTTACGTTCAGCGGCTTTGTTTCATTTTTCCACATTTGTGCAGTTTCACAGATATTAAACAGTTAATAAACCACCATTATTACACATTTAAACCTGAAGAAACACTAAATAGACAAAATAAAACAAATCACACAACTTCACTCCTCGCGTTCCCGCCAAAAAGTTTTTTTTTGTACAGTTTTTCCTTATTAGAAAAGGCAAGGGGATCTAAGCCCATAAAACCTTGTCTGTTCCCGCCAAAAAGACTTAGGTATTCGTTTTTTAAGGGATTTTATGACCTAGTAACTAAGACCTTTCAGTCATGTCTTATTTTAATTTATATTCTTATTTTTATGAAAAATGATTATAATTATGGAGTGAACTGAAATGAAATGAAGATGATTAATTTGTGACATTAATCAACTGGGATGAAATTAAATGAAATGAGATGATATGGGATAAAATATAATTTCAGTAAAATGGTGGTCATTTGGGAAAGCTTAACGACAAAGGGAAGATCTTCCACCGAGCTGGTGATATTTGCTCGGTAGACCGACGGTCCGAATGTTGTTGTTCGGAACTTGTATATATGCGCTTTATCTTGAAAATGTTGTAAGCGAGATTCAGGCATCTGTCAATTATCTTGCGTTGTATGATGGCTACCCGCCACAGTCATTTGGAACGCGCGGAGCATAGTTGTGTGATTTGTTTCAATTTTTTTAATTGAGTGTTTTTTCAGGTTAGTCTTGTAATCGTGGGGGTTTAAGCTGTTTAGCATTTGTCAATGTGCAAAAATGTGGGAAAAAAAAACAGAGCCGCTGGATGTCATTTATCAAGTTCTTCCAAAAATCCACTGAAAAAGTTTTGATAAATGATACGGTTAAGGTCGGATAATAAACCACTATTAATTACCCTTTTAACAATTCTGGCCGATTCAATTAGATGATTGAACACTTGATACAGTGCCATTCCATCAAAAGTCAGACATAACATGTTTATTTACTATTGTGCAAGCAAAAAGGAACATAGAACACACAAGGCTACTTTTTTTTACCTATACGCTAGTAACCGGTGCTATTCCAGCTACGCGTGGACGAGGCTAGGTGAGTTAACTGGTTCAACCTTATAGAATATAGAAGAATTAGCTAGTACCAGCCCTAGTAAGAGCAGTGCGTTGCAGAACTTACCAGCGAATCGGAATCGCGACTTACTGAGAAGATCCGGCGAAAAACTCAGTGCGTGGTGTCTATGGATTAATTCGCTCGTCGAACTCTTCATGGTGATCGACGAGATCGGTATTGCTGTTGCGTTTGTTACTAAATCAAGCTTTTGCTTGGCGTAAATGATTTGGATAAAATTTTGTATAGATATAGTTTATAATATTATGTTCTTTTTTTTTATCATTGCAAATGGCCCCAACACAACTGTGTTTGTAGTTCTAGGGTCTAGGGTACCCCGCTAGTACACAGGGCCCTCAGAAGCTGTCTCCACTTGACCCTGTCTTGCGCAGCTTGACCTGTACTTAGAGTCCATCAGTAAGTATCTTCAGTCGGCGTCGATAAGCCACGACACGAGAACCCTCTCATCGTGGCCGCCGCCCGTCGGTAACTACATTCCCGATCCTGCGGACAGAATGAAAAGCAGTCGACGTCACCCCAAACACGTCATTTCGGATCCTCCCAATACACTAACGGTGCTTTTAGGTACCTCAAGCACCGGTCATCGTTCTCGTCGAACCCATCGCTTGCGACGAAGGGCTCGACGAGAAAATTAACCCTCAGACACAGCCCACTGAGTTTCTCGCCGGATCTTCTCAGTGGGTCGCGTTTCCGATCCGGTGGTAGATTCTGTGAAGCACGGCTCTTGCTAGGGTTCGTGTTAGCAACGTCGTCAGGTTTGAGCCCCGTGAGCTCACCTACTAGTTAAGGTTACGCTGATATAGCCTCTCAAGGCTCTCAGCTTAGGTAGGTTAAAAAAAAAAGCGCAGCTTGCGCTTGCTCCTTGACAGCACTGCACGTCATGCCGGCAGCCCTCATCTCGCTCTCCACGGGCAGTGGAGAGTAGTTGCTTTAATAAATACAACAGTATGTTCTCTGATTTGATATTTAATATAATTGAGAATTTTCGGATCTATAAATCGACTTTAATATATGGACCGAGAGTGACAAAACCGACTCTTTATCCAATTGTTTCATTATTTGTGAATTGCACATTTAAAACGGATGAAACCGCGGGCCAAGTATAAGATTTACATAAAATGAATCTAAATCTTGAGAGAGATATGATTAGGGTCGAAAGTTAATCACTAGGCGAATAATAGTAGTAGGTAATTATATAAATTTCTGTAAATGAATACAAGTGCTGATTCCTAACATAAAAAAATACATTTGATAATTCTAATGTTTGGCCACCAACTCATAAAGAATAATTATTCACATAGTTTAACACATAATAATAAAAAAAAATATTGTGTTACACATGTCTTGTCAGTGTGTTAATGTGCTAAACAAATATATTTACCTGACCAATACAATTTCAAATTTGTAATTATTAGTAATGTAAACAGAAAACAGAAAACTTAAATATTTATTTATTCTAAATTAGATAATGACAATTTGCACAAATGTTCTCATACTAATAGCTAATAAGTTTAATTAAGTCGTGCAAATACATTTTATTGTTGATTGTAAAAACAAGCGGTGAATCACTACAAAACATGATTAAAGTGGGCCTGTGTTGTACAAACAATTCGCTCAATTTATTGAAACTATTCGTCTCCCCCTGAACCCCGCTCGGTTCCTAAGACGCGCCATTTGAAAACAAAAATAGATCAGTTGCGCCACGATCGTCATACTCAAGCATACATCATGAGATTGCAGTGTGTATTATTAGTTTTCGTATTACTACAATTCGGAGTTATCGATTGTAGATACGTTTCTTGGTTGCCGGACGTTTTGGGCACTGTTACCAACAAAACAACTCAATTAACGAATTATGTTCGAGAAAAGGGCCGCAGCATAAAACATTTCTACGTAGAAAATGTACGAAATAAGATAACGTCGTACTTCGGAATTAACAATAAAGATGAATCGGAGTATTCTGGGGATGATAAGCAAGTAAGAATAAAAAATAAATTTAATGAATACATTTCGGAAGCCCAACAAAATGACAATAAATTATTTGACGTGATCGCCTCTCATCAGTTGGAGTACAAATGTTCGGACGACGATCCATCGATTTTGATGACCACTCCACAACTGATAGCTCTTCATGGATACTCAGCGGAGTCGCACACAGTGGTTACTGATGATGGATACATTTTGACTGTGCACAGAATACCTTATCCGAAGAAAATCACCAACAGAATTATCCCCAGGAAGACTGTGTTACTTCATCACGGACTCCTCGGTAGCTCAGCCGATTGGATCATAGCTGGACCAGAAAAGAGCCTTGGCTACATATTATCTGACGCCGGATATGACGTTTGGCTGGCTAATGTTCGAGGTAACACTTACTCTCGAGCTCACGTCTCACGGCCCTCTGATTCATTCGCATTCTGGAACTTTACATTCCACGACGTTAGTCAACACGATCTACCTGCTGTTATCGACTACATAATGGATGTAAAGGGATGGGACGCCAAAGTTAACTATGTTGGTCATTCAATGGGCACCACTATATTGTTCGCCCTACTTTCCACAAAAACGCAATATAATAAAATTTTAAGGGCCGGTTATGCTTTAGCGCCAGTCGCCTACATGTCTGATATAAAAAGTCCGATTCGTTTACTAGCAAAATTTAGTAACAATATTGAATTTTTAATGAAACTTTTGGGTGCAAATGAATTTCTCCCTCAAAATGCCGTTTTGCGTTGGTTATCGAAAAAGGCTTGTGAGATTAATAATTTCGAAGAGGCGATCTGTGAAAACTCCCTGTTTGTGTTATGCGGCCACGACGAAAAACAATTTAACATATCTTTGCTGCCAATTATATTGGGTCACGTTCCCGCCGGCGCATCAACAAAGACGCTTGTTCATTACGCACAGGAAATACGGAACAAGGGTCGATTTCAACAATTTGATTACGGAGCAGAAGGCAACTATAAAGAGTATGGTACCGAAACTCCACCTGAGTATCCTCTGCACAAAGTGACACTGCCTATTGCTTTATTAAGCTCTCAAAATGACTGGCTAGCTGGCGACGCGGACGTAGTAAACTTATATGATCAGTTATCAAATCCTATAGAACATTATGTTGTGCCATTGAAAGAGTTTAACCATATTGATTTTCTGTGGGCTAAAGATGCCCCGAAACTTGTGTATGCAAAACTTCTGCAGTTATTAGAAGAAGGTGTAAGTAATAACTATAATATGGACATAGAGAACGCTATAATTTAATGATTGTGTAGTTATTAACACTGTTATAATGTATATTTTTTATATTAAATTTAATTACATGACGTAAAAAAATGTGATATTTGATGTGACTAAACATGTTTAATAGTGTGACCGTCTATAATTTTTGAAACCAAAAAAAAATTATATTAGGATGAAACCCGTTAAAAAAGGACGAAAATATAACCAAAATGAAAGTAATAATAATTTACGGGCGATCTGAGGTCGAAGTGTAAGGGGGTGAGTTTTTAAAGGTAAAAAAGGTTTATCTCGATTTCCGGAAAAACTACTAGTCCTATGGAAAAAAATTAAATGACAAATTGTAGGTAATAAAGAGACCTACAACTTTTATAATTACACTTTTTTTTACATAACCTCAAAATTTATGTGAAAAATTGAAATAATTCAGTTTTTGGTTTTATATTTTTATCTTACGCAAAATAAAAAATTCTTTTTACGTGAAATTTGTTGAAACCTTACCTTTTTATGGCCCAAAGACACCTTAATAGACTGTAATTTTTTTTTTAATTTTTTTTTAATCACTATGTACAATTTTGAGCTATTTGGTAAAATTTACACTTTAATTACCTACTTGAAAACCGTAACATTCCATGTTATATTGTTAAACAAAAAAATACAAAACAAAATAATAGAAATTCTTCTTCGACCGTTGTTATAATACACTTACTGCTAAGTATTATTATTATGATGATGAATAAAACAAATATTTTACGAACTTGTTGTTAATTTATTCATTAACGATGTAGGAATCGCCTTTTCCGACATCCAGGTTTTGGCAGCGATTTGGCTGTGTCCTTTTTTTTAATGATTGAAGGATTACTGGTGGCCCGCAGGCCTTTCCAGTTTCACCAGGACAGGTGGGTGAGCAAAGGCTCAGCCAGAAGGAGTGGGATTTGCTAACAGCTGTCCAAGCGCCTCCGAAGGAGACCTAATAATTCAAGAGCAACTGCTTCGCGAATGAATCTATTACCGGATCGGAATTGCGACCTGCTGAGAAGATCCGGCGAGAAACTCGGCGAGCTGATGCACGGGTTAGGTTGCACGTCGACGTTGTCGAGTTCGCCGAGTACGGTTACTTGGGTCCCTAAGCCTGCCCCTAGTGTTAGAGCTGAAGGCGTCTAATACAAAGGTTATTGGATCTGATGGATCTGTAAGGACGTGGGCAGTGTGCACGGCATTGATTAAGTTCGTGAGCGACGATGACCACTGATTACCAGGTAGGCCGTATGCTCGTCTGTGTACAAGGGCAATAAAATAAAAACAAATAACTTCGGGACACAAAGTTACACGTTACACGCAACAAGTTAATGATATATGTGATCGAATGCATTCTATCCTGGGAAGAACTGCAGTATCACTTGAAACTGTTTTAAGTTTTATAAAATAAAGAAAAGCTGGAAAGTGCCAGGAAGCGCTTTCAATGCAACCTTGCTTTTTCCAGCAATATTGTTAACTATTCAGAATTATTCGGCGAAGCTAGCGAGAGCAAATGTTGTTTAGATTTTTTTCCTGGCACCATGGGCAGTTTTACACGGAACGACTGCAGGCTTAAACTTTTATTAATTGATTCATATACAATATTTGTAAAAATGATTTTTTGCAGGATGCCACAACGAATCGCCTGTAACACCACACATGCAATCGAATTCACACAAATGTAATTGTATGCAATGTCTAAGCATTTATTCTGAGTGTACGTGTTACTTGTAATGTATTGTGTTCATGATATCAAAAAAACAATATATGTTATACATAAACGCGTAAATAGATGACTCCAGACTTGATTTTCTCTCTTCAGCAATAAAAAACAAGAGTGGTTTTAAGGATTCATGAAAGATTCATGAACTTAAAATTACTATTTTCTAGTTTGATACCTGTATTGTTCCGCATCAATTATTTCAAGACGTTATCTTCAAAAAGAAAAATTTGCAAACGAACAAAGTAAACTGATGCTTGTAACAAAAATGCAACAATGAATACCATCGATAAATATTGTGAACTGGCAAATGTAAACATTAAGTAATTGTAATTGAGGGTTGATTAAGATATGATTCATTCTCGTCACTTGATTGACGCTCGAATAATGTAATAACATCGTTAAAGTATTATTCATATTGTTTACAAATTCAAAGTTTATAGTTACGAATGAAGCTGACCTTTAGATAAACGATTGTGGTGGTGTAGTGTTGTGAATATGATTAAATAATACTGGCGTTCTTGCTCAAAATTACGTTATTTACAAGTACGTTGGTTGTTCGGTAATACTTGAGGTAGCATCGTGTAATAAATGTAAATGTAACGCTCATGTAATGATGGGGTATCTTGTGAGCCCATATGGGATAGTACAAGATCCCTGCCTATATCAAACCGTAAACCAGTAATTCATTGATTGCGGTTTGAGGATCATTGACACTTAAAAAAACCGTGTCTAAGTCACTGAAGTATGAAACCTATGGAAATGAAACGTCAACAAAAAAATCGTGCCACTGTGACGTCATTTGGCCGCTAAAAAGGCGATTTTAGTACCGCCCAGAAGATTTTAATGTTATTAGGTTTTATCGATAAACGTTCTTGGTTCATTTTATTTTAAATATTGTTGAGTATTAATTATTTGTAGAATTTATACTTTAATAGGAAATAAGTATATTGTTATGTGCAAAGATGTGATTTAGATGTGTGAAATCTAAGACAAGTTCGTGCTTAAGCGATATGACGATTTTTAAAAGTTGCTACACTGATTTTATAAAGTTGTCGTTTGAAAACTCAGTCACCGAGTATATTTTTGTATATATTTTTATCATTTTGTCGGTAACCTTTTTCCCGAAATATCTAAACAGAATTACTTAATATCTAAATATTTTTTGAGGACACATTTTATTAAGAGGTATTTATGATTAGTGTCATGATCAATAGATTCCGGCCGAAAAATGGGGTCCGATTTATCGGATGAGTGCTCCATAATGAATTTAAATATATAATTATAGATAATAGTTTTGGGGCATCGACTTTCTTGAGACCCTATAAAATATGTTTTAATAATTATTTTTGTATGTTTTAAGCGGGGTAGCATGATAAAATAAGAAATTTTATATAAGCAATCATATTAAATCGATATCAAAGGCAATAAATAATGTACAACCCAAGACAGACGGCTGAACTGACGTGACAATGACATTTGGTGCGCCATGTTTAGCGGATTTTCGGCCTTATTATATATTGTATCGGTGTGTCAAAGACAAATCGAGACACTAAGGCTCCGGTAGCATTCACGTAATACGGCATGGCACCTTAATACTCTTATCGTGACCGTCTTAAATTACATTCCGGACCCAGAAGACGGGAAAACGCACAGCCGCTATCGCATGTCATGTCGAAAGCATTCCGATTCACTCTCTGAGTTTTTAGGCAAACCCAGCACATTTAACTATTCTCATAATGCCAGATCTTCTTAGAGCGACTGCCCTTCGGTGGTAGATTCAGTTCCTAGTTTTAGCAATCTCTAATAGCAGTCTCTTAGGCTGAGCCCCGACCCAGTGAGCTCACCTGCCTAACCAAAGAAGCTGGAATAGCTCCTCGAAGCTACCAGAGAATAGGTTAAAAAAAATTAATAATTATCGGATTCAATAAGCACTTAAAACAGATCGATATTGAGTATGATCGTAATCAATAAAAATCTTCGAATTTTCCCACATCTCGAAGTATTAACGCTGAAAAAAATGAGAAGAAGAATTTAAGGTTGTTAGGTCAGATCAGAGTAAATGAGAAGAAATGAAATGAGTTTTTTTTATTCCCTGCTAATTCTAGTAACCTCGAGGGGTTATTTTCGATTCGCCGAGCTAGTAGGTGAGCTCACGGGGCTCAAACCTGACGACGTTGCTAACACGAACCCTAGCAAGAGCCGCGTTCGCAGAATCTACCGCCAGATCGGAATCGCGACCCACTGAGAAGATCCGGCGAGAAACTCAGTGGGATGTGTCTGTGGGTTAATTTACTCGCCGAGCCCTTTGTCGGAAGCGACGGGTTCGACGAGAACGATGACAGGTGCTTGAGGTACCTAAAAGCATCGTTAGTGGGTTAGGAGGATCCGAAGTGACGCGTTTTGGGCGACGTCAACTGCTTTACATTCGATCCGCAGGATCGGGAATGTAGTTACTGGCGGCCACGATGAGATGGTTCTCGTGTCGTGCCGCTTTCTCGAAATGGCGCACTGATGCCGACTGTAGATGCTTACTGATGGTCTCTAGGTCCAGGTCGTCATGCAGGTCGATGTTCCTGACGAACCACGGGGCTCCGACGGCTATCCTGCAAAAACGGGATTGATGAATTTGGAGGGGTCTTAAGATAATGCGGGCCGCGCGAGCGAACACTACACTTGCATAGGTCATGACGGGGCGTATGCAAGTTTTGTAGAGTATCATCTTATTTCTAAGGGACAATTTACTTCGCTTGCAAATCATACGATAGAAGAAATGAGATGACGTCTTAGTAAAATCGTGAAAATTTATGGAGTTGTCAAAAAACTGAGAGACCATTACATGTGCAGAGAGTTAGTTCTATTTTCCCACTCTTGTGCACTTTTACCAATGCTAAGCAGTTAAGAAATCTATCATTACATTTAAACCCGATTGAACACTAAAAGAATATTATTCATTTAACTTTATGTTTTTTATTCCCACACAGAAGTTTTAGACAAAAGCATAACAGTCTAGCCTATTTTTCTATATATCTGAGATTCATTAAGATAAAAAGCCTCGTTGAAAATAAGTTTCTACTTCTAAATGTTTCGTAATTTTTACAGTCTTAAAAATGAATGAAAAAAGTCCATTGTGAATTAACTTAAATTAAGCAATCAAGTGCTTCGTCTATGGTATTATTATAGTCGTCAGAGTCAGAGTGGTCCTGCGTCGTGCGTGCTTGATCGTGTATAGACTTGCTGTACAGCAAATTTAACATTTGGAGCTTGTTTCGAGAGGAGACTGCACGTCAAAATGGTTCGTGAAACACTTTCAAGATTTATTGAAAGATATAAGTTCCACATGTTTGTGGAATGTCTCAAGCGCAGACTATATGAATAAACAAAAAATAATAAACTTATTACAATTTTTTAGGCCCATTTTAGGGGAAGCTGCAAGGATTGATAGCGTGCGTAAAAAATTATATTAATTATTTGAGTATACTCTGCACGTTTAAAAAAATCATCCAAAACCTCTTGCTGTTTTTTGCCTCTCTTCTGCTGCTGCTGACAGCATCAGAAGGACTCCCATTTTTGGCGTTTTGATAAAACAGCTGGCATTTTAAATAAATTAAAACCCTCTCATTTAATTCGTTTGATTTATTCTGTTCGCGCTTGAAACATCCAGCACCGCGGCCTTGAGCTGACGTACAGCCGTGATGGATCGTGAATAAAGCGCTAAATGCATCGTGCATCGTGCATGGCCTTGGCGGGACGTACAGCAAGATGGATCGTGAATAAGGCGCTTTAGACCGTTGGACGTGCATATTAGTCTGGACTTTTTGGCGGGAAGGCGGGGAGTGAAGTTGTGTGATTTGTTTTATTTTATCTATTTATTGTTTCTTCAGGTTTCAATTCAGGTTCAAACGGTGGTTTATTAACTGTTTAATATTTGTGAAAGTGCACAAATGTGGAAAAATTAAACAAAGCCGCTGAACGTAACTTCTCGGGATCTTCTAAAAAGTCCACTGAAAAAGTCTCAGTAAATGACTACCATTTTACTGACATCCCATATCATCTCGTCTCATTTAATTTTATTTCATCCCAGTTGATTAATGTCTCAATTTAATCATCTTCATTTCATTTCACGGCGTTCTCAAGCGGTAAGCAGTGGCTTGGCTCTGCCCCTGGCATTGCTGAAGTCTATGGGCAATGGTAACCACTCACCATCAGGTGGGCCGTATGCTCGTATGCCTACAAGGGCGATAAAAAAAGTCCATATTATCATTTTTTGTTGGACGGTTAAATTTTGAAGGGATTGGGTTCTGTAGGTGATGAGGGGCTATTTAAAAACACAACTGCTTCATTATAATTATATTGCTGATAGCTTGAACACTTTTACACCATTATACAATTATTATCTTGATATTTTTTATAAAACTATTACATGTTTGTCTTGCCGTGTCTAGATGAGAAGTTACTAACATTTTCTTACGAGAATACAATGATCTGTTTTTTAAACATTTAAAATAATTCTTATATTCGAAATCTAATCAAGTGTCAAGTGTTGCCTGCCATTACATTTATATACAAACTCCAACACACCCCCTCAACACTTGCACACATTTTTCTCCGTCTATAATTTAATACCAAAAAAGAATAACGCTAACCTGACCTTCATAAATTAATTACTTTCCATACATACCTTAAAACCTCACAACCACTTACATTCCGTTACTTCCACTTAATCCCTCAATTCAACCAACAACTGTTCATTCAACCTTTCAAACTTAATACCATCTTTAATGTCGCTACTTTTAATACTTTCTTACTTGTCCAACTCCAATTCGATCAAACATGTACTCTCATCCAACCATTCAACCTTATCCTCCCTCTTGACTCATTATATAAAACCTTAACTATAATAGTCTAACTCCTTCTCGACATAAACTCTTCAAGATTATTTAAAACTTTTAACGCCTTCTCAACCTCTTTACTTTAATAACCTTAAACGCCTTCTCAACCTCTTTACTTTAATAACCTTAAACGCCTTCTCAACCTCTTTACTTTAATAACCTTAAACGCCTTCTCAACCTCTTTACTTTAATAACCATAAACGCCTTCTCAACCTCTTTACTTTAATAACCTTAAACGCCTTCTCAACCTCTTTACTTTAATAACCTTAAACGCCTTCTCAACCTCTTTAATAACCTTAAACGCCTTCTCAACCTCTTTAATAACCTTAAACTCCTACTCGACTCTTTTACCTTTAAACTCCTACTCGACTCTTTTACCTTTAAAACTCCTTTATCTCCTTCTCGACTTATTTAACGTTAATCTCCCTCTCAACTTCTTTAACCTTAATCACCTTCAACTCCAATTCGATCAAAAATGTACTTTCATTCAACCATACAACCATTCAACCTTAACTTCCCTCTTGACTCACTATATAAAACCTTAACTATAATAGTCTAACTCCTTCTCGACTTCCTACATAAACTCTTCAAGTTTATTTAAAACTTTTAACGCCTTCTCAACCTCTTTACTTTAATAACCTCCTTCTCGACCTCTATAACCTTAAACATTTTTCATAAAAATAAGAATATAAATTTAATTTATAAGACATGACTTAAAGGCCTTAGTTATCAGGTCATAAAATCCCAAATAAAAACATATCAGTCTTAAGTCATAATATGGGAAAATTATTGTCTATGGTTTTGGAAAAATAAGCCTGATGTGATCTCGGAGTTCTCTAATAGAATTCCCTAGTTATTAGAAAAACCTTGTTTATAATCAAATCGCTAGTGGATTTGCCCTCTTGAAGCTGGAATCTTTTTGTTTTATATCAGCTGCAATCTTTTTGCAATCATCGATATGGGTAGTAGAAAAGAGAGCTTGAAAAAGTCCTTAGGAATTACAGAATACCCTTGGAGCTCCGGTAAGAAAATAATGTTAACTTTCCACTACTGTTGATTAAATTAAACGGCAGACTGTTAATACCTAATAATGAGAAGCTATTTAATCAATCGATTCAATCAAACCTAAATATAAATTATGTATTTTTTTTGTAAAAACATAGGTATGTTTATGTACCTTTTGAGGCAAGAGAATTTTAAAGGTCATAGTTTGTTGTAATAGCCAATTAGAAGCAATAAACAGTATTGTCAACTCATTTTCGAGCTACTGGTACTACTATCGCCAATGTATAAATACAATTCTAACTCATATTTTGAGTACTGTTCCTAAGGCATGGTATTAGGCGTGTAGCAAAATTTACTGTCTGTTGTCGCATGCAGTAATTGTTGTTTCCCTGACGCAATAAAAAAGGCAACTTGTGTAAACATTAGTATTAGCTAATCTAGGTTGAAAGTAAGCTTAATAATCAATGTTCAATGGGTTAGGTAGGTTTATAAGTTTAAAACATAACAAAATTTGTTTTTTTATTAGATTTATATCTGAAATGTGACTTAAAACAATATGAAATTTTTAGCAACATCAGGTTGTCTTTGCATCCAAACAGATAATGTACTTTGATTTTTATTTAAATTATTAAAGACTCTTGTGGTTAATTGCGCATGGTCAAAACATGCATTATTTGCAAAATTGAAACTAATCCTCATAAAGTGGCAGCTGCTAATTAAATATCTTATTTTATATATTAAATATATTATTTAGTTTACTGTTGTTATTTGAAAGTCTGTTGTTATTTTGTTATTGCTAGTTGCTAATGGTTAGTTACACTTTACTCTTAAGATTGCAACGGAACTTACAATTATTAAGAAAATACTATCTATGGGTACTTTTTTCCTAATCCATTTAAATACTAAACTAAGATAATGCAATTTCTTCACTGGTGCATTAAATAATATTCATTGTGTTAATTGTTTTAATCACAAATAACTCAAAACAAACCTTTCAATTCTATTTTTTGAATGTTCTTCATTGAACTATATACTTACATAACTAAAACCCAAATATTGCAAATTTTCAATAAAGTTAAATTGAGGTTATTTTAAAAAAGGGTGTGTGTACTTATGTACGCGCGTAAGAAGTTATAGGTACTTTATTTTTATTAAATTTATTTCTTTTTTTTATTGAAATTTTAATCAATTTGAAAAAAAATCGATTTAACAACATCCTCAAACACGCATATTGGGCATCCCTTTTCTTGACATCGTATAAATTCGGTACATCTTGGTACGGTTCGGAAAGTTCACTCACTTCGCAAAGTTCAGTCGTATTGTAATGAGCGATTTAGTGGGCAACTTCATTCTGTTAATTTTATGTCACGGTGCGCGCGCATCGTAAAATTTCACTCATAAAATTTTTCATAACGCGCCTAAAGAAGCATAACTTCAAAAAAAATTATTTTAAAGCAGTTACACATCAGTTTCCATTTTTAGATGAGGAAGAAAACAGTAGTAATCTTATGAGGAGACCATCCACAGAACCTAGAACCAGTATAGCTGACACACCTGGGACTAGTGGTAAGTGAGTTTATGAATCTAAACAAAAAAGTGTGGTTTTATGTTGTACTCCTATAATTTTTGTAATTACATAATTCTATGATGTGGAGCCACAGGGGCTACTGAAACAGTCTCCTGTAGATGATTAATTTTTGCAATACCTTACTCTGTCTACTCTAACAAAAAAACCATTAATAACTTTGCTAACAATTTCACTATGATAGGAAATATTAATGAAAACTAAATCACTAAGTGGTGAAAGAGTGCATTGTAAGCTCACACAAGTAGGTACCACTGTCCTGCCTATTTCTAACCTGAGGCAGTGATGCATTCCGGTTTGAAGGGTGAAACCGTCATTACAAATTATAATTGAGACTGACCTCATGTCTCATGGCAGTGGTGGCATTCACATTGTGATTTCAATAGGTTGTGGTAATCACTTAACATCAGATGCACCGCAGCCTTGTTCACCCAGCTGAGCAATAAAAGTATGTGTCAGATAAAAACACAGTGAAGTGTTCCAAACTGCTTCATGTTCATAGTTAAAGTTTAGTAGATAATAATCAATTCCATAATATTATTTGTCCCTTAACACTCGAAAACAAAGATCTGAGAGCTCAATATACTTTTGTCTAACCAATTCACTTCTCTTTTTAAAGAAATACTTCAAGATTTTCAGTATAATATTTCAGCTAATGGAATCTACGAGGGCATGCCTCTAACCGCTAAATAGTAATTTAGAGGCATCCATGTTATTTTCACAACCCATCACTGATTTACATATTATTATGTGAAAAATTATTCACTGTTTATGTAGCAGTACATAGAATATAACTGTTTTTTTTGTAAGAATATAACTGTTTTTTTAATACGTACATTACTTTTTTCCTAATTTGTAATTCATGCGTTTTTGAAATGCAAAATATCCATCATTTAAAATCCTTTGGAAATGAGCTGATTGGAATAAATATTTCGGTTCTGAACTTTTTCTATAATTATTTCTTTCGGATTCAGAATAAGACAACACCGAATGCTTTTTATTACAGGGGTAACAACACAAAACCCATTCGTTCCGGTGCCGCCACGTCGCAACGTTGTTGGTGGCATGAATGGACCAGAAAATAATTGGTTCTGGTCTAATAATAGGAATAACCATCACGAGAGTCTCATTAATGGCTCCAGTCGGTAATCGCAATTGTTGAATTTCATTTTAAATCGCAATTAATGCGTATTATGAAGCTATTTGAATTCTTAATTGATTGATGAATTGGTTGTAATTTATTTTATCTGTTATTCCCATTGTCGTTATCTCTTAAAGCCAACTTTTTGAAAAATAACACAATAGTGCGCTAATGAATATTATGTAATATAAATTGCAAAGCGCGTACGAATTATTCGTAAAATCAACACAAATCGTAGGTTCGCTACTTCCTAGCACAATATCATCAAAAATCGACTTCACAAATTTATATAAGCATAAAAAAGTTTATGCGGCGCACACGAGGGTTCTAGGATAAATGGATCTGTCATTTGCGTGCACTTTTTTTTATGGTCTAGATGGGTGGACGAGTTCACGGCCCACCTGGTTTTAAGTGGTTACCGGGGCCCATAGAGATCTACAACGTAAATACACACAACGCCACGTCTACAACGCCACCCACCTTGAGATATGAGTTCTAAGGTCTCACTTTTAACAATACAACGGCTGCCCCGCCCTCCAAACCCAAACGCATAACTGCTTTACGGCAGAAATATGTAGGGTGGTGGTACCTATCCGTGCGGATTCATAAGATGCCCTACCACCAGTAACCAGTTAGTTAGTTATTAAATAAACATTCAAGACTAATACTAGTGTCAATCATGTTACGATTGTAATTGAATTATCAAACGATCAGTCCCAGGTTATGCGTTCAAGAGGGATCGATGCCTCTCCCGTATCTGCGTCCGGCCAATCACGTTCCCGCAGCCGAGCTCCACGAGAGGAACACCGAGGCTGCGATGACCGCCAACGCGGACATTCAACGGATAATCGCCTTCAAGAAATTCGCCAGGAACTACAATAATGTTCGTGACAGACGCAGAGTCAACACGCTGTACGCTATTTCGTCACGAGGTTCGTTTATATTAATACTAGCGATCCGCCCTCGCTGCGCTTCGGAAACATGAAATGTTATTATTGATAGCTGAGTCCCGCGATTTTACCCGCGCTAGTCTTAAAAAAAGTCTAGCTACCCTCAGTTACTCGTTATATCATCAGCTACCTGTCAGTGAAAGTCTCGTCAAAATCGGTCCAGCCGTTCCAGAGATTACCCGGAACAAACAGACAGACAGACAAAAATTGTAAAATTTCGACGAGCGCACGGCCCACCTAATGGTGAGTGGTTACCGTCGCCCATGGACTTCAGCAATGCCAGATTCATATTATTATGCATGTAGTAAAAAGCGGTTATTTCAATATTACAAACAGACACTCCAATTTTATTTATATGTACATAAAATATATTATGTATTTTTTATCTATATATATACTTCTATACTAATATTATAAAGAGGAAAGATTTGTTTGTTTGTTTGTATTGAATAGGCTCCGAAACTACTGAACCGATTTGAAAAATTCTTTCACTGTTTGGAAGCTACACTATTCCCGAGTGACATAGGCTATAATCCTTTTTGAAAAAAATTAGGGATCCTTACTAAAACTCCAATAACGTAACCCAAGGTGTAAAAAAATTACCTAAAATATTCTTTACATCGCGTGCCCTGCGAAAACTATTTATGATAGAATAAAATAATGTACTACGACTTTGTAGAACATATTATTATTCACAAAAAGTATCGCGACAGCATATGTCTAACTATTATAGTTATGCCGCAATAAGTGTTATTTTATTTTTAAAAATAAAACAACGTCAAATATCGTTGAAATTTTTGTTAAAGACCCGAGCAGAGCCGGAGCGGGTCGCTTGTTTATTGATAACTCAGAAGCACACGAACGAGCTCACGGATCAATCGATGTTAAGTTGTGAACGAAGCTAATAAGCATCTGAATGTAGCCATCCGTTTTGAGTTTGAGAAAGTCTTAGTTGTTTTGGTGCTTGCTACAGAAATAGGATCTTGGTACCTATGCGTGTGAGCTTACAATAAACCCTACTAGCAGTAAATGCCTGTAGGATCGTAGCACGAGGTTGTAATGCTCTGAAGACGCCATTACCCACAATCTGGAGACTGAATTTCCTCTTCAATATCGACAGCAGGCGATGTAGTTAGTCGTGTCATTCTATACACACCTCTCTTATCTTGAATCATGTTATGTTCAGTTTACTTCAATTAATTTACAAAAGATCTAATTTTAAAGTTGCAGGTAATTTGGGATCGGATCGAATACCGTTTTTCCCGATGCCGTCAACATCGGACGCCTCCAACGCTACGTGTGATCAGAGAGCAATGAAAATGAATAACCCGAGACAGAACCACATGCGTCAATACCGCCCCTTATATTGTAGAGTGGGTGAGTTGTTTTAACCGACTTCCAAAAAATATAGAGATTATCCATTGGAATGTTTTCTTTTATGCGAGAATGGAATAGCACCTTAGGTTACCAGTAAATAAGGTGGGTTTTTTTTTCTGGTAATTAACTTTTTTTTTTAAAGTTGGTGCTTCTATGTTTGGCTGTTGGTTAAATATGGATACATATTTAGTTGACTTTGACTGCAATAATCATTTCCTCATTTTATTTTGTTGGCTTCTTCGCTTTCCTTTTTATTTCTATTAATGAATTTTGGATATTTCCACGGTGTCGCAAGTAACGCGATCGCGATACACAGATTTCACTCTAGGTGGTAGGAACCCGTTTAATGATAACATGTCATTGTGTAATGTAGACAGATAGACAGGAATGTCACATGTGATCGCGATCCTCAGCAGTGAGGGAACGATATATAGAAGAAGATGAACAACATACCATTCAATTTGGATTGTATGACCTCTTAAAGATTTTAGGTACCACGTTGGTACAAATCCGTGTTGGTCTACTATTTAGAACATCTGAACAATGAATATATGAATGAGTATTAATTCTCATAGTGTTCGTTGTTCATAAAATAAATATGTATGCGCATTTTAAATATTTATCGGAAAGTTGCATAATATTTTTCCAGAAGCCACAAGAATACGTCGGATGCAAATATCTGATCAAAAGATAGTTTCAGCTATATATTTATATATTTCAGACATTTACTTTGTTTAAATGCATTTGATAAGCAAACACGCTTCGAAGTGTTACGCAAATAGGTATTTTATTTATCTAATCTTGTGAGCGAGTGCAATACTGACCCGCCACGCATGGTTCATCATTGATAATACTAAAATTATTATTTCATTTAGGTAATTAATAGTCCAGTTTTTCGATGTCAATAGTTTAATTACTTTCTGAAATAACGGTAAAACCGGCAAATTCATATCCGTATTTACACTAGTGTATTATATTGGTAGTAGGTAGTTTATTACTGGTGGTAGGACCTCTTGTGAGTCCGCGCGGTTAGGTACCACCACCTTGCTTATTTCTGCCGTGAAGCACTAATACTTTAGACTTTAGAACTTATATCTCAAGGTGGGTGGCGTATTTACGTCGTAGATGTCTATGGCCTCCAGTAACACCAGGTGGGCTGTAAGCTCGTCCACCCATTTAAGCAAATTTTTTTTAAAATGAGCTATGTATACGGTATATGGTCTGATTGGGTGTCGATTTCGCAGGGGATCCGTCGACGTCGAGCCTGGCGCTGGAGGACGGTCCGCCGGACATCGGCTGCGTGTCGCAGATCCGGCTGATGCGGTCCAACACCGCCGTGGACCTGAGCAACACCGCGCCCGCCAACGCCACCGCCGAGCTCAACGTCGACATCGGCCGCTCGGACGACGGTAACCGTGCCCGACATTGACTCGCCTCTACAGCAGACCCAACCTCATCACTGACCTCAAGCCTCAAAGAGAAAGGCAGTGTTAATGTTGTCCATGTCCTCCTGCAGCCGAATGAGATAAAAGTGGTTCCTTTTAACATTTATTAACCACATAACCACATTTACTGGTGGTAGGACCTCTTGTGAGTCCGCCCGGGTAGGTACCACCACCCCGCCTATTTCTGCCGTGAAGCAGTGATGCGTTTCGGTTTGAAGGGTGGGGCAGCCGTTGTAACTTTATTTGAGACCTTAGAACTGATATCTCAAGGTGGGTGGCGCATTTACGTCGTAGATGTCTATGGGCTCCAATATCCACTTAACACCAGGTGGGCTGTGAGCTCGTCCACCCGTCCAAGCAATAAAAAAAAAAAAAGTTATCCTACTTTATATTTAGTACTCAAATACACCAGATAAGGTCATGATGTAAATGTAACGTCACATTACAGTGAAACAGAAACACAAGTAAATAAATGTTGTTTTTGTTATGTTGAGTTTTATCACGAGAACATTGTACAGGTCACTCGTGTTAAACGATAATCATATTAATTGGTCTAGTAATAAAATTGTAAACAGATTGTATATCTGTACGCGGGTGCATGCTGATAACGGCTATACGAATTGAAATTCGAACTGTCTTTAAGATGTATGATTTTTGTAGCTCATGTTGAACTCGTGCGAGTATGTAACAAACTAAAAATTGTTTTTTTTTAGAAGCGGAAGCGGAGTCCGAGCCCACCCTGATGCTCGTCAACAACGATCAGAACGATGGACAAGAACAAAGTGCTGAACGTAATATATCCATTCTATTCTGAACATTAGATATCGACGCTTGAAAGGCAAACGTGACTAAGCGACAATAACTGCTTTGTACATAAATGATAGGCAATAACCATATTCGATGCGCAAAAAAATATATCTCTAGGTCTATTAAAATCATTTCAATCCTACAGCTAGATTCGTTAAAATAGTTTTTTTTTCAGGTATTTCAACTTTAAATTAGTCTACCGTAAAGTTCACGCATTGTCGCTTAGTCACGTTTGCCTTGCAAGCATCGATATGTATAAATTTTGCATAAAACTATTTTGCGTGTTTCTGCAGCGAAGAGTCGATTCGCTCCGTATTTATGGATACGATAGGCTTTGTTTTAAAACAACTGAGAGACTTCCTGTTGAATCGAACGCCACCACCGCCACTCCCTCGCCCTATAGTAGGCCTTTTCTTCGAACCGATGAGCGTAAATAATGAAGGCGTTCGCCAACAAACGGTAAACTAACCCAATTAGAATTCGTATGGAATTTTGAACAGCGCCCCCACGGCCGCTTTTTGGTACCAAAAATTTGCGAGTGCGATTTGCTATATTAAAATATCAAATGGCTGAGAGTTATGTTAACTGAGCGAAGCAATGGCACTGTCTACGAGTATTCTTACTTGTTTACTGGTTTACCTCTTGGAAGTCTGCGCGGGTAGGTACCACCACCCCGCCTATTTCTGCCGTGAAACAGTAATGCGTATTGATTTGAAGGGGGGAAGAGCCGTTGTACTAAAAAAAACTGTGAGACCTTAGAACTTGTCTCAAGGTCGGTGGTCGCATTTACGTTGTAGATGTCTATGGGCTCAAGTAACTACTTAACATCAGTTGGGCCGTGATCTCGTCCACCCGTTTAAGCAATAAAATAACTTTACAGCCGTATAGATTGTTATCACAGAAACTTCGCTCCCTTGTGATCTGGCTTCTATCAAACGATGCTCATTTATTGTTAAAGCGAGTACGTCACACGATCCGACGCCCGGTGGGGCCATGGAGGAAGAGATCGTGGAACTGGACGCGCCCGACGACGACACCAACGAGGAAGGCGAGAACAATGTTGCCAATGACGTGGTCATGACAAACGCGGCTACTGCCAGTAATGAAGATGATACTCCAGTGAGTAATGTTGTGACGTATGCGTCACTATTGAAAAAAAAGCCGTGCGTGCTTATGCTTTTAGCTTGGTGATAATTTATCATGGCGTAATAGTGTTTAATAGTTGCTTGGAAAGGCTCAGTGCACTAAGAATCACTGATTGCATATCGGTGTATTGTAATTATGTAAATTAATTTTCACAATGCCAGAAATAAATCTGATTAAGAACAAATACGCTATATTCTGTAGTTATTTATTTTCCTCGTTTCGTAAATGATGATGTTAAAAAAAGTGAATATCCAAATAAAACAGCAAAAAAAAGGTCTACAGTACGAGGTAATTTTAGAGGTTTTTTAAAATAATATTCGTTTGATCTCAGGAGTCTCCCGAAGCTGAGGCCGAAGGATCAGCCCCGGAGCCGCAACCGCACGGAGTGAAGAGGAAGAAGAGTGGTAATCTTATAAATTATGCCTATCATTCACACACGGGTTATTTGTTTGCTTTAAAAATATTACAAAAAAACGTACAAGTATCAAGTTTATTGAAATCTTTAACTAGTCTTCGTAGCCCAGAGGATAAGACGAGCTAAGCGATTGTGCCACAATTCGTATGACCAGTCTTATAGTTTTTTTCTCGTGACGCTGACTCGTGCGTTTTATCACTTACCCGGAAGCCTGCAGCTATCTCTGAAGTGCTTTGTGATGGATCCGCTTCCACAATAGCCTTTAATTCTTCATTTTCCACTTTGGTCTCCGGCCGTCCACGAGGTTGGTTCTGAAGGTCGAAATTTCCAGAACGAAAACGTTGAAACAAAAAACGTATCGTGCTTTCTTTTGCGACACCAGCGCCATACACATCATTAATCCCTCGAGCTGTTTTTGCAGCACTGGTGCTAGGGTAGAACTCGTACTCGTAAATATACTGATATTTCATGATTTCCATTGTGCGGTAATAAGCGACGCAAAAGAAAAAATATAATGAGGAAAAACAAATGAATGATTGTTTTCAAAACTCAAATGTGGCAGCTAAATGAATTTATAAATTTGAATTTTGAATTCTTAACCAAAGAGGTATTTCAGATCAAAGTGGTCAGTACGACAGAACGTTTATTTCATATGTAAGGACCTAGTGTAAAAAAGTATGATCTAAATTATATATTATAATTCACAGATAAAAATTTTTTTATAATTTTTAGGTAACGATGAAGCCGGATTCTTCTCTGTTAAAGATTTTAACCAGGTTTGTTATAATGTTTTTTTAAATACAATTAAATATAAAAGCAAATGAAATTGCTATAAAATTACATGTTCTTTATGCTTTTTTTAAATTTTTTTTATTACTTAGATGGATGGACGAGCTCACAGCCCACCTGGTGTTAAGTGGTTACTGGAGCCCATAGACATCTATAACGTAAATGCGCCACCCACCTTGAGATAAGTTCTAAGGTCTCAAGTATAGTTACAACGGCTGCCCCACCCTTCAAACCGAAACGCATTACTGCTTCACGGCAGAAATAGGCAGGGCGGTGGTACCTACCCGTGCGGACTCACAAGAGGTCCTACCACCAGTAAATAGTTAAAGTATATTATAATTATACTTGAATTCCTACTACGTGCCTATTAGCTTTTACTTTGTTACTATAATTTACGTTGATATGTATTATTTGGAACTTTCGAAATGATTAAAAGTGCCTTCTGCATTCATTTGATAATAAACTAGTCGGGGACGCGAGACCGTGCGGAGCGCTACGTGATTTGTCGGCGCCGCTCGGAGCCGCTTCGGCAAGCCAATCGCTTGTGTCTCTATGGACTTATTTTTTCGTTTCGTTTCATTTCGTTTCATCGAGTTTGAAATCACAACGATTCTAAAGAAGTTTCACTTCAAACATTCTCACTCATTTTCTGTTATCGCACAATTAAAAAGCTTTTTCATTGTAATAATTTTTTTTGCATTGTATTGGCCATGTGGTGGTCGCCGTCATCCAGATTATTAATCTTTTTAATACTAATTATTTTTAAGCAGCGTATAGATAGACAGTGTTAAATAGTAGCTTGTACGTTTCCAGGGTCTGCTGCGGCTGCTGGAGTGCCCGGTGTGCCTGGAGTGGATGGAGCCGCCCATCGCGCAGTGCCGGCGCGGGCACCTGGTGTGCGTGCGCTGCCGCTCGCGACTCAACGCGTGCCCCGTGTGCCGCACCGTGTTCTCCAGCGTGCGGAACCGAGCCATGGAAGGGGTTAGTCCTGGCCTCAACGTGTACTCGAACTGAGCGATGCGACTCTGCCAAAGCCTTAAATCTTGTAGGAAGATACCTTTTAATACCCTTTTATTAGCTTCAGACGTATGTATGTATGTTGGTAACGGAATCTTTAAACATGATTTTGACACCCTTCAAAACGTCGGATTAACTCGAAATTTGGTATACTTATTAAGGACCGATGACAATTCAATATTTAAAAAAATATTGAAAAAATTTAAATTCAACTATAAAATGAAAAATAAATAATAGTTTACAAAAACTAACACAAATACGCCTTTATAGAAAATCCAACTAAAAAATAGAAAATAAATTTTAATAAATTTGAATTAAAAATAGTGTTAGAAAAAATGATTTTATTGTAAAAAAAAGCGTGGGGTGCGTGGTATTTTCTATTTTTAGTTAGGCGAGCTCACAGTCCGCCTGGTGTTAAGTGGTTACCGAAGCCCATAGACATCTACAACGTAAATGCGCCACCTACCTTGAGATATAAGTTCTATAGTCTCAATATAGTGACAGCGGTTGCCCCACCCTTCAAACCGAAACGCATTACTGCTTCACGGCAGAAATAGGCGGGGTCGTGGTACTTACCCGTGCGGACTCACGAGATGTCCTACCACCAGTAAAGGTTTACTTATTACAAACTAAGGTATTTGTGCTCGGTTTGGGGAATGGAAACTGTTTTCGGCTGACGTCACGAAGCCAGTCACGCGTGTTCGTTCTGGAGGGCGGGAAGATAAGCCCTTTTAAATAAATTTTGCAGGGTACTGGTATCTACCCGTGCGGACTTACAAGAGGTCCTACCACCAGTAAACAGTTAAATTGAGTTTTCGTGTTCTCTTAAGTAAGCAAGTTGTGGTGGCAGGTGGCGGAGATGCTGCGGTACCCGTGCCGGCACGGGTGCGGGCGCGAGGTGCGGCTCCGGCGGCGCGCGCCGCACGAGGCCAGCTGCGCCGCGCGGCGCTACCACTGCCCCGCGCCCGCGTGCCGGGACGCGCCCGCACTGCCGCACGCGCACCTCGCGCACCACTTCCAGGTACTACGCCCGGCGACATCCGGATACTTACTATATTACTTACAAATGTAGTACTATTTTATTTATTTATTTATACTTTATTTCAGTTTTTTTTATAACGCCATCTTGTTGTGTCTTTAAAGCGGTTAGTTGCTCTCAATTAAGAAAAATAGTATTATTATTCGCCAGTAGATGTCGGGAAGAGTCATAAAGTTGATTATTGAAAACACGAATAAAACAACATTAATCGTAGCTAGATGGATTTATCGCCCCCGAAATCCTCTGTATGTGATGTCGTAAATAATCAATAATAAAATTTCATGTTTCCGAAGCAAAGCGAGGGCGGGTCGCTAGTTACTAAATAAATTGGAAAATGTCTATTTGATATCGATCACATTTTAACATTTCTAAAATGTTGCATGACAGAGTAAGCACATGTCGATGCTGAAGATGGGTCGCAAGCATCAGTTCTCGATCAAAGTGAACGTGGAACAGCACGAGGACTGCGTCATCATGGCGCTGGACCAGCTGTTTCATCTGAAGGTCGACGTTGACATCCGCACGTGGGGCATCATCATCTACGTCGCATTCATCGGACCTAAGTCGAAAGCCAGCAATTATACTTACGAGGTGTGTTTCAAATTAACGAAGCTACAACTTTTGTTTCCTTTTTTTTTTTATTATAATAAGAATAAACATTTATTCCACACATAAATTTACAAAAAATGAAACAAAAATTAAAAGGAAAATAACAAGGCTTGGAAACGGTTACCGGCTCAGCAATGCCTAACAGTACCGAGACAATCGGTACTGCGGCGCTGATCTTCCGCCAGCACCTGCGGAGGGACGTGCACACCAGCATCAGACCGACCAATCACTGTCTGGGCTTAGAATAATAACAACAACAGTTTTTAGTTGTCACCGTTGATCCTGGTGGCACCGTGCACGAGAAATATCGTGAGGGACATTAAATGATAAAGTTTGTTTCTTTAATGATAAAATGTTTTTTTCCGTTCCGTTTTATCTTAATCGAACACTTTTTGTTTGGTTTTTTTTCCCTAACTAAGCTGAGGGCCTTGAGAGGCTATATCAGTGTAACCGTAACTAGTAGGTGAGCTCACGGGGCTCAAACCTGACGACGTTGCTAACACGAACCCTAGCAAGAGCCGTGCTTCGCAGAATCTACCGCCGGAATTTTTTGTAAGGTCCTTTTGATAAAGGTTTTTTTTTTTCTTTTCGGATTATAGGTGGTTGTGAACGGGCAGCACAACTCGAGGAAGCTAGTGTACACGAGGGTGACCCACAGCGACTTGGAGAGCTCGTCCGTGAACGTGAGCCGCCAGGACTGCTTCCACCTGACCCTCGACCAGGCCCTCAACTTCCTCAGGGTCAAGAACAAGCAGTGCGAGCCGGATAAATACTTGGAGTTCAATTTGGAGATCGCTCAGTGCGACGAGATAGAGGCGAATGATTCTGAATCCTGATCGCGGTTTCTCTCTAGTCTGATCAAGAAGCGGCTCGCGAAGGCCATGAGGCTCGCCAAGCGGCCGCTCATGAACAGGAGCTGGAGCTTGATGATCAGGGACGTGTTGGACAATAAGTAGAAGGCTCCATACTACAAGCCGCCTTGATAAAAAATGATTTTTTTTCATACTTATGCTGATAACCTTGAGAGGCTATTTCAGGTTAGATACTATAACCCAACGGTTACAAGAGTGAACAAACAGTCTGTGTTGACTAAGGGAATTTCGTGTAACTTTTACCGATCAATCATTTTGAACTATTTAACGGCTCGGGGCTGTTTATATAATACTTGTCTAGTGTTAAACATCACATAATGTAGTGTACTTTAAATATTAAATTAAATGCATTTATTATACAAAATATAGTCGTTTAAATTATATTAAATACGGTAATTACGAATTTTTTATCACTAAGCTGTAAGTACTAATATCTCGTAGATTTTATTTTGTGGTGTAATAATAATTATGTATTGTAATCTAATAATTTTGTATTGGGCAGCGACTTGGATGTGTTAACTAAGCTCGTCTGCTTACAGTGGAAATAAAAAAATTATATGTATTTTGCTCCTGCATGACGACACCTCTGTCAATTAACCTACAAAATAACCAGATAAATCATGTTACAATGAATTGTGAATTTTTTTTACGATTTCGGATTGCTTTTGTCTCCTGTAGCTCTGCTAAGATTTTAAATTAATATTCTTGTTTCATAGTTTATTGTATTAGTATGAAGTCGTGCACAGTTATTAGTTGTAGTTCTGTCTCGTCTGCCAGCAACAAGAAGCCAACTAGTTTTATCGAAAATTCGATTGTCAATCATAAACAACTTCTTCGTGGGCACTAAAGAAGTGACGCGAAATATTTAATAACAAAAACTGTTACATACTTAGTAATTTACTTAAAACGTTGTGCCGATAATAACGACTTACTTATAGAGTAACATGCAAGTTTCATTGTTTTGAATAAATAATATACCATGTTATTTGGAATTTCCAAATATAAAAAATTGAAAATATGACACAATATTATGAATTGAGTTTGTACAGAAATTTTTTTTTCAATTTCATACATCTAAGTAACGGGCACTGGTCTCACGAAATATATTTCGTTAATGCTCTTGATATCAGTTTTGTTTAACCAAAAAAATTAGCTCGGAGAATGGATTTTTTTTTTCGAATAAAATTGTAATGTGAGATTTTTCCAAAATATAATTCGATTGTATTTCGGACTAACCTCCTTACTAATAAACTAAAAAAATGTTGCCATATTTTACGTAAGAGTAATAGTATTTCTTTAAGTTTTGAATGTACAGCGACAAATATGTACACGAAATATTAGAAGAATTGGAAATGTCAGTTGTTTTATTTGTGCAAATTGTGGAATTTGTAAATATAATAAGTGAAACATAAATTTAACCGTGATAAACATTTTATATGGCTCTTTACAAATCTTAACATTCGGATAGTCTATTTTAGTTCACTAAACCTTTTAAATGTCTTTATACTAACCCATTTCAGGTTTTGTATAAACAAATTTAGTATAAGCTATATTTGTACATGCAAAAAAATTTCAAATGTAGAAAATCAAAATAATTACATTTAATCCATAATTAATGATTTATTGTAGTCTGTGAATAGTGTCCTCTCTACCACATGTAGTCTATCTACAGAACATGTTTGCTGGTAAATTCACATGTATATGCTCAAGTCAGAGCCTACACATGTTCGTGCCGTCACCCTGCCTGTTTTGGTTAAGCAGACATTTTCTCAAAGGGAAGATACTAATTTGACCGATACCTTCACCTTATACCTCGATGTAGAGAAAGCTAATATTACATTCTCCTAAAAATTATAAATAATACTATTACCGATCTGAATTTCTGGAATGAAATTTTAAATTATGATAATATTATATATAGAACTCGTCTACTATGTTGTAAGGATCGTCTTGATAGCTTTTGGGAAAATTATAAAGCTATTTACAGTATATAGAACGGCATCAATATTGTGATATTCTTTACATTTTTAAGTAAATTAAGTGTATAAAATGATTAAAAATGAAATAAACCTTTCAAATTAATCAATTTTATTGTTATCATTTTCAAAATGTCTAATATAAATACTTAAAATCGAATATAGTTATTTATTTACAAATGATATAATTATCACACGTTTCTATACAATATGATTGTGATATTTTTATTAAAACTTGACCGTTTTGGTTTCATTCCTTTTATATAATTCTAAATATTAAAATGTAAATACTGCAATTATACGTCTTGCACTGAGTCGAGAGTGTCGTACGACAGCGCTGTGTACCGAGAGAGTACTGATAGACGTACTAAATGTATGTATTGGAATCTTCTCCGAAAACGAAGTCAGGCAGTTCAAAATACAAAACAGATGATTCTTGATCCAATTTTTTAGTGTTCTTGAACCCTATAAAATCCGCGTATGTTAAATATTTAAAATTTTACAACAGATCATTGTGGGTTTGCCAATTACTAAATCGATAAAGTATTTATACTAGCCATAGCCAAATCGTATTGTTTTTCGTTTTCATGTCAATAGAATGGTCTATTGCTATTTTGGTCCGATTTTCGGAGCGATCCCTTTACATCTTATACATATAAAATATAAAAATCTTAAATTATGTGTGAAAATTGCAGGTCTGACGGAAAGGAAACGCCGATGAAAATGCTTACATATTTATACTAAAGTAAATTTATTTCTAAATACGTTCTTAAAATTAAAACAAATAATATTTAATTAAAACGTATTTTTATGGTTTAACCTTCTGTTTGTTTTAAACTAAATTTTCGTGGTCATGGACGAATGACGTAAGATTATTAAATCTCAAGAATAAATAAATTACAAGCTAAGCTTTATTTTCGTCAAACCCTTGCATACGACTATAAATTCATATAAATTATTTAATTTATTACATTATTGCAAAAAGACTCATCTAAATCGTAATTTTGCAACACAACAAAGCAATGCATTGAAGATAAATTATATAGAAGATAATTAAAGTATTGTCCATTTTATAAGAAGAGTTGATTACATTGTCGTTACAATGTGATAACAAAATTTAAGAAAATAAAGGCTATTGAAGAAATACTGTATACAATATTTTGATATTAATTGATAAGATTTTATAAATTGAATATTTTTCAAATAGAATAATTCATGAATTTCAATTATATATAAAGTGGATAGAATTAAATTATGTAAAGAATATAGAATAGATTATCGCGATCAAAAAACTCATTGAGCCAATTAGAAACAATTTTTTTTTTAAATTACCTTAGTTATAAAACAGGTTTTTTCTTTAGTACAAAATTGCAAGGACGTGATCAGCGCAAGGTCAGATATTGTGCCGAACCAAAAGGCTGTATGATCTATTCGTAGCTCAATTCATTGTGACATACATATTTCTCTTTTTTTATTTTGTAATTTAATTTGTCGATTAGTTTTTTTTTTTTGAATACGCTTGATTTTGCTTAGTGCTAGTTTTGTAACTTACGCCCCTACGTTTGCCGCTAGGGGCGCTGTTCCAACTCCAATAAATTTGAGTTAACTTTTACGCGATCGAGAAGTTAAAAAACTGGCACTAAGCAGATAGGACTAACACTGTGTGTTCAATTTTATCGAACAACGAACGCTCTCAGAAAAACTAATAAAATTAACAGAGAAGTGATTTTTTTTACATAGTACTTATCTGATTACTTTATACTTGCGTATTATTTCATTGTGTTTGTGCATGAATTTATTCATAATTTGTCTGCATGTGCGTTATAGATAGAGGTACGTACTAAATAAATATTGATAACCACCCATGACTTTCTGGCTGCACAACCTCCGGTTAACTAGTAGTTCATCTTCTTAGACATGAAGGTAGCTTACATACACGTACATACATGAAAAATAATGAAGAAATAATCTTACGGGAAGGTAAGCCAGCAGCGGGTGTTTCGTAGTTGCTAATGATATTATGACTGAAAAACTCAAAAGTTGAAAATATCATATTTCTTCCACTAAGTGAGTGACGAATCAAAGCGAATTATTAGTGATCGTAAATAGATTTTTAAAGATTGACGGTAAACAATAGCACTAACGATCTTTGATCGTTAACCTGGATTCTAGTAAAACGTTACCCTGACGATTCTATACTTTAAAAAAATAAAATTAACGTAATATAATAATAAAATCGATCATATTTTTTCAAAATAAACACCAATTTATGATTAAATAGTTTTCTATGCCCGTCAGATCTGCATTCTAACTTACTTATATAGGTAATCTACTCTAAACTTAATATTCTTTTAGAAAATAATAAAACACTTTTATATTATCATACATTAAATATTAGCGCGAAATATCACAAAAAAATTGTTACAAAATATCTACGAGATCATTATCGTATTTATTATACAATGTCAATTGATCGACAACATTGAGAGTATGTTAATGATATATAAATAGTTACACCGAAGATCCAGGAAGACTGAAGATTTGCTTATTAAAAGGAATTTCAAGGGAACATACGTGGTTATGATACAGAATATATCGTCTTCTCGCATTAAAACTGTATAATCTCAAAAGTTACTAATTTTACAGGAGAGTGTTCTACAGGTTTAACATGTGATATTTTAAATATTAATCATCTTTGCAACATTTATTTTTTAATTTTTTACCATTACTTTATCTGTCTTTTAAAGTAAGATAAAATTGTGTATTAATTTCGTTAATAGTAGTCAAGATATAGGTAAACAAAAAAAAAAAACTAAAATTAAACTATGCTCTTTTGACAGTATTTATGAGAAAAATACTGATGATACCAAATGATTCGGCATATTAGCTCAATTTCGAATATTTTTGGAAATTATACACTTTTAATGCGAGAAGACGATATATTTCATGAGGGCGCGGGTGACCAGGCCTGAAATATTTACATAAATAAAACACGGTAGCTATTACGCAGACAGCAAATTTGAAGTCAAACTATTCTACGTCGTAAACGGTCTGAAGAATTTCAGACAGCACGTCAACTCGAAGCTCGAAAGTCAACAGGACTGTCGTTAAATTCACAAGCCAGAGTGCCACCGCCCTGCCTATTTCTGCCGTGAAGCAGTAATGCGTTTCGGTTTGAAGGGTGGGGCAGCCGTTGTAACTATACTGAGATCTTAGAACTTATATCTCAAGGTGGGTGGCGCATTTACGTTGTGGATGTCTATGGGCTCCAGTAACCACTTAACACCAGGTGGGCTGTGAGCTCGTCCACCCATCTAAGCAATAAAAAAAAAAAAGCCAAGTCCACTCGCGCAACAAGATGCAGCAGAAAACTGGCTCGAGACAGTAGACAATTAAAACTACTTTAACGGTTTAATATCACGTTTTTTATTATCATTTAAAGCAGCAGCTTTTTTTTTATTNCTATACTGAGATCTTAGAACTTATATCTCAAGGTGGGTGGCGCATTTACGTTGTGGATGTCTATGGGCGCCAGTAACCACTTAACACCAGGTGGGCTGTGAGCTCGTCCACCCATCTAAGCAATAAAAAAAAAAAAGCCAAGTCCACTCGCGCAACAAGATGCAGCAGAAAACTGGCTCGAGACAGTAGACAATTAAAACTACTTTAACGGTTTAATATCACGTTTTTTATTATCATTTAAAGCAGCAGCTTTTTTTTTATTGCTTAGATGTGTGGACGAGCTCACAGCCCACCTGGTGTTAAGTGGTTACTGGAGCCCATAGACACCTACAACGTAAATGCGCCACACACCTTCAGATATAAGTTCTAAAGTCTCAGTATAGTTACAACGGCTGCCCCACCCTTAAAACCGAAACGCATTACTGCTTCACGGCAGAAATAGGCGGGGTGGTGGTACCTACCCGTGCGTACTCACAAGAGGTCCTACCACCAGTAAAAAGTACCTGTCAATTGAGAGAGCGCGCCGACCATGGTTCAGCGTCAAGTTGTTACGTCCTCAATCTGCCCCATCAGAGGCTCGAACAAGGGTTGTTGAGCGATGGGGTTCTTTAGCTCACAAAAACAGTACGAAGGGCACATTATAATAGCACCAGAGTATCTATATCAAGTGTTTCCAAGCTGCCAAATTTATAATCAAGAGCTATAATAGGGCTGTCCAAACTACATACATTTGCAGGCTAATTAAAATTTATTACAAAAGCTGGAGGGCTACAGAAAAAATGAATTTCAAAAACAAAATACTTTCCCGGAAATCCCCTAATAATAGGTATGGAACGTTACAAGAAAAAAGATAAATTATTATACCAAATATTTATGTGTTTTCACAAAGAACTCTATTATCCAAACTATTTATATACAAAACTATCTTCTGATGAACGCATACGTCGCGGGCCGCGTGTAAACAAGACGCGGCCCGTTGTCAGGACAGCCCTAAGCTATAACATAGTCCCTCCCAGGGTGTTATCTATATATTAGCACGTGAAACAAAAACTTTGTACCCCTTTTCACTAAAATTTAGCGGACGGAGGACTATGAAATTTCCCACACTTATAGAGAATACGGAGAATGAGTGCAGAATGTTAATCTTTTTTTTATTTATAAATAAAATAAATAAAAAAACCATTACACACACTACCATGTATTTGACACACGCATATAATTAAACTCTTTTCTTGTGAAACTTTTGTTATTGTTGAAAGTCAGTTGATGATCAGATGAAAGAAACTAGAGTAGAAAGATATCTCTAAAGTAAAGAGGTGGATAGTTTGGTGTGCTAGCAATCAACCGAATCTTTAAGCACTTGAAAAAACAAATCTTGTTTTGGTTAAACTACTTCAAAACAATAATGTTGTAATTAAATTACTTAAAGCATTTATTTCAATTGATATTAAATGTCAAGTGATATTAATGTCTTATTTAACTCAGACTAGTAAGTAGGAAGCTATAAACGTAATTGGAACTAATTTTAAGATTTAATTTCGAGTTTTTTATTGTCATTATATTATATCCGACGTTTTGAACACTATAGTTTGCATAGTCGCGGCCATCCGAGTCCGTGTAAAAGTAGTTTTAATTAGTATTTTAATCAGTGGGTCCGATGCCAGATTAAGAAAATCTAAGGGATAAATATCTTATTATTATGCAGTTGTTTCCTTATTAAAATCGATCTTAAAATGCAAGCATTGCAAACAATTCTTATAGGTTAATTTTCATTTATTTTATGATCACGATATCTGTAATATACGTATAATGAGGGTCGTGACCGCCCTTCTGTATAAAATATACCTAATTAAATATAAAATATTAAATTAAAAAAGTTGAAGTAAAGAACATTCAACCTTATGTCTTAGTTTAGAAGACAGCTTTCAGCATTTGTCAATATTCCGTGCAGTTCAAGATTGAATTTGCACCCTTAGAAAATTCACGCCGTGTACAGGACATCATGTACAGTTATAAATAACATCAATTTGTAGTTACTTTAGGAACTACCTCATAGATTATATTGTATACCTTGGTATAGATCAGCGGTCGGGGAACCGAGGTAAATTACCCCAAATGGGTTAAAATGAAATTTTGGGTGGTAAAAATGAAACTTTTGTGAGTAAAAAGTATATATTGAAGTGAAACTTCTTTAGAATCGTTAAAATTTTAGTTATTGTTTTCTTTTCAAAATTATCATGGGGGCTATAATAAGTAAGATGCTAAAAAGAAGCGATTTCGTTTTTTTTTTGTTCTTCGCCATGGGGTAATATCAACTTACACAAAAATATTTTGGGGTAATAATTAAAAAAGTTCCCCGACCACTGGTATAGATTATGCAAAATACTAGTAGATTTTTTTTCGTTTTATATAACAATATTATATAATACTATTATATATTACTAGACTTACTCGTTAGATTGTATACCGCAATTCTAAAACTGTATTTCATTGTACAGTCTTCAAGCTTCAGTCGTTCATTAGTTCATTCGTTCATTGGGTACACAGATTATAGCCTTGAAATTTCTTTTAATTTCTAAATTTGGATAGTTATTAAGAGACTAGACTTCTGGAGGCGATCGCCTGCCGCGAGTACTCGGTGCCGATGAGTCCTCGACACGCCAGCGAGAACTCCTGCACCACTTCGAGTATCCTGCGCTTACTGGTTCGTTCTCTGTAAAATATTAAACAGACACGTCATTACGGATTCTCCTGATACATTAACGGTGCTTTTAGGTACCACAAGCACCGGTCACCGTCCTCGTCGACCCCGAGCGAATTAATCCACAGACACAGCCCACAGAGTTTCTCGCCGGATCTTCTCAGTGGGTCGCGTTTCCGATCCGGTGGTAGATTCTGCGAAGCACTGCTCTTGCTAGGGCCAGTCTTAGCACCACTCCGGTTTGAGCCCCGTGAGCTCACATACACGCTAAGGCGAAGCTGATTATAGCCTCTCAATCTCAAGACTATCAGTATAGGTAGGAAAAAAAAAATTAAACAGAATATAAAATTCAAAGGTGTGTTCTGTGGTAAAGCATAATCTCGATTTAGTGCTAAGGTTTTTTTAGTGCCCTTGTAGGCAGACAAGCACACGGCTCACATGATGGTGGATAGATTATAAACCTATTGATCTTTGTTGTAGTGATGATTGTACATTGTTTGCCGGTGGTGTCATACATGCCATTAGTATGAGAAGTGTCAGTAGGTTTGAGACACAGAATTCAACTGATTTTCAGTTATCTGTGATTGTTCAACAAAAATACGTGTATATATCACTACCCTATTTGTGCCGGGAAGTTAAAATGTGTTCCAGTTTTAAGGGTGGGGCGACCATTATACCATTAAATAAAAATTACGACCTCGTGTCTGAAGAGAGATGGCAATATTCACCCGCGATGTCTATATTTTCAGTAACTACATACGTAAAATCTCGTAAGCGGGCTTTTAGTTCATATCTATAAAATAATCATATAGATATATACTATATTTAACAATATGTTACTAAATATATTGTATGTAATAGTAAGGATACTGCATCCAAATTATTTTGAACATTAAACTTAAAATTTTCTTTAAAAAAAATATTTATCATGTTACCTGAGCACGCCGGCTATGAATTTCTGTTTGTGTGCGTGTGTGGCGTGTGGCGTGGGGAAATCCGAGGGCGCCAGTGATGTTCGCAGCCACGTCTCCAGCTTTTCTTCCTCCTCCCCCCAATCCGCACGGTTCATCGACAGCAGCAGGTCTGATACGGGCATCACTTGGTTGCGAGGCATCACGCCGCCTGTACAACGTACATCAATTATTTTATAGAGCGTGGAGCCATTTCTAAAAAGTTAAGGTTATCTGTGCCGACAGTCAGTCGCACCACGACCGCACCATGTTTTTTTTTTACTTAGGTGGACGAGCTCACAGCTAACCTGGTGTTAAGTGGTTACTGGAGCCCATAGACATCTACAACGTAAACGCGCCACCCACCTTGAGATACAAGTTCTAAGGTCTCAGTATAATTACAGCGGCTGCCCCACCCTTCAAACCGAAACGCATTACTGCTTCACGGCAGAAATAGGTAGGGTGGTGTTACTTACCCGTGCGGACTCACGAGAGGTCCTACCACCAGTAATTACGCAAATTATAATTTTGCGGGTTTCATTTTTATTACACGGTGTTGTTATTCCTTCACCGTGGAAGTCAATCGTGAACATTTGTTAAGTACGTATTCCGTTAGAAAAATTGGTACCCCCTTGCGGGATTCGAACATCGGTGCATCGCTAGATACGAATGCACCGGACGTCTTATCCTTTAGGCTCCACTTCGACAAAGCGGCACGACACGAGAACCCTCTCATCGTGGCTGCCGGTAACTACATTCCCGATCCTGCGGACAGAATGGAAAGCAGTCGACGTCGCCTCAAACACGTCATTTCGGATTCTCCCGATCCACTAACGGTGCTTCTAGGTACCTCAAGCACCGGTCATCGTTCTCGTCGAACCCGTCGCTTGCGACGAAGGGCTCGACGAGTAAATTAACCCTCAGACACAGCTCACTGAGTTTCTCGCTGGATCTTCTCAGTGGGTCGCGTTTCCGATCCGGTGGTAGATTCTGCGAAGCACTGCTCTTGCTAGGGTTCGTGTTAGCAACGTAGTCAGGCTTGAGCCCCGTGAGCTCACCTACTAGTTAAGGTTACGCTGATATAGCCACTCAAGGCTCTCAGCTTAGGCAGGAAAACGACGACTTCTGTGTACGTACCGATACAGATCAGCAGGGCGTGCGTGAGGGCGGCACCGCGCGCGTGCGCAGCCCGCGGCCGCGCGACACAGAGCGCCGACAGCCAGCCGCACACCGACCGCACCGCGCCCGGCGCCCACACGCGGATTGAATTCCCGCCTGGAACATAAATATATCATTCACTTCGATGTACTTTATTACCACAACGATTAAGTCAGTTTTTCACATTTTTCCCATGTCCTACAAGATAGCAAAAAGTTATCGAACAAAATGGTACCTACATACTTTAGTTAAATGTAAATAAACTATATTAAAAAATGTTGTGAATTGTCTTAAAAAATGCGAAGAAACTTTTTCCCCAACCTATTACTTGAGGGTATCCATAAATAAATTCACGTAATAAATATCTATACGTGTCTAAAGTAAAGTGAATTTTACGTGCATTGGTTGGTTACGATTTAGCGTTTTTATAATTGACAAATTAATGTAGGTAGCATAAAATCGAGATAATCTAGTCCTTACGGAGTAAAACAATTCATTGAAATATAAGCAAATGCGTATTAAATATTGTAAAGCTATTATGTTGTGGTTTTAGAGTAGAACAGCCGCATCTTCAATACTCTTTTATGTCTTTTTGTCTTTTATGTTAGTGTAAAATAATTATGAATATGTTGCACACTTGTACTGTGAGGACAGTTCGGACATGTTTGCATAAATCGTTCAGGTAAATTCACGAATAACGGCGTGAATCTATACTTTTATTTTGCTGTTTGTTTTCGTAGACAGGTTATCGAGTTTACATGCCCGCACGGTATTGAATAGTTATCATAGTCTATGGGTCATAGTCATTTTAAGACATGAGGTCTAAGTCTCAATCGCACAGTACGATCGCTGCCTCACCCTCTAAACTGGAGTACATGGCAAATACGCGGTATGAATGGGCGGGGCGGTTCAGAAGACTATCGATAAATTGTAGTAGGTTGATTCACAATCGAATAAAAAAAACACTAAAAAAATGATGCTCGTGCAACTGACACACGTGTACACAGCACAACTGGTACATGTAACAGAAGTGAAACTTCTCTTGCGGTGCGAAGATTTTTTCTATTTTTATCCTTAAATCAAATTTATCTTGTAATAGAAACGACCTAGCGCCCTTTGTCCTTACCCTCTCACAATGTTCCAGTGGTTCGCGAGACGCTCTGTCTATTTTCTCACTCTCGCTCTTCCTAAGTTGTATCTTTTCTCTCTAGCCGTAACGAATCTGCGGCGAGTTAAATTTTACTCTCAACGCGCCTAAAGTTTCACTTTAAAAAATGCGTTAAATACCTAGGTCGACCAGTTCAGGGAGCAAATGTTCGATCCAGTTGAGGACTTCTGGTTTTTTCTTAGTGAGGGCCATCAGCATAGCGAAGAGTCCGTCGGAGAGGTCCGGCCTGGCGGCGGGCTGCGGCGCCAGCTCTTGCACGCTGGTCGCCACCACGCTGCTCACCAGCGCCGCCGAGCCCGACCACTCGCCCACGACCAACACCAGCTGCCGACAAACGTAACGCTACAATCAGATAACCTCCCATCGGTAACCATCCGTTCATCTTTTTTTTTTATTGCCCTTTTCAAAGGGGTAGAGCCAAACCGTTTCCTCGGAGCTGTGACCTATTGACGATTACAGTGGTTAGTATTAAGTAGCCTGATGAGTTTCTCGACGGATCTTCTCAGTGGATTGCGATTCCGATCCGGTAGTAGATTCTACGATTCATTGCTCTTGCTAGGGCTGGTGTTAGCAAATTCTTTTAGGTTGAGCTCGTGACCTCATCTACCCTTCAGCGCGAAGTTGGAATAGCCACTTAGGCTATCAGCGAATAGGTAGGGCTCATTTACAATTTTGTTTATTTTAAATCAAATTCAAACAACTATTCTGACCACGCCCACCTTTGGGCGTTCTATAAGCGAATTAAAATAAAAAAATCAGTTCTACTATTTCTCTCGGTGCTCGATTCACAAAGCTCGTACCAGTTTCACTATGTCCAGTCCCGGAGCGCAACTGAAGTTAGTGAAGCCGGTCATCAGCAGCTCCGCTATTTCTGCGACCAGCGGCACGCACTCTTCCATTAGGGCTGACACCGTCTGCTTTAGTATCGTGAATAAATACTGCAAAGAAAATGTATCGAATTATTATCTCGAACCTCCATTCTGATTAAAGGTTTTGGTTGTAAAACGGAGTAGGAATTGGTGGAACGGTTAATTTAATGGTTGTTGGGGTTTACTCAATGAGGCCGCGGTGCCATACCCTATTTGGGAATCTCAAATGGGACTATTGTAACGTAGCTCGTCTACTCTATAACTAGATATTGTTACGCCGGTAAGAGTAACGCCATCTATCGCCGAATAGTCGAAGGAATATCGAAGGACCTAGAAGCACGTAGAACGCCCAAGAAGTACAGCGCCATCTATTGACAGATAGCGGAAACTACTACTAGAGATGTGTGGAATATTTTCGATAATAAAAGGGTTTTAGATAGGGCACGCAGTCAGTCAGTAATCGGAACTACTCGAAGCGAAACAGCGAACGGATCACCTGAAGTGAAGCGGAACAAGCGAATTGAGAGTTTTAAAGTGTTTGTGAAGTGTTTAAGTGTTCTAAGTGTTGAATACAGTGTTAAATTGTACTTTGGTGAAATTTTATTTATCCCGAACCCTCAGTGCGTAAAACAATATGTATCTAGTATGCGTTTATAATACATATCTATACTAATATTATAAAGAGGAAAGATTTGTTTGTTTGTTTGTTTCGAATAGGCTCCGAAACTACGGGACCGATTTGAAAAATTCTTTTTCCATTAGAAGCCGACATTGTACCTGATAAACATAGGCTACTTTTTTTTTTTTTTTGTTTCATGTGTGTTTTAATGTTTCCGAAGCGAAGCGAGGGCGGGTCGCTAGTACATTATAAGTTTGTACTAACTTCGACGAGGGCCTCGTGTTGTGCCAGCGGCGGCAGGGTGGGGGCGATGATGCGGAACAGTTGTGCGGCCAGCGCGGGGCTGGGGGCTAGCGCCGCCATCACCACGGCCGCGCACTCCGCCGCGCAGCACGTCAGGTTCACGTCGCGTCTCTGGACCGACAACCATCAGCTTATGAACATTACGCGAACTAAACAAATATTCACACTTTTGTACAACACGAGCATCCTCTTAGTCTAGTTATCTAGACCAACGGTGGTTTAGGTATCTAAGCGTTTTTTTTATTGGAATTTAAAAGATATATGCTCACTTTTATTAAACCGATTATTATGTTTATTATGCAAGGCAGCGGCTTGGCTCTATCCCTGGCATTGTTGAAGTCCATGGTCGACGGTAACCACTCACCATCAGGTGGCCCGTTCGCTCGTCTGCCTACGAGGGTAAAAAAAATACATATCGTTATATAATATTGGTGTTCAGCTTTTTCTCTACGATCACCCTCGAAATGTATCTAAAAAAGTATTAACGTTTTATAGAGCATTTTCAATATTATGTAAATCACCGTATTACCTGCATAGCGATGTCATCCCGGAGCGTGCGTGCGAGATCTTCCAACAGCGGGGCAGCCAGTAGAGGCGGCGCCGCCGCTAGTGCCGCGCCCGCAGCGCCGCACAGCTGGCGCCGCACCCAGCCGTCGCTACGGCCGCCTGTGCTCTGTGGACGTTATAATCTCTTTATTATACGTATACGTATACGACATGCTGAAACATTAAATTCGGTCAAACGCCTCATTAAGGAGCATTTTTTAAATATTCATCAACCAGTTTAAGTATTTTAAGTATCTTTTATATGTAAATTGGCTATTGTTATTTATGTGTAAAGAAGCAAAATTTTTAATATAATTATTATTATATTAATATACATTGTGTATTAATTGTATGTATATTTATGGTTATATGTATGTATACTCTCTCTCTCTCTCTATTATCTGCTGCGCACTGTCAGCCACGTCGGCACGTAAGGGAGGCTAGTTACCCGCGCGGCGTGCACTATGTCGGGCGCGAGGTCGGCCGCGGGCGCACTGCAGTCGGCGCACAGCTTGCGCAGGGCGAGGGCGGCGGGGGCCACGCACCGCTGCAGGGCGGCGCCGGCGGCCATCACGCTGGAGAGCCCCAGGGCTGCACAGCGCTCTTGTCCCGACACCGAACTCAGCCACGACGCGTACCCGCCTGCGCTCATACACAAACACCAACTGTGACCATCATTACACCTACATAATATATCTCCGATAGTCAGTTTACATATAATTAACCACCATACCTTTCGACTTTAATTTTTAATAATTTTATTAACGACTTCAAAAAAGGAGGAAGTTCTCAATTCGACTATATGTTTTTTTTTTATGTTTGTTACCTCATAACTTTTGACTGGGTGAATCGATTTTGATGGTTATTTTTTTATTAGAAAGCTGACGCTTCCCGTGTTGTTCCATTTCAATGTAGTCCAGTTCTGATAATGGTATCTATGAGAAAACCATATAAGTCTTAAATTTGCATTAAGTACGTGCGCGACAAATAGATGAATAACTAAATATCACGCCAACCGATTTCGATGATTATTGTTTTTAGTGTATCTTAATTTGTTTTGAAATATAATTTTTTTTTGTCTATTTGAAGTCGGTTTTTGTTAAAGCATGTCTATTTACAATTATATATTAACTATTTACATGTTGTGATGTAACTGGCAACATGAACGATATTTTTATATTGGTATCACTGGTCAATCCTAACAAATCAGTTTGAGGACTTTTTGGCGGGAACGCGAGGAGTGAAGTTGTGTGATTTGTTTTATTTTGTCTACTTAGTGTTCCTTCAGGTTTAAATGTGTGATAACGGTGGTTTATTAACTGTTTAATATCTGTGAAAGTGCATAAATGTGGGAAAATGAAACAAAGCCGCTGGACGTAACTTCTCGGGATCCTCCAAAAAGTCCACTGAAAAAATCTCAGTAAATGACCACCATTTTACTAAGATTATATTTCATCCCATATCATCTCATTTCATTTAATTTCATCCCAGTTGATTAATGTCTCAAATTAATCATCTTCATTTCATTTCACTCTATATTATCATTTTTCATAAAAATAAGAATATTAATTAAAATAAGACATGACTTAAAGGTCTTCGTGACCAGGTCATAAAATCCCTTAAAAAAACGAATCATTTTGGATTTAATACAGCTAATAATATCCAATATTTTCTTTCGTAGTTACCGAGACAGTCCAAGGCAGTGTTTAACATCCTATTGTCGGTCGAAGTGTTGGCGATGTTGACGGCATGTTCCAGCATGTTGAACAGGGCGTCGGGGGCCCGTTCGTAGGGCGCGGCGTCCGCCAACGACAGGAATATGTGCAGGGCGGCTTCGCGACGTGAATCCGTCTCGGCCGAGTTGAACGCGCTCTCCACAGTGCTCCAGCACCAGTCGCCGAGTATAGCGAAACAGTACATCTGAAAATGAACATGACTGTTGGTCCGCCACTACGGATTTACCCTAAGGCCCGGTAGGCCCGGGCCTAGGGCGGCCTAATTTAGGGGTGGCCCCAATCGTGTCAAAAAACTTATTATAACGTATGGCGGGCGGACTGCACTGCATGGTGCATCTATACCGCATCCTTAAATACTCTATTAACATCTCAGCTATTATTATTATTATTATTTATTATACTAATGTTAATATCTCAGCTATTAATATTATTATTTATTATACTAAACGTATGGTTACTTTTACCCACACTTCCCACCCGCACTTACGATAATAAGTTTCAATATATAATTGTTTTTTTAATTATCATTATTGAACAAAACAACAAAGAAAAGTGAATATTATTCAGCACACAGGAAATCTGGGACTTTGTAACTAAAACTGAATATAATGAAAACACATATTATACAGGGGGTTTGAGATTAGTCCTCAGACAATTAAGATTCGCAGGCCTTTACTGCCAGTGAGAGCATTCGCTAACATGTCTTGATGTATCTATCATGTTTTTCAAAGGATTTGGGATATCATTGGAATGCACGGATTGAAATGCCAGCTCATTAGTAGTAATCGGCTTTCGTTTATACTTCTCAATAGTCACTCATATTTCCTGATTAATTGATACAAACATCTGAACATTATTTTGGAAGAGAATGAAAGCAATTAATAAAAATTTTTTACTTACCACAGTATCAGCGATATCCTGCCGATAACACCTGAGCAGTTCAAGGTCGTCTTTAGATAAATTATTTTCCGGAGCAGCTTCGGACTTGGTGACCAGGGCCAGCAGGAGACGCGAGAAAACCTCCTTCCAGACCGGATGAATCACCTTCGTGTCATCTATAATGTGGAGTACTTCGTCCTGCACAAAAAGTATCTATATGTGGGGAGTGTTATTTTTATTACGTTTTTTCAGTTTGTTTTGTTGGATATTTGAGTCGTCTATTATCAAAGGTCAATACAGATTGATTTGAATATAATCGTCTCCTTCGAAGAATACGGTTCAAAACCTGCATTAAATAAAGGTTAATACTTAACCTGTTATTTATCTAAGATGTCGTTCAGAAGAGTTTTGTGACTGCCAATGGAATACAAAGTCAATAATTCGATTTTCTGATTTACCAATAATTGTCCAAAAGTCACATTGCCGGCTTTGATAATAGTGGACTCATTTATTTTGTGCCTGTTGTAATGGCAACATCTATTAGGTTCAGAAAGAGATAGCAGTTTAAAATTAGAAAGGGGAGGTAGAAAAGGAAAAGTTTTAGAAAGACATGTACGAAGCGATTGTGAAGTAAAATAAAGAATTTCGCTATATTCATCCCGCTTTTACTCATGAACGGTCCCACACATATGGCAATCTTATCTCTTATTCTTTGTTGAAAGTTGATATTTTTTTCGGTTTCTATTGGGTTATCGGGTTCTGGTTGAAAAACAATTCAATTTAAAGTGGTACAACCTTTTTTTTATTGCTTAGATGAGTGAACAAGCTCACAAGACGTCCTACCGCCAGTAAAAAATATTTTATTATTATTTTATTCTCTTCAGTTACTTACACAGCGAGAACACTCAATTACAATACATTTTACTAAAGTGCTGCCACCTAATGTCTATAATAACATCGTGTAATAAAAATCAAACCCGCAAAATTAAAATTTAATTAGTAATTACTGGACCTCTTGTAAGTCCGCACGGGTAGATACCCTGCCTATTTCTGCCGTGAAGCAGTAATGCGTTTCGGCTTGAAGGGTGGGGCAGCCGTTGTAACTATACTGAGACCTTAGAACTTGTATCTCAAGGTGGGTGGCGCGTTTACGTTGTAGATGTCTATGGGCTCCAGTAACCACTTAACACTAGGTGAGCTGTGTGAGCACGTTCACCTATCTAAGCAATTAAAAAAAAAAAAATTTTCATTTTATATTTCGAATAGTTTCTATCAATACGTGATCATTACCTGTAACGTATACCAGAATCCGAATACAAGGTTAGACCTGGTCTCGTGTACGGGATAATGTCCCGGTGCCGCCTGCGCCGCCAGCAGGATATCCAGGAGTTGTCGCGCGCCGCACGCGTTCTCCGAAGCATCGTTGGTTTCCGTCACCTCCACCAGAGCCTTGGCGTGGGTCTCGCCTAACGCGACGCAGCACGTTATCAACGCTAATAACAGTTCCTGTTAATTAAAATACGATTTGCTAATGATCTCGGTAGGCAGCGGCTTGGCTCTGCTCCTGGCATTGCTGAAGTCCATGGGCGACGATAACCACTTACCATCAGGTGGGCCGTACGCTCGTCTGCCTTCAAAGGTAATAAAAAAAAAGATCTTCGTATTCTCAGTCGATACAACAACAAAATCGTAATTTTAAATGAACAGTTTTCCCTTTTAAAACATTACAGTTAATTTAAAAACTGTTTATGTAGCAAACATTTCAATCGATCCCGCACTTATCTTGAATTATATTAGTGTTAGTAGGACATCTTGTGAAGTCACAGGTGTATGTACCACCAAACTGTCTATGTGTGAAACATTAATGCGTTTTGGTTTTAAGGGTGTGGCAGCCGTTGTATTATAAAACTGATAGAGCTTATGTCTCGGGTAGGTGGTGGTATATACGTTATTGATGTCTATGAGCTACTGTGACCACTCAACCCCTGGTGTACTGTGAGCTCGTACACCCATCTTAGCAATAAAAAATTAAAATATCTTAACCTACTACTAACATGAACAAATGTTTTTTAGTAATCTCTTCTTATACGAATAATGTTCTCCATTTATTTAATCGTATTTTTTCAGGTATAGAGACATTGTAAGTATATAGCAAAAACACAATAATAAGCTTAATATTTGCTTTGGACTTCAGAAATACAAGAGATTGGTTGCCTATAGGCGACCACAACAATATTAGGTGCTATCGCTACGTGAATGCGTGCGTGCGTTCGTGCGGGTACTTTTTTTATTACCTATGCTGGTAGCCTTGAGATAGCGTTACTGTAGCGTGTAGGTGAACTCTCGGGGCTCAAACCGGAGGTGTTGCTAACACTGGCCCTAGCAAGAGCCGTGCTTCGCTGAATCTACTACCGGATCGGAAACGCGACCCACTGAGAAGATCCGCCGACAAACTCAGTGGGATGTGTCTGAGGGTTAATTTACTCGTCGAGCCCTTTGTTGCAAGCGACGGGTTCGACGAGAGCGACGACCGGTGCTTGAGGTACCTAAAAGCACCGTTAGTGGATCGGGAGGATCCGAAATGACGTGTTTGGGGCGACGTCGACTGCTTTCCATTCTGTCTGCAGGATCGGGAATGTAGTTACCGGCGACCACGATGAGAGGGTTCTCATGTCGTGCCGCTTTATCGAAGTGGGCCTAACCGTGCGGGAGTATACCAGACCTCGTTGATGGAGTTGGGCACGTCGTCCTTGCGCATGATGGGCGCGGTGAGTGCGGCGAGGTCGGCGAGGAGTTGCAGCGCGGTGTGGCGGTGCCGCGCGCCGCCCGCCTCCCGCAGCGCCGCCAGGCTGGCCTCGCACGCCTCCAGCGAACTGTCGCTCACAGCGTCGTTCCACCTTTTTTATTTTATTGTTTAAATTGTTGAACTAGACATAGACATCTACAACGTAAATGCCGCCACCCATCTTGAGACATGAGTTCTAAGGTCCAGAGGCGGATTATCCGTAAAGCAAAGTAGGCACGTGCCTATTTTTACATTTGAACAAGGGGCGCGCGCGCGCAAGCTCAGAATTTTTAAATAAATAAAGAAAATAACATATCGACGATTAAGAACTAAATGTTGATCCTTAATCTAAATCTATAATAGATTATTCCTATTTGGCCTATTTCCCAGAGCAGAGAGGAATCATGAATTTCGATCTTCGTTCTGTCGTCCCTCTTGATTTCGTCACAGTTATAACGTCATATTTCATTCGCGCATTAGCGTAAGTACAAGAGTCCTGGTCTACTAAAGTTTAGGGTTTGGTGATACAACGTCATCGTAATTGCAAAAACAACTAGTTAAAATTTATAGTATTATGATGGCCATTTATGGCCGGTACAGGGGCGCCGATAAAGTGATTGCCTAGGGCGTTCTGGACCTTTAATCCGCCACTGCTAAAGCCTCAGTATAGTTACAACGGCTGCCCCACCCTGCAAACCGAAACGCATTATTGCTTCACGGCAGAAATAGGCAGGGCGGTAGTACCTACCCGTGCGGCCTCACAAGAGGTCCTACCACCAGTTGCGTACATGCCCGCACACGTACGTAACGTACATTGCCCCCAACATATTGTATCACTTTGTTACTCGTACGATCAAACGAGCACCTAAATGTTAATTATCCTATTGAAAACCAAAATTGCAATACAAAATATAGAATTGTCTGTGTACAATTGATGCCAATTGACGCTACTAGTTCGAACAATAGTCAAAGCACAGATTACCAAACACCTATAAGAGTTCGATGCGATACTTGGCTCTAAGCATCAGCCCGCTAATTTTCAGCAGCTTATTCGTAGGTCACAATTCCGTTCTCGCAGGTGGTAGATGCATTTGCACTTGTTTTATTGATAGCACCCCCCCCGCCCCAACCCCTTGCCACTTGGATTCGCCCACCCGTCCTGGTATGAATCGAAAGGGCACAACTAATAGGTACATAAAAACGTTTACATACGTGTACAGAACATGTACGACTGTGAGCAGTGCCCGACACAGAGGCATGCGGTCAGCGAGCACGACGTTATCAGCCGCATCCTCGCCGTCCAGCGTGAGCCAGCTACAGGCGCAACTAGCTGCCGTTGTCCACGTTTGTATTAAATCAGCTGAGGGTTGCTCTTGAAAATCACTGAAAGTTATTTTTATATTCAAATTCGCCACAAAGTTTTACTTTAGTTGAATTAATACGTCTTTACAAAAAGTAGTGGTCCCGCAGTAGCCGAACTTCGACTATAATTAATTGAAATTATAAGTTTGAACATTATTATGGTTCGATTGACAAAGACTATTATTATACTTCTTCTATAATCAAAGATTTCACCAAGACTACACTATAGACAAATAATGTTAAAGACAAACAATATTAATCTATTCTCAATTTGACCACAGACTTTAAACAATAACAAAAGTTTGACAATAAACACATATCTATTCTTCTTCTTCTTCTCTGTCGTTTCCTCATTGCTGAGGGTCGTGACCACCTTGGTCCAGTTTTTGCACCAACTTCCTCCAATGCTGCCTGCATTCGGCCTGCTTAATGGCGCCCGGGACGCTGGTGTTTGTTTTTTTTATATCTATACTAATATATAAATCTAAAGTGATTTTTATGGATATTCCGTTATAACTGAACCATGCATCCGATTCGACTTGAAACTTGGTATCCATGTAGAAAATACATGTACTTAATGGATAGGCTAATATTTATATTAGTGTTGGACTCCCTACGCCAGTTGTGGGGGCATTAATGATGAGAATCTTTGTGGGGGTGAGAAATAATAATGTTAATTTTAAACGTCCAGCGAAGCGGACGGGTACAGCTAATATGTCTATAAAAATATGGCATATTGATATTTTAAGAAATGCTATTCGACTCTATCAATTTTAAATAAGACACCTAATGTACTAGTATCGAGTGATGCGAGTATACCGTGCCCAAGTTTCAAATGTATTACGTGTTAACATCAGTGTAAGAATGTTTTCCATGATGTAAGTTTTACATTGTGTAATAAAAACGAAATTCGTTGAATTTTTCATATACTGGTGGAACGCCGTAATTTGAAAGTCCACACGGGTAAGACCCACAACTCTATCCGTTTCTGCCACAAAGCAGTAACGCGTTCCGGTTTGAAGGCAGGGACAGCCAGTATACAAGATAATTGCGACTGCGACCTGCAACTAACTACCTATCCGCGAGGTAGACAACGCGGTATTCACCCTATAATGTTCGATAGACTGTTATCAGGTAGATAACACCTGAGCTTTGAGTTCGTCTAACAAGCTGCTTTATTTATAATAAATATTTAGATAATATAATACGTACTTATAAACAGTTTGCAGATATCTTAGCATATCGTCCAAAACCGCAGGACAAGCTTGTTGTAGAGCGATACGATTCTTCGTACGCAATTCTAACGCCATAGTCATACTATTAAACTGAAAGTAATAAATACTATAAATAGACTCTTATCATATTCTAAGGACGTACCTATAACATAAAATCGCTTTCTTATTTATCTGTTTTGGGTAATAATTTTAATTGAATTTTATGCTCAGCACTATGCTTACTGTGCGAGTCACTTCTAGAGTGCAAAGGGTTCGTATGCAGGATATTCAGGTCTTGTCTTGTCAGTCTTGAAATTTAGAATGTTGTCGGATAAAATTTAATACGAAAAAAATTATACTAATTCGTTAATTTTAAAAACGTGTATTTATCTGTTCTTAATAACGTAAGTAATGTAACTTCTAAAAATGTAAGTCAACAAACTGTAGGGTTGCGTTAGTCTAAGCTGATCTGCGCAATTACTACAACAGTCTGCTGTTCTTCTAAAAGAAGAAACTAATTTCTGGCATTAAAATCGGTCAACAAATTAAATTTACAAATCTTGTAATTGCAAGTTTGCCTTTGTATATAAAAAAAAAATTCCTTACTGTGATTTTGATTTTTTTAGGGAACTTTTACCTCGTATTCGTTTTTTCTCTGATGATGTTCTTAACATTTGATTAATACGTGACCGACAATAATCATAATGAAGGTATTAAAATCATTAAAGCAATACTAACATAACAACCCGCAATAGACAGTTTCCATTTAGGTAAACTATTTGAAACATTGAAACTTGTAAACACTGGTGGTAGGACCTCTTGGGAGTCCGCACGGGTAGGTACCACCACCCCGCCTATTTCCGTCGTGAAGCGGTAATGTGTTTCGGTTCGAAGGGTGGGGTAGCCGTTGTCACTATACTGAGACCTTAGAACTTATATCTCAAGGTGGGTGGCGCATTTACGTCGTAGATGTCTATGGACTCCAGTAACCACTTAACACTAGGTGGGCTGTGAGCTCGTCCACCCATTTAAGCAATAAAAAAAAATAAAAAAAAAACATGTAACTGAGCAAAAGTTAAGAAGTGACATGTCACAAATAACAAAGAATAAGTTTACACAAGAAATTTCATGCCAAAGTCAACTTACTTCTTCGGGTATTACAGTAAGAACTTCAAGAAGCAGACTTGTATTCTCAACATTAGATAATGGTCTCAAAATAGTTGCTAAGTCCACTGTTCCCTGTTGCAAAATGAATGCTGCCAGCTGAAACATAGAACTAACTCATAAACATAGAAATAACTCATAATACAGTCACTTTATAATCCTACTCAATTTTTTTTCAATTCAAGGTGTGGGTTAGGTTCATTTTGTGAATTTGGGAAAATATCGATCACCCATCTTATTTATTTTGGAAAGATGGTTATCATACTATTCCAGCTGTCATGCTGTTTCTAGCACTGTTAAATGTATCTCTATTTAATGTAATTCTGACGTGGATTGTCTTATCTTGTTAAAAATCTGTATGACTCAAAAATACACCTTTGATACTTACACTTATACATAATCTATTAGTAACAATTTTTGGTCCATTTGAATATGTAAACACAGCCTGTAGTAATTTATTTCCCAGTTCTTCATAGCTCTCAGGTGGGACCTCATTCCAACATCTTAGGATTTTTGTATGAAGTGTTGTTGATGCGTAAAATTGGACCTCTGTTCCCTATGGCCAGAATATTATATGAATATGTTGCGGATAAAGAAACTGTAGATATGCAGTGGTAATTACTGTGGAATCATAGAGGATACATTTTAAAGTTCTAAAATAAAACCAAATTATATCAAAATGAATAAATGAAATGAATATTATTGCTAGTTAAAATTTGTAATTTCTGTGGATTCTCTCTCATTTCAGACAATCAAAACAAGCATTTATTACAGTTTGTTTTAGTTTGACATTTGTTCAGTTGGTCTTTCATAAAAGCTGCCTCAGTACTTCACAGTATTCAAAGGATACTGATATGTTAACAAACAATACCAAAACACGTTTTGTTTACCAATTGCCTCTGTTAATAAAGAGTTTTGCAGCCGCAAGCACTTGTACTTTCATGTATGAATAATAAAAACAAAAGTTAAAACAAAAAATAAAGAACTTTTACTGTAATTATAATTGTATCAGTAAGTTGAGAATATCATAAATTAATATAAATTCGTATATGTTTAATAAAGACCAGCCAGATTCAATTATTACTAAAAATACAAGTTTTAGTTTTTCATATTCACATATATAATTAGATGGTATTAAAGAAAATCAGAACTGTTAACAAATATGTAAGCTGATATTCGGTTATGTTCCATTGTGGATTACCGAAACTTAGTTTTCTGTCTGGTACTTATTGGAAAATTTAATACTTCTTTAAAGAATTTGCAGAAGAATATTCCTGGATAGATTAAAATAGTAGGGGTTGTTGTAGGGGGGAGTTTACACAATATTGAAATTGATAACTAGTGTTCAATGTTACTTCTAGGAGAAGTAATGAATTCCTTATAATATGTAGAATAATAAACTAATTAGTTTTAATTAATTTTGAGATACGAACTTTAGTTGGCTGAAGAAGATCCCATACAAAATTCCAGGCTTCGGGAACTCTCTGAGCCGTTGTGAGCCACGCATGTGCGTTGGCCCTTTCGGTTTGTTCTCCGTTATAGAATACAGAAACGGCGTATTCCAAATTCTGCACAGTATACTCCATTTCAAATTAGATTCTCCAGTGAATCTAATGCTATATATATATACCGGAAAGAAGGCCTGATTTTACTTGAACTAATAAGTTTAGACCTAATTCATCTATCTCACTGTTTTAAAACTATCTTTAAGTTAGATTTTTGTGTCTTAATCAATACACAATATTGTCTGGATTGATTATTTTGTCTTTCCGATTTTACATTTCTGTAATTTTGTCAATTTTTGGCATTTACCTACCGGATTAAGTGAAATTTGACTTTACTAAATGTCAAACGAACCCAACCACTGTTTTTTTTTCCTACTTATGCTGGTAGCTTCAAGGGGCTATAGTTATACCTACCAGCTTCAACGGGTGAGTAGGCGAGCTTACGGGGCTCAGCCTGGCGAATTGGCGTATACTAGCCCAAGCAAAAACAGTGCTTCGCTGAATCTACCGCCGGACCGGAATCAACGACTACTATAATTCTGCATAAAATATATTATAAGATTTGTCGGCGATACGTTAGGATTTTTACAGGTATAATTTGTAGAACGAAAATGTAAGACAAAATTCTATGAAATGTTAACATTGCGTGAATATTACTTATATACATCTATACTGATATCATAAAGAGGAAAGATTTGATTGTTTGTTTGTATTGAATAGGCTCCGAAACTACTGAACCGATTTGATGATAGAATAAAACCGAAAACTATTTATGATAGAATAAAATAATGTACTACGACTTTGTAGAACACATTAATATTTACAAAAAGTGTCTTGGCAGTATATGTCTAACTATTATAGTTATGCCACAATAAGTGTTCTTTTATTTAAAAAAATAAAACTACGTCAATTATCGTTTACAGAGAAGCTCTGACTTAATAAACTTAATGGCTTTTCTTTTGTATGTATTACATTATCTTTTTACGAAAATTAGAAAAATAATAATAAAAAAAGAGATAAAAAATCATATCAAATTTTTTTTTAATTAAAATAACAGTATTCAAACTATATTTATAGATAATTTTCTTTTTTTAGTAACCTAGGGCAAATAGAAGAGTTGATGACGTGTGTGTGCTATAATTTTTTAATTTTGAAATTTTTGTTAATTTTCAAATGATTATGCAAAGTTTTCGCTGCATTCGTGGTTTTCCAAGCTGTGTCGGTTTTTTAACAGACATCAAACCACGCGAACCGCGATCCTTCGCGTAGTCTCCCACACATTCGTGTGACCAGTTGCGCCCAGGATAGCGAAGGCAACGGACGTTTCGCTATTTTCATAGATCGTGACGTCTAGGTACTGTGTATCGTATCTTCATCAAAAGAAATCCCATAAAAACAGCCTGGCTGTTAATGATGTCTGGGAAAGAATTCAAAACTCTTTTTCTCTTCAATATTCTATTGACGAATTAAAAAGGAGGAGAAATACGTGAGACAAACAAGTGTAGGAGGAAGCGCAAACGGGTTCGCAAATTGAGTACCGAACCCATTTGCACAGCCGCTAAGTTTGCGAATGAATGTTTGACGGCCCGTTCACATGCGCGCAAACATTCGTACAATGTACGAATATTTGCGCGCATGTGAGTGGCCGGCATTATGTGCTGTAGTCTGTAGGAAACGTATACCTAATCTATGGTCTGTACTCTGTAGCATAGATTATACACTTAATATATGTCTGTAGTTTAAAAAGTAAGTTTGCTCAAGTTTGCTGTTGGAGTACTAAACAGAAAATACAAAGTAACGTCTACTGTTTAAAAGAGTAAAGCTGCTTTCAACATGAAAATTGAAGAAGTGAAAAGCACAGCTAAAACGCAAAGGATCTCTGCTCACAGTCATATAAAAGGCTTGGGGTTGGATGAAAATGGTGTTCCTATTCAAATGGCAGCCGGTCTCGTGGGTCAAGAGTCTGCACGTGAGGTATACAATAAAATTTACAAAAAAATTGCCGATAAATTTACACTCGAAATTGTATAAGTTTTATTAGATCAACCTCGTAGAGCAGAAGTTCGAGAAAAATAATTTGAGGTTATCAATGTTTGGTTGCTATGGAATTATTGATCTATGGTAATTGGAGGCAATATGACAATATACATAACAAAATGTTGAATTGTAGGATTAGGTAGTTTAGTAATTGTAACTCATTCAATGTAATCTTAAGCTACCTAACACATTTAATACAATCTAATTTTTATTTATCATTTACTGTCCAATGACCACAAAATTACAGGTATTTTTATTGCATCTATATAAATACATTTTTTTTGTAAACTATTTTTTATTAATTTTAAAAATTGTAGGCTGCAGGGATAGTTGTAGATATGATAAGAAGTAAGAAAATGGCCGGGCGAGCTTTACTCTTGGCAGGGCCTCCTGGTACTGGCAAAACTGCTATAGCTCTTGCCATCGCTCAGGAACTTGGAACTAAGGTAAGTTCTTACTTAAGTCTGACAATATAAACTTGGGCTATCACCTTCTCTAAAATGAGTGTTTTTTTTATATATTTTTTTTATTGCTTAGATGTGTGGACGAGCTCACAGCCCACCTGGTGTTAAGTGGTTACTGGAGCCCATAGACATCTACAACGTAAATGCGCCACACACCTAAAGTTCTAAGGTCTCAGTATAGTTACAACGGCTGCCCCACCCTTCAAACCAAAACGCATTACTGCTTCACGGCAAAAATAGGCGGGGCGGTGGTACCTACCCGTGCGGACTCACAAAAGGACCTACCACCAGTAATTACGCAAATTATAATTTTGCGGGTTTGATTTTTATTACACAATGTTATTCCTTCATCGTGGAAGTCAATCGTGAACATTTGGTAATAACGTATTTCATTAGAAAAATTGGTACCCGCCTGCGTGATTCGAACACCGGTGCATCGCTAGATACGAATGCATCGGACGTCTTATCCTTTAGGCCACGACGACTTCTCTCTAAAATGTCTTTTTATTGACAATCTCAATGGCATCAGTTTAGAGCATACTGACCATAGTGTGACTGACCATGTGTTAACATTTTACTGACCGATTGTGGTGGAAGCAGCCACTTAAGACTTCCTATTCGCACACTTTTTGGATAGAGGTTAGGAAACAGCTACTAAGAAAATAGTAAATTCCAGTGAACAAGAACTGTTGAAAGAATGATTAATAGGCTCCTATTAATATACATTGGCATTAGAAAATCAATGAATATGCTAAACAGTACATTACATATAATAAACTTATCATAGTTTCCTCAGTGTCCTTAGCTAGAAGTATATGAATAGAAATATCATCATCAATTTGTCGTAAAACACTCATAAAAACATTTGAAATTTTTCATCATTACAGGTTCCTTTCTGTCCAATGGTTGGTAGTGAAGTTTACAGCACAGAGATCAAGAAAACAGAGGTATTAATGGAGAATTTTCGACGTGCTATAGGCCTGCGTATACGTGAAACCAAAGAAGTATATGAGGGTGAGGTAACTGAGTTAACACCTGTTGAAACAGAAAATCCTGCTGGAGGTAACTATAGCAAAATTATTCTTTTATTCTTTTATATTGATATAAGAAGGTCTAAGGGTCTAAATAGGGTCTCTATATAGCTAAAGCCAAAGTGGATATAATCTACTATGATTGAACTTAAAATGAAATTAATTGACAGATATTGGCTATAGTCAGTTCGTATTTTAAGAACAGCAATTTAAATTGAAGGTTGGAAGTCCCTTGCAGATTCAGTAAAATGATAAGTTTGTCTAAACCTTGACTACAACTACTCTTAGCACAGTTTGTAGGCAGTGGGTTTGCTTTCCCCTTGACATGAAGCTTTGAAATTGGTCAAAAATTTGATATCAAAGTTCATAATATTAGTTTTGATTTTTTGTGTGGATCTATCATGCAATGAATAATCTTGCTTCAATTACTGTAAAATTTTGACTTGACTTGATTCTTTGGGTTATATCTGCTTTACCTAATATTTTTGATATCTTCTTTTTTTAAGGCTATGGAAAAACAGTATCTCATGTGATCATAGGACTAAAAACGGCCAAGGGTACCAAACAACTTAAACTTGATCCAACTATATATGAATCGTTACAAAAGGAAAAGGTTGAAGTTGGGGATGTCATTTACATTGAAGCTAATTCTGGGGCAGTGAAGAGACAGGGTAGGAGTGATACTTTTGCTACTGAATTCGACCTTGAGGTATGTACATGGTGCATTTAAAGTTAGTTGTAGTGGTACTTACTAGAATCATTTAATACCAAATCAACAATCAATCAATCAAATTGAATCAATCAATCTCCTCCAAACTTTTCGTAATTCTATTTCTGACTCATACAACCAATTCTTAATCCCCTCTTTGAATGATAATCAACTTTGAACTTGTTTCCTAGGCTGAAGAATATGTTCCGCTACCCAAAGGTGATGTACACAAAAAGAAAGAAGTTGTTCAAGATGTAACCTTACACGATTTGGATTGTGCTAATGCAAGACCGCAGGGAGGTCATGACATTATGTCTATGATGGGACAACTCATGAAACCAAAGAAGACTGAAATAACAGGTGTGTTACTTTATAATGTTTAGAAGTGGTATCTGAAAAAGTATAAATCTTGATTAAAAAAAAGGTCAATTGCTAACTCTCGTTCTTTCTGAGTTATTTTACTTTTTGTTGTGTTTCAGATAAACTTCGAAAAGAGATCAATAAAGTTGTGAACAAATACATAGATCAAGGGATTGCAGAACTGGTTCCTGGTGTGCTATTCATTGATGAGGTAGGTACACATATATACTGAATAAAAGTGATTAAAGCTATTGATATATTTTTTTTGCATTAGATAAATAACAAAACTTATTTACTTCAGGTACACATGCTGGACATTGAAACTTTCACATACCTACATCGAGCGTTGGAGTCCGCGATAGCACCAATTGTTATATTTGCTACAAACAGAGGGCGTTGTCAAATCAGGTAAATTTTAAGACTTACTATTGATTATTTATCAAACTTAAGTATTCATTGGCAGTGGTCAGTGACCCTTAATACTTTATCACGATGTCCGATCTTATCGTTTTCCGTGTGCATAGTGTAAAATGTAAAATAAATTTACTGTTATAATTACAGCTAATTGTATTTTAAAATAAATATGTAAGCTGTTATTAATTAATTAATTAATTAATTTTCAAATTAATAAATGACAAAATGTTGAATGTCTATGAATATGATTCTAATTTTTTTTTTATGTTAGTTATTTACATTTTTGGTACAATTAGTGGCGCGTAGCATTTCACTATTATTGCAATTTTAATAACCCTAATTTATTAATTTGTGTGTTTTCCAGAGGGACAGAAGACATTGTATCACCACACGGCATTCCACTAGATCTATTAGATAGGTTATTAATAATACGCACTCTCCCGTATAACAAAGCAGAACTTTTACAGGTATGTTTCTGTATTAGCCTTAACCGTTTTAATTGTTTTTAAATTGTAATTTTAGAACATTACTTTTATAGTAAGTGACTGCTTCGTGTTAAAAATAGTAGTTGTACCTAACTATAATTATGCAAATTAGAATTTTTGTGGTGTTTGATTTATACCACACATTAATTGCATTGTAGATTTCGATTTGTTTAAGGCAGAAATATTAGGTGGCCAGCTCTCGCTCGTCATAAGGCACCTGAAGCCATCTTTTTTAACAACTGGATGAGAAGTTATCGCAAATAAATTACAAGAAATATGAATGAATGAATTACGAAATGTGAATGATAAAATTGAAGGAACAAACAACTATAAGTTGCAAATGCCTATTTTTATATCGTATTATTTGTGTTTTGTTAAAGATCTTAAAGCTCCGTGCGGTCACAGAAGGAATTTCAATCGAGGACGAAGCTTTGTCGGCGCTCTCTGAGATTGGAGCTAACACGACGCTCAGGTTAATGAACATTTGTATTTTCCGTGGTTTTCGTTAGTCTTCATCATGATGGTTTATTAACATGCCAAGTAATAAAAATATAAGTGATTTATTTTATCCCTATATATGTATACAGGATGTTAAGCAAATGTATTATAGTAACAATATTGAGTTTGTTGCCAGTCTGCTATACTTGGTAAATTTAAATAATCGTCTAGTAATAACTTTAAATAAATATAAAATATTTAAATATTCAGTCACATAGAATTTAAGAAAATTCAAAATAACTCAATTTAACGAAATGGTATGCTGTAATTAACTTTTTACTAATGTCATATGCTGTACATATGTAAGATACTGGTTTTTTTTTTTATTTCAATATACTCAAGTACCAAAATTCATCCTCAGCTCTTTGGATAGTGGATATCTATATATCATACTAATAGAAGCGTCTTAAGTATGTTTTCAATACACATAAAAGATGAACACGGTCATAGTGAAAGTGGATGTGGCTTTTTTATTTTTATTGCTTAGATGGGTGGACGAGCTCACACACAGCCCACCTGGCGTTAAGTGGTTACTGAAGCCCATAGACATCTACAACGTAAATGCGCCACCCACCTTGAGATATAACTTCTAAGGTCTCAGTATAGTTACAAGGGCTGCCCCACCCTTCAAGCCGAAACGCATTACTGCTTCACGGTAGAAATAGGCAGAGCGGTGGTGCGTACCTGTGGTACTTACACGTACGGACTCACAAGTGGTCCTACCACCAGTAATTACGCAAATTATAATTTTGCGGATTGATTTTTATTACACGATGTTATTCCTTCACCGTGGAAGTCAATCGTGAACATTTGTTGAGTACGTATTTCATTAAAAAAATTGGTACCCGCCTGCGGGATTTGAACACCGGTGCATTCGTATCTAGCGATGACGTCTTATCTCTTAGGCCACGACGCCTTTAAAATACTTGTTTTTACGTTTTATTGCAGATACTTATGTTTTTACGATTTCTTACAGGTACGCAGTTCAGCTGCTAACTCCGGCGATGTTGGCCGCGCGAGCCGACGGCTGCCAGCGCATATCGCCGGCGCACGTGTCCTCGGTCCACACGCTGTTCCTTGACGCTAAAGCTTCAGCCAAAATCCTCACTCAACATTCCGATAAATACATGCAGTAAAAATAATACAAAAATATAGAGTAATTTGAATATCAGATAGATAGGATGCTTTTTTACGTTCATATCGATAATGTCAAACTGTCCATTGTTTTCTTTTTGAGCTGGACATCATTAGAAAATTTTAATTTTTGACTTTTCTAACACACAATGTAATATCAACTCACGCGCTGGTAACAGCAGAGCACGCACGTGCACGAGGTTTTCCTTCTGATTTACAACTTAGTAAAACTTGTTATCTTAAATCCTTGAATTTAAGATTAATGTAGCAAAATATTATTTTGACCAATGTTTGTTACAGTTTTAAAAGGGTTACTTAAAAGGCAAAACAATCTTTTAAATATTTTAAAATGATGAATGTCTTTTCCAATGCAAATAATTATAGATCTATTCAATTAATAATAGAGTATACCGGTATTGTCTGGGAGTATGAGTATGTTTTTGGTGCTTAATATTTAATGAATCTTTAGACCGGTATTTTCTCTATACCTCTCGCCGTATTATTCATAAAACACATGTGATATTTACGTTTAGTATTTCATAATTCATATTTGTAAGGAAATGAAGAATGTTGCGTTAATTTGGAGTCAACCTTTATGTTTGTCGTATTAAATGTGAATTTAACAATAAATGAAACTGGATTTGTGTAATAAATAAGTTTTTTTTTATTCATACAAAACGTCACCTATTCTAAATTTGTCACAATCGTTATTTACATAATGGTTTTTTACTGTTCAGGCATATTCAGTCAACGTTGTTTATACTGAACAATTGGCATTATGACTCTTAAGTAACAAAATCAATAACAATTAAATATGTTTTAACAAAACGCCGATTTGATATTGTCCATGATATTTACAAGGAAATAATTTACAAATGTGTACCTATATGACTACTTAAATTACACGTCATGAAGACGTTTGTCCTACGGGTAACTACTTTGTCACTGTCGTAGTCGAACTGGGGGCTGCCGTCGACGTGGGAGGGGTAAAGGTAGGCAGGTCGACCCGCAGGTCTTTGGGCGCGGCCGTGTGGTGGTACAGAGCCTCGAACTGCATCTCCTCAGGATACGAGTGCGAACGAATCTTGCGCTCGTCCCTCACGTTACTCGGATATACTATAACGATTTTCTCGCCGTCGCTTCGAAGTGCCACCGGCGGTAGAGCCGTGCTGGTCGATATCGACGGACCTTGAACCACCTGAAGCATCTCTGTGGGAGCGGCTCGTAATATTTCCGATACAACGGTTGTGGGCGGAGTGACCGTCGTGGTCGTCGTAGAGATCACCGCCACGTCAGGGTCATCTGGTGTCTCGATATCTCGTTTCCCTCCCGGCGGACCCATCGTCTTGAGGGTCTCTATCTTCATCTCCAAAGTTGGAGTTGGAACTGGAATCGGACTTGTCGTGTTCAGGTCTTCCGTCGGTATGTACTTCGTTGTAACTTTGGACACTTCGCGAGTTCCGAATATTGGCAGTCGAGGAGCGTAAGCCGACACCAGAGGCAGAAGCGTGTCACGAGCATATCGCTCAGCCCTCGTAATGAGCGACGCGAGTCTGGTCGGCAAGAACTGAACGACAAAGCCGGTTTCCGCTTTTTCAGTTCTATCGCCCCACGCCATTGACTCGTAAGCGGGCGTCGTTGACATATCGTAGTTCTTGGCTTTTCTAATCGGAGGTTGGATTTTGGGGGCTTGTGTCGGCCTCAGTAAGGGTTCTAGTATTTCTTGTTCGACTGGCATGTCGGAACGTTGTCGCGGCGTTTTTCGTGGCCGCGGCCGCAGTACGGGCTCGGCTATCTCCACAGCGCCGCCGGGTGCGGTCTTAGTATTGGTCATGCCGAATGCGCGGCCGGTGTTCTCTGCGACGTCGCCGGTCCACTCGTACGTGTCGACGAGCGTGAAGGGTCGCTGCGGTGGATCCTCGGGCAGCTCGTTGTCAATTGGATCGACGGATCTCTCCGGCTTTGTGGAGTTGTCGCCGACGGCTATATTCTCATTTGTGCTAGTTTCGTTAACGGTGTCCTGTAATAGACAATTGCAAATTTAAATTTCAATGTAACACCCAAGATTTTAATGGTAATTGACTGTGTCGAATCTTACTGGAGGCAGTTCGCAGTTGCCAGGAAACAGTGGTAGTTCGATTGTTTCTTCGGAAAGCAGTCGCATACCTTTCTTACAGAAGGACGATCTGTAAATCAATAATTATGTTAGTTAGGTATATTAAAATTTCATGTTTCTGATTAGAAATATAATTGGAACGAAGGTCCTTATGGGACGATGCGGAGGGGTACCCTAACCGGGAAAAAACGTCCGTAACGTAAGATTTTTACTAGTAAGGCACACAGTGGACGACTTAACTTTGTAATAACGTACAAAAAATAACATTTTTTAATCATTTAATGACCACGATCTCAGAGCGTTCGTTTGCGCAATACATTCTTATGCAAACAACCGTGAATGAAGTGTACCACAATAAGTTCGCACGTTACCGAATGACCATGGGTTGTTGAAACCTCCAGTTTTATTTTCTTTATACCTCGAATAGAACTTAAAATTAATATTTTTATAAAATAGAACTTCGTTCCTATCCGGCGTCCCACGACACCACACCGCTTTTTTTTTGCTAGAGAATATCTGTTATGCGTATCATGTTCAAAAGCTTTACGTCTTAGCGAAGCTGTCGGTGATGAGAAGCTTGTGTAAGTTGACGGCCTTGGCGCCTGCGCTGAGCCAGCCGGAGTAGGCGCCGTAGTGCACGGACGCGCGGAGCGGCACGCCCAGCGCGGGGTGCGGGACGATCACGCGCGAGAAACGCACACCCTCCACTGAATCCTCTCGTCTGAATAACAAAACGATTTGCGAAATTACAAGCGAACCCGTACGATTAGTATGGTCTATTTCGTGTAATTCTCTCGAAAATTTTCTATTGTTTCATTTCAGGTTTAAATGGCGTGTTATTCGTAATTAAATATATGTTCCGGTAAATGTGCACATTTGCCACCTCGTTTGGGTAATGTGCATTCAACTAACATTTACAATTTCAAAGAAGGGAAATGTACATTGAATTCACAATGACCATGTCGTTTTGGTAAATTTTTTTTATTTTTTTTTTGTGCATAGTTGCGTGGACGATCTCACAGCCCACCCGGTGCCAAGCGGTCACTGGAGCCCAAAGACATCCACAACGTAAATGCGCCACCCACCCCGAGATATAAGTTCTAAGGTCTCAAGTATAGTTACAACGGCTGCCCCACCCTTCAAACCGAAACGCATTACTGCTTCACGGCAGAAATAGGCGGGGTGGTGGTACCTACAGGTGCGGAATCACAAGAGGTCCTACCACCAGTAAAAATACAAAATTTAAATGTGAGTATGGCATACAAAATACGAAATCGCAAGTGCTAGTAATGTGGAGCGCATGCGCATGGGCACCACTAGCCCACTACAACATATTATACAATATGAGCCGTTATTAAAGCCTTTTGTAATTTATTTATTTAAATAAATATTTTTTACTGCAACAACATTATTAATTTATTTGTAATCCAACTTTTCTTAAAACATGAAGGTAAGAGTATACATTTAGATACAATTATACAATAGATCAGACTTACGGAACATGCATATAAAATTTCATAAAAATCGGTCAAACCGTTTCAGAGGAGTATGGTAACTAGCATTGTGACACGAGAATTTTATATATAAGATAGTAATATAAAAGTATGCCGTCTGATGGATTCTGGGATACAACGTTAGATTTTTCAATTAGTACCGACAGTCTATGATTAAATTGGCCGTGGACACACGGTGAGATCGGATGCAAAGTATATGGGTTCCGTTTTGGCTGCTCAGCCAACAACGGTGTCTGGGAATTTGGCAGGAACCATGACTTTGGTGATAAACGATTGTCTTACTTGTTCATTGGGAATGATTCATTAAGGCCCGAGTCTCCGTGTAGCGTGACGGTAACTCGTCCATAAGTGGGCTTCTCATTGGTGTCAATACTGGTCCATAGCCCCAAATGGTATTGATGGGCTGAAAATAAAACAGAACAAGATGAACTATATAATATCTAGTACTTAGGCATGTATTAGTATATTGATACTATAATAATTCCTAAAGGTCCTCCAGTTGTTAAAATTCGACCATAATGACTGACACCCTCCAGTTGTAAATTTACTTTAATTACATTTTCTTTTTTATTGAAATGTTTCTTGTAACGTGGAAAAAAGTCTTCGATTTTTTTATTGTTACTAAACAAAAGAAGAGGATAATCGATCGAAAACAAGCAAAGGAGGCAAAACATATCATTACGGATCCTCCCGATCCATTAACAGTGCTTTAAGGTACCACAAGCACCGGTCACCATTGTCGTTGAACCCGTCGTTTGCGACGAAGGGCTCGACGAGCGAATTAACCCATAGACACAGCCCACTGAGTTTCTCGCCGGATCTTCTCAGTGGGTCGCGTTCCGATCCGGTAGTAGATTCTCTGAAGCACTGCTCTTGCTAGGGTCAGTGTTAGCAACACACTCGGTTTGAGCCCCGTGAGCTCACCTACACGTCAAGGAGAAGCTGATAAAGCCTCTCCAGGCTATCAGCATAGGTAGGAAAAAAAAGGAGGTACTGAATTGTATTTTTACGTTGCGTCAGGAGTACAATCAAGTCTCGTTAAAAATAATACACATTATTGCGTCCGGAAAACACCACATAAGCATCTTTATTAGAATATGAACATTTTTTACTTTCGAAATTTCATCTCAGAGCTCAGATGATTGCTTCGCTGCTAAAAGCGAAAGACACCGGTCCGGCATCAATGTCTTACCACAAAATGGTTCTTCTTCTCTGGTTAGCAGATAGAGTTGTCCTCTACCCAACGACCTGTCAGCGTAGTAGCCCATGTTACCGCAGCGTCTTGATGCGTCGCAAGGGAAACAACGACCCTGTAAAGTTTGAATAATGTAAATAGTCGTTTTAAAAAAAAACATTGCCGACAATTGTCGAAAGTATTGTATTTCTGCGAATCCACGAGGTTCACAAACGAAAGACTGTTTAATCACGTTTAGGCATGAAAATAATATTTCAATCGTTTTGCGATTTCCGATGTTTCGTATAAATTCCATCTTTTCATGAACACTGACAGCGTTTTACAAACGGGTTAAATAGAAATACGATATTTCGGTAGCCGAAGCTAGAGTAAATTGTCCATCCGATCTACTAGCATTGTTATTAGAAATCTGCAACTCTAGCACTAGGATCTTAGATGCCCTGATAGCCATACTCATCGAACTAGTCAGAGTTCGAAGTGAAACCTAACCCATATATCAACCCGCTGAGTTTCTCGCCGGCTCTTCTCAGCAGGTCTACGCTACAAGGTCTTTGTCGGAGACGTCAGGCAGCTGTTAGTAAATCCCATTCCTCCTGGCTGAGCTCGTACTCCCCCACCTCTCCTGGTGAAACTAGAACAATTTCCGGGCCACCAGGATAATCTGCTAGTCCCGAATTAATGGAAAACATAGTATTCATGTATGAAGTACAAATAATACTTGTCAAACCACATTTAGTTCCGCAGTAGAACGCAATGATAGCTGGTATACGACGCTCGATTGTGGTGGTATTAGTAATTAGAATCACAAACAAACGTTTTCCAATTACTATATATGTTTATACCTTATTTAATTATTGAATATTTATTAAATAATCGCGTCATTATGAACGCAATAGTTGTAACTGAGAGTAAAATAACGCAAACCTCTAAGAAAGAGTCATAGTTGTTGCACGGAAACGCTGGGAAGTGACACTTCGGTGAAACGGAGTCGGTGAAGAATTTGTACGCCCTGCGGTGGTTGCACAGGGATCGACCTTCGGGTGACGCCGCCGCCCATGGCAATACCAGATCTGATACTGCTCCGACAAATCTAGAATTCAAAATAGATTTTTTATTTAATGACTAATTTATAGTATTACTAGCTGACCCGGCAAACCTTGTTTTGCCATATATAAGATTTTTGGGGAATTTCTAGTGTCGAAAAAAAAACCGAACTTATTGTAAGTATGTAAGGATTAACAAAAAAAAATAAGGGTTGATCGTAGAAGGGTGAAAATTTAGAGCTGTATGTATTTTTGTATGCTGTATCATAAAAAAATAAAAACAAAAATTTTTCTTTAAAAAATAAAATAAAAAATTTAGGGGTGGACTACCCTTAACATTTAGGGGGATGAAAAATAGATGTTGTCAGGTTCTCCACCCTGGCCGATATGCACGCTAAGATTCACGAAAAACAGTCGAGCTCAATCACGCATACCGTGACACGAGAATTTTATATATTAGATTAAAATTACTTTTACAGTTAAAAATTAGTTTAATTTAGGGTTTTTTATTATCGTTATATTAAATTGTATTGTATATTTCGAATACTTTACACTTTTCGTGGTCACGGATACGAGGCGAAGGTTTTTCATTTAAATTTTTAAATAGACTGTAGTTAGCGCAATATTCAAATGTCGACGAATAAACCCATAATCAAAAACGTCGGATATAGTTTAATGACACTAAAAAATCACGAGATTTTAGTTATGTCCACGATCCGTGAAACCATAGATAATATTACATTGATCTCTCTGTACCCTACACAGAGATATAATGATGTTATGTAAATTCTGTGTGATACTTACTGTCAGATTATCAACTACTGTTGTAAACAATGGAATAAACAATGGAAATTGATGTTTCATGCCTGTTTAGTTTATTTATTTATAGATTTCTAGTTTCTAGATTCAATTTCCTAAACGCTTATGTTAGATTTAAAACTGGTACATATTTTATATGGCTATAGAGATAAGAGCCGAGTATAATAATAGAACAAATAAGTCGACTATTATCAAAGCCGGCAATGTGACTTTTGGACAATTATTGGTAAATCAGAAAAACGAATTAGTGACTTTGTATTCCATTGGCAGTCACAAAACTCTTCTGAACGACATCTTAAATAAATAACAGGTTAAGTATTAACCTTTATTTAATGCAGGTTTTGAACCGTATTCTTTGAAGGAGACGATTATATTCAAATCAATCTGTATTGACATATCAACAATTTTTTTTTGTCGAAATGCACAGATTGCCACCTTTGATAATAGACGACTCAAATATAAGATAAGCTTCCATTACAAATCAGAAATGATTGGCAAAATAGAAAGATTTGTATCAATTACGAAATACTGGATTTTAGTATTATTTTCTTTTAAACTTACAAGTTAGAACATCCGTGTTGTACTCTTCCACCGTTTGGATAAAAATCTACGTGACCCAGGGGTTGAGCGGCTCCCAGACCACCGAATATGAGGGTTTCTCCATTCGAATGAATGACGTCAACGAATTTAGCGTCGTTCTGGTCTAACCGTGCTCGTGGATCCTGGAATTCGAACAGAGGACCGGCTGGGTCCAAACCTAAAAAAAAACGTATTGTCCTATGTCAGTCGACTCGTCAGTCGGCAGAACTATTTGTGGTCCGTGCCCTTATTCTACTAGATAGGTTCGCCATAATATTGATACATGGCATGGTCATGTCATTTCATAACATTTTCATTTGGTCGCTTGTGTAATGTCAACCGTTATTTGAAGTGGTTAACGAGAGAGCAGTGTGCTTAGTGCGAGTTTTTTAACGTTCTCGCTAGCGTTAAAGTTAACCGAATTTTGTATGCAGTTGGAATAGCGCCCCTAACGGCAACGTTGGCAAAAGATCCTATTCCATACAAATATGAGCTAACTTTTACGCTATCGAGAACGTTAAAAAAATCGCACTAAGCACACAGAGCGTCTAAGCCCTCTGATTCTATTTCGACATAACAAGCATGAAGCTGCAAATATGATTTAAACGATTCCTATTGGAAATGGTGTTTCTTTCATGGAGTTTCAGTACTATAGATATCAAAATGATCTTATAAATGAAATTTTAGGGGTCGAGATCACAAGAAAAAGATCAAATTAAGTCTACACATGGACAGATGAATAGTTGTTAGATTATAAGGCACATTCCAGAATATCAAGACCGATAAACTCGTCATCGTTTATTTAAAATTCATACGCGATCTTTCAAACGTTAACAGTTACATTGAATTTTTTTTAATTCGAATCACGAAGCGTTTCAACGTATATATTTTTATTGGTAACGTTCCACGAATACAGATATAGGAAAATAATAGTTTTGTTACCTATTTTCGTAACAGTTCCTTTTGTTTTTGAAAAGACGCAAGAGAACAAAGGGATTGTGTTTCGTACCAGTTATGCGGCTGATGTTGCGCAACTCAGAACCAGCGAAACCTGCGACGTGAGCTCCTAAACTAAACCCGATCAGATGGACGTCTTCAAACCTCATGTCGATGTGCTTCGCCAAACCTGGAATCAATCGTATTACTGATATACCTATTATTAAACTAAACCTCTTTATATTGTTACGCCGGTAAGAAGTAACGTCATCTATTGCCGAATAGTCGAACGAATATCGAAAGATCTAGTAGCATCTAGAACTGAAACACACAATACTGGACTTTTGTGGAATATTCTTGAGAGAGTATATTGTAGAGATGGCACGCAGTCAGTCAGTAATCGGAACTACTCGAAGCGAAACAGCGAACGGATCATTTTAAACGAAGCGGAAGAAGCGAATTGAGAGTTTTAAAGTGTTCTAAGTATTGAATACAGTTTTTAAGTTTTACTTCGGTGGAATTTTATTTATCACAAACCTCAGCGCGTAACAATACTTTAGAGAAAAGTCAATTTCAGTATATATAAGAAACGCTATCTAGAACTCCTGTATGTCATCATCGTTACCTTGCAATAGCATGGCCAGCTGTTTCCCCACAAGTCTCGTATTGGCGGCTGCTCGCAGATAATTAGGCATCGAGGCTCCACCTTCCCAATCCACACAAACGACGTTGCATTCTTCCTGTAAGCCAATACAGGTTTGACTTACACTTAATAAAATAACGTTTTGAGTAATAGACCGTATAGCACAGATCTTCCACCGACTAATGGTTCGATAGTTGTCATGTGTGCAATTTAGGTTTGTACTGGAATTTTTTTTAGTGGTTAATATATTTTATTCGGCTATAGCTGCCGATAAAATAATTTTATCAGTCTACAAACATCCATTATTGACTATAGATGAAAATTTCTTGTCAAATTCTGCACGACCTTCAGCCGCCGATGACAACCAACAAAATCGGTGGCAGGTTGTTGCAAACGGTGTTGTCCGTCAGTTTAAATCTCGCACGACTTGTATACATAATGTGCACGTTATGAATATTTAACGCTGAAATAGACTAGAGATAAATATCTCGAACTTTTAGACCAGCGGTCGGGGAACTTTTTTAATATTACCCCAAAATATTTTTGTGTAAGTTGATATTAATCCCATGGCGAAGAACAAAAAAAACGAAATCGCTTCTTTTTAGCATCTTACATAGTATAGCCCCCATGATAATTTTGAAAAGAAAACAATAACTAAAAATTTAACGATTCTAAAGAAGTTTCTATTGTTCTTTGAGTAAATGAAACTGTATTTTACAATATGGAAATGTTTTAATGAACAGTTGTGAACAGTACTTGGTACAATCATTACCACACACAAAGACGAAGCAATGCGAAGAAAAACAAAAGACAGTCACGATGCTTCCCATAGACTATACACATATCATAGATAGAAAGTATCTACATTGCTTGTCTATTAACAGTTTCACTTTGATATATACTTTTTACTCACAAAAGTTTCATTTTTACCCCCCAAAATTTAATTTTACCCCATTTGGGGTAATTTACCCCGGTTCTCCGACCGCTGTTTTAGACAGAGCTAACACGATTTAAAAACTGAATAGGTGTTGCCTGCGTTCCGATGATGTAATTGAAACTTTAAATGTTGTTTTGGTCGTGAAAAGATGAATTGTTTTTTGTCCACTAATGTAGCGGTTACGCGCCTGTCATATTGCGTACAAGAAACGAACTACATCACGTAACATCACCTTCACCACTTTTATCCATACATAATCTTGCAAAATAGTCTTTTGATGTTTTGGGAGGTTTAACGACATTTTTTTTTTTTTTTTTCCTTCCTAAGCTGATAGCCCTAGCGGCTATGTCAGCGTAACCCTAACTTTAGTAGGTGAGCTCACGGGGCTCAAACCTGACGATGTTGCTAACACGAACCCTAGCAAGAGCCGTGCTTCGCAGAATCTACCACCGGATCGGAAACGCGATCCACTGAGAAGATCCGGCGAGAAACTCTAACGACAAAAGGAAAATCTTCTACCGTGCGGGTGAAATTGCTCGACTGACCGATGGTTCGATTATTGTTGTTTGGAACTTGTATGCAAGCTTAACTTAAAAAAATTATAAGCGATATTCAGGCATGGGTCGAATATCTTGTGCTGTAAGATAACTACCGCCATAATGTAGATATTCCATTTGTTCTGGTTGTTTCTTTGTCATTTGTATTTGTAATTCAAGGCTATGTGCCTCAGTCAATCTTTTCATAGTAACATGCGTTGTATTGATTCGAGATATCATGATATATTTTATTTATTTATTGCTTAGATGGGTTGACGAGCTCACAGCCCACCTGGTGCTAAGTGGTTATTGGAATCCATAGACATCTACAACGTAAATGCGCCACCCACCTTGTGACATAAGTTCTAAGGTCTGAGTATAGTTATAACGGCTGCCCCACCCTTCAAACCGAAACGCATTATTGCTTCACGGCAGAAATAGACAGGGTGGTGGTACCTACCCGCGCGGACTCACAAGAGGTCCTACCACCAGTAAATATGAATTATAATGAATATAACAACAACGAGACTGTTTAAAAAGGGGTGCATGGCAATCTTAAAAAAAAACACTGAAATCGATTTCTCAACAGTATTTCTATCAAATTTTTCATTTACTTACAACTGCCATTAACGCGCTCCTCATTTCGTAAACCCATACGTTATCGCAGTTCGAGCCGAAGCCATGTACTATGATTCTGGTGGGTCTGTCAGGATCGAAGGCCCGTTCAGCCCAGCCCCATGCCGCTGACATGTTGCCGGCGGAAACTGCCAAAAGCGGTTGGTCGCCTCTGTTTAAAAAATAAAGTGACTCTTTTGAATTTAACATTTTCACCAGAGTAATACAGACTTACGTCATAGATATATATATAATTGTTGCATCGACCAAAAAAGTTTTGTCAAGCCGTGCACTTATAAAGATCTCTCTACTAAATCGATTAGAGCTTGTCTGGATCAGTGATTTTCATACCGGTTTCAATACGTTGAACTGCCGCTAGTTTTGATTGACTCAAGTGATTAATGAAAAAGCAATCGTTTTTTATCGAACAAGATGGAGTCGAGATGACATTTTTTTTTAATAATAATAATAATTAAATTCATGCGCTTGACCTAGCCGACTAAATATTTTTAATACAAGTTTCTCACTGTCGAGACGACATATATTTTTTTAATAACAATAATTGGATACATGCCTTGATTTTGCCGACTGAATAGGTGAAAAGTATGTTTTTTATGAATATCATTTCAATTTTTAATACAAGTTTGTAACGTACATCACTCAAAATCGTTTGGAAAATTACTCGATTCGAAATCGATATTAAGTTTATTGACAGCGATGTAGCCGTTAGGAACCGTAAAAGATCGATTAGATCGACTACCTGTGGAATGTAATTATGCTGTGCGGGTGAAATTGCTGTCGTAAATTACCTGCTGACCGTGGAGTACATCAAGAAATGTGTGTTGACCTCTTGCGGGGAACTGGGCAAGGTCTCCAAGTACGCGAAAGGTCCTGCATCTTCGAAGCAGCCGAATTCTCCATAACACACGCTCCCTTGTGACCTCTTCGTTCTGTAATAATCAAGGGGAATGCCTACCGAGATCACTTAAAGCAGTTTTTTTTTAGATGGATGGACGAGCTCACAGCCTCTTAAAAACAAACACGTAAGTACAAGAATTCTTAACACTAGTATAATAATATACATGGCTTTTTATGAGGTATACAATACCAATATTCCCTGACTTTTATGCTAGGAAAACCTGTGTTACAAAAGCCAGTGGTTCAGTGCTAGGTCACCAAGTAAGTAAGTTAACCAGTAAGAGCGATCTGTAAGAATATAGTACGTATTTATATCGCAGATAAATATCGTTGTCGTGTAAACATATTAATAACCGCGTTTTTATATCGCGCAACAATAATGCGTTGTGGCTTGTAGGACAGCCGTTACAAATGAGACCTCATGTCTGAAAGTTGGCGAATCTATACTAATATTATAAAGAGGAAAGATTTGTTTGTTTGTTTGTTTCGAATAGGCTCCGAAACTACTGGACCGATTTGAAAAATTCTTTTTCCATTAGAAGCCGACATTGTCCCTGATGAAGATGGGCTACTTTTTTAAAAAAAAATATATTTTATTTTTTTGGTTTCATGTGTGTTTTAATGTTTCCGAAGCGAAGCGAGGGCGGGTCGCTAGTAAATAATATTTATTCGTAGCATTTTTCCCTTCAAAGTTTCCAGTCCAATGGTAATTAATGACAATACTACAAAATACCAATGCTAATTCGCACTTTCCTTTGTTTATTGTCATCATGTTTTGGATTATTTCTATTTATGATTATTTTTAAAGCTTTCATATATTATACTAACTAGCACCTAATAGCTAGTACTACAAGAACTGTTTATTGCTTCCTTAATAGTTTCATTTTATGTTGTGCAATTCTGTGCTGCATTGCAAACTAATTTAGAAGACAATAATGAACTGTTTAAATTGAAAAATAATCAATTCGCAATCATAGCATTATTTAATCACAAAATAAAGAAACTGCGGAAAGTTTATCCAAGTGAAACCGGCAGTGAAAGCGCGATCGCTTGTTTTTCTTTTATCTGCTTAAGTTAACAATAAAGCTATTGCAGCGATTGTATGTAAAGCGGCTTTTTTAACTTAAGCATCAACAAACTAAGTTTTACGAGTTCATTTTACTTCATTCGGGAAAAAAAGTAGTGAAATATAATACAACTAGCAAAAGCCCGCGACTCCGTCCGTGTGGAATAGTTACTTTGCCATAACGCTAAATGTTACCCCCACTTCATTTACGTAGAAAGTGAAAATATTTTTGAATTATAGAATGTTAAGGAGCTATTTAAACCCCTATTTCGAAACATTCCTTATTGGTGCTCCACTTGTATTGTGCCTTACCGTGATGTTATATAGCCTATAGCCTTCCTCAATAAATGGGTAATCTAACACTAAAGAATTTTTCAAATCGGACCTGAGTATTTCCTGAGATTAGCGCGTTCACACAAACAAACCCTTCAGCTTTATAATATTAGTATAGATTCCTTTACCATCCAGTACGCGGAACTAAAAAAGTAATACCACAGCGTTTTATTAACGTAAGTTTAACATTATAAATCAATGGCGGATCCAGGGGGGGGGGGGGTCATGGGGGTCATGACCACCCCCTCAGCTGGTTCCAGGACTTAGATGGACCACTAATTGAATATAATGACTTTATTTATATATTTTGTCAACATACAGATTTTATGTAACTACATACCTTCAATATTTAATTAATTTAATATAATATAATAGCTTTGTATAATGGCAAACGTTTGGGAACGAACGCATCTAAATTTGACTATGTGACCCCCTCCTGGCGCCAAAGCTGGATCCGCCCTTGTTATAAATACATTAACAGACCCCTACCGTGGCAGTCGGGTACATGTTGAGAATTACGTATACTAAAAGTTTCCAAGTCACTAAAAATTGATCAGTAGCCAAACGGATACAGTGCTCATAATATGATGTCAGACCACGAGACAGCTCATTGTATTTAATTTAAATCTAAACACATAATCGTAAATGACAATTTAAGTTAACAAATAAAACATCGGTGCTAAAAGTGCTTAACTAAAATACCGCATTACGCATGTCGCCTTTTCGCATTAAAAGTGTACAATTTCCAAAAATATTCGAAATTGAGTTAAAATGTGGAATCATGCGGTATCACCAGTATTTTTCTCATAAATATTGCTAAAAGAGCGTAGTTTAGTTATAGTTTTAGTTTTTTTTAGTTTACCTATATTTTGACTGCTGTTAACAAAATACATAATTTTATCTTACTTTAAGAGACAGATAATGGAACTGGTAAAAACTAAAAAATAAATGTTGCAAAGATGATTAATATTAAAAATATCATATTATTATGTTAAACCTTTAAAACACTCTCCTGTTAAATTTAGTAAGTTTTGAGATTATACAGTTTTAATGCGAGAAGACGATGTGTGAAATTCAATTAACTGTGAATCGTTTACCTAGTTCGAGCCCTTTTGCGTTCCCATTCCTGCATGGAGGCCTTCACGGCGGCAAGGATGTCGGCGTCTCGGCGCTCATCCTCGGCCTCTTGGGCAGCCGTGGCCGGGCGTCCTGCTCCACGCCATGCCTCTAATTCTGCGTCTACATAAAAAGTATTACTTAGACTTCTTATTTAATTGGTTGGTCGGTTGGTGAACTCTTATTAACTTCCTTTTTTTTTCTTTCTCTATCATGTAACTTAGCAATCTGTTTCTTCAAAAACAATAATCTAATTAGATGTCAGATATTCATCAGGAAAAGTTGAGTTAGTTGAGATGTTTTTCTTATTGCTTAGATGGGTGGACGAGCTCACAGCCCACCTGGTGTTAAGTGGTTATTGGAACCCATAGACATCTACAACGTAAATGCGCCACCCACCTTGAGATGTAAGTTCTAAGATCTCAGTAATGTTACAACGGCTTGCTCACCCTTCAAACTAAAACGCATTACTGTTTCACGGCAGAAATAGGCGGGGTGATGGTACCTACCTACCCGTGCGGACTCACAAGACGTCCTACTACCAGTAAAGACTTCTTATTTCATTGCATCTGTTGGTGAACTGTTATTAACTAACGTTGTTAATTAACTGAAACAATAAACATAACAACGTAAATGTCTCAATATATATGAGTTCGACGTTAATTGTATTGTATGTATAACAGCTACCCCATCCTTGAAACTAGAACCCGTAAAAGCTTTGCGACGGAACTAGACAGAATGGTGGTCCTTACCTACCCGTGCAGCTTTAAAGTACAAGATGTATATCGTCAATATAAATAACGCAAAATCATAACGTTTTATTCGATAAATTGCAAGCTAAATTTAATAATAGTTAGAGCTTATTAAAGTTACGTTATTGTTTTTACTCTCTTTGACTGATTGCTGTAAGGTTAAAGATATAAATAATACGTATATACACATAGTGTTCAGCCGGTTCCTGTAATAAAGAAAAATAGCCTTAGACCGTATAAGTTGTATGTGGAGTATCTTTGAAACAGAATGATGAATGATTTTCAAAAAATAAAAAAATAACTTCGTAGAAATGTATATAGACAACAGTTTATACTAACGTTCGTTGTTTACTCTTCAAACTCATAATACATAATTAGTCATAGGCTGTAGGTAGGTAATTCTATGCAATATAGGCACGCCATTAATAGCTGCGGGGTTAGTAATTCTACCTTAAGCTGTGTTTTGGCTCATATGTTTGTGCTTGAAGCTGAGTGCTATTACAAAATTTTAACGCCGTAAAACTATTTCAAGGTTACACAATTATTAGCGAGGTCGTACATGTGTAAACTATAGTCCGTATATAAACATTTACAAGGCTACTTTTAAATGCAGTATTCAAACAAATGAAAACAAACACATCAAACGGCTTTTGTTAAGTAAACTGCAAAGCTAATTAACAGTCTCCGCGAGACTTTGAAGAGTGAAACACAGTATTAATGATTTATCGCGAATAGGGCGGTGACAGTGTCCTAAATACGACCGGTGTCCGGGTTAGCTGTCAATGGTTTTTTCGCCGGTGACCTTAATCGGAGCGTAGGGCTGTGCCGCTTATGTGGCCTAGAATGGAGGAAAGCAGGCCGTTCCCATTTATCGAATGATGAGAAACTCTCAAGCTACTTATACCAGTCATGACTACTCCTTGATGGCTCTTTGAACTGCTTTTTTTATTTTTTATTTTTTTATTGCGTAGATGCGTGGACGAGCTCACAGCCCACCTGGTGTTAAGTGGTTACTGGAGCCCATAGGCAACCACAACGTAAATGCGCCACCCACCTTGAGATATAAGTTCTAAGGTCTCAGTATAGTTACAACTCAGTATAGTAGTTGCTTTAAAGATTAATGTATATTTATCTTGATTCTATGAGTAACGTATAAAGTATTAGTTTGACTTATTGTATTTTTTATTAGGTAACATCAGATACAAATATAGGAAGAAACGTATTTTGTTAACAAGAAAAGCAAAGTTACGTAATCATCGTGTGGTAACTCGAATGTGTGACACTATTTTAACGTAATCATCATGGTTGTGATGTTTGCAACGAGATGTATCTGGATTTGCACTGGTTGAGATACGTTTGAGGATATGACTTTAAACCAACGTTGAATTGTAAATGTTAAATTCATATGTGGGGTATCGATTATATTAGCGCAAGGATTGTGCGAATATTAATCAGATAGAAACATCGCAAGACGGCTGCTGAAGACCGGTGGCGAGCCTTGGAGAAGGCATAGGTCCAACAGTTTTTTTATTTTTATTTATTGATGCACAAAACAAATTATAATCGTTAGAGTACATATTAGCTAAATCGTACAAGTAGTACTTAGATCTAATCTGGATTGCAATCTAAATAGTATGTGCACTCAGCAAAAAGATATTAATGTGCATAGCTTTGGCTATTCAAAACACAATTGAAATTACAGTTGTATGTGCTGAGAAAAAAAAAGGTACCAACGTGTCTGTGTAGCCCGAATAAGTAATGTGCCTGGAGAATCATTATCCAGTTTGAAGTTTACGAGTAGAACAAGCTAGTCAATACGGCTAGCCAATACAGTTGAAAGTTTACGATTTCCATAAGAGACTGAGTTTCAGTAACTTTCTAAAATACAGATAGTATTTCGGGAGTGGTAGACATAGTTAAAATTACTTTTAATCTCGTATTTATTATGAGCTGTTAAGGATCTGAAATGAAATAATGATAATATCAAGCGCGATATTAAACCGTAGAAGTGGTTTATTGTAATACCATACATATAAATAACATCAATTAGGCCCAGTTTTGTGAGGCCATTTAAACAAACAAAAAACTTGAAGATATGGTTTCGATTTTCAAGCTTTGAAATGTTCTTATTTGCGCAATAACTGATTGCAACTACAGCATTCACTTAATGATCGCACGCTCCAATAGGTTTCAGTACCAGCCAGTACCCACTGACCATTTCTAAATGGCTGTGTTACGATTCGTATTCGGCAAACGGATAGCCGACTATTTGTATTTGATTTTACTAAATTTAATAGAGCAACCAACAGGCAGAGGTGGCTTGTTGGTAAACGACTGATCCTAATTGCATGATCACCTTCTTTTCAACATAGTTTTGAACTTACTTACACGCCTGTGACGTCGCTTCTTTGGGATCCAATAAATCCTCCTTGAAGGCGTAGGAATTTCAAAAATGGATCACCAAAGAACGTAATTTTCAATTTTGAATTCATGCACACCTCGTTTGCATTCCCGCCTTGAAGCCACCGGGCAACATGCAAAATCTACCGCTTTTTACTACTGTTATCGCCACCAATTTTTTTTCAATATTATGAAGCGTTTTCTTCTCTTTCGCCGCTGAGAAAACATTGAGAAAACCCTATCGCTGGAGAGGACGAGGACTTGGAGACCACCAGGTGAGGTCACAGGTATTGAGGTTGTGTTTAACCATTTACGCCGCGCCGCTAAATATCTCTACCACCGACGCATTGAATCGCATAATTTGAACCGTTTTCTAACCGCACAAATGGTGTATAGCTATTTAAGCACCACACTATTAATATGTAACAGCACTATTCATAAAAAGATTAGTTTTCAATATGTCTTAACTGTACAATTCCAGTTAAAGCTCCCTTTGGAATATGTGTTTTTTTCAATTAACTATATGGACAACCTCATTTTTCACCTGATGTTAGGTGGTTGTTTATTAGAGCCCGTAGACAACAAACACAAGATCGAAGTATATAGTAAATTTTCTATTTTCAACTATTTGGACTCATTACACATATTACGTAAGAAACAAGAGTCGGAATTAGAGAGATAGTGACTCGGTACAGAGTCAATTGCTTTAATCTATCAAAGTGAGAACATAATGAAGGTTTCTTTAACCCGGGGTCGGTGATGGGATTTTTTTTATTTTTTTTATTTCTTAGATTAGATGGGTGGCCGAGCTCACAGCCCACCTGGTGTTAAGTGGTTACTGGAGCCCATAGACATCTACAACGTAAATGCGCCACCCACCTTGTGATATAAGTCAATTGATGCAACACAATACCTGAATGCTTCCCAGTAAAAAGATATACCGATCATTGGTAAAATGTTTAAGATTTACTTACACTTAGCAAGGACATATGTGAGGAGAGTGATCAGTAAGGCGAGCGACCGCCAGACGTGCGTCGCCATCCATGCGGCCCGGCATCCACGATAACCTGATAGACAAAAAAAATTAAATTGTATATTATATGTATTATATGTATATATTTGTACTGGTGGTAGGATCTCTTGTGAGTCCGCACGGGTAGGTACCACCACCCTGCTTATATATGCCGTGAAGCAGTAATGCGTTTCGGTTTGAAGCACAGATCATAGAAACCCTGTTTCTATAATCTGTGGTTTGAAGGGTGGGGCAGCCGTTGTAACTATACTGAGATCTTAGAACTTATATCTCAAGGTGGGTGGCGCATTTACGTTGTAGATGTCCATGGGCTCCAGTAATCACTTAACACGAGATGGGCTGTGAGCTCGTCCACCCAACAAAGCCATAAAAAAAACTAAAAATATTAAATAAACTTCATTAAATAAAAACTACATTACTACTTTTCATACCATGGTTTTTTTTTCTCAGAAATCTCCATTCGATATTTGAAAACTAAAAGCTTAAAGCTTATTATGACATTCCAAGTACCCGTTTCATCAACCATTCTAATCCAAGTAGGTTTTCATAAGCGCTTTCGCGTAAATTCCCTAACAAGCAATCGAAGAGAAACTCAGAGCTGGAGAATGATTATAAAAATCTAAAATATTTTAATCCAGTACACGAACCGACGATAAGCTAGAAGACACACACAGAAATGCAAACCATTTGGTTTGGTCTTATTAAAATTTAACATCTCCCGATTTCCAAAATGACTCTTTAAATAGTAATAATACACATTCCAGAAGTCTCAACGTAAAATTTCGGCGTCATGCAGATCGAGGGACAGAAGGTAATTATTAGGGTACCTTTTTTATGTCGACTAAAAATAACTAATGAATATAACAAATTAACAGCATATATTTGTAAGAAAAATATACATACAGCTACATACTCGTAGTAAAGAAGAAAAAGTTACATACTAAGAAAATTATTAAAGTTGAATTTTTATTTTATAATGTATCACAAAAACTTTGCAAATCTTAATAAGCAGCAGATGTACAAATATTGTCAAAAATTTACATAATTTTGTGTTCAGATCTATCCATATGCATCGCAATTTAACTACATACCAACCTCCGTATAATGATTGCAACAAAAGAAAAACAAAGCAGTTATTTATAGTTGACAGAATCAAGGCGTTAATTATATTTTTGACAATGGCTATTCGCACGCATACTTACGGATCTTTAATTATGCCATTAGCACACATTTCCTGGTACATTTATCAATTTTAATTCCACTGTATCGTTTTATAAAATTAAAACACGCTGCTTCGTACTGAGACCGTAACGTACAATGGAAACGAACCGACTAAAACCCATAGAGAAACACAGACTGCATACAAATTAATTTACTGTCGCGAAACAAAACGTTATCTATAAGAAAATTAAACAATGAACACAAAGATACATGTATTCTAACGTTACATATGATTTACTCTTGTGCAAGCGTCCAATTTTTGAGATATCCGTGCTTCCTTTATTGCAATAGAAGCGTAAATCGTTTGCAAATATGTGAGTATATTACTGAAAGTAGGTCATATTGTAAGCCTGTACGGATAGGTGGGACCATTCCGCCTAGTTCGGTTGCGAAGTAATCCTACGTTTTGGTTTAAAAGATAGGGCAGACGTTCAAGAATATAAGTGACCTTTCAAGCTCTATGATATAAGTATCTTATAATCTCAGATAAATGAGATTTTAAGGCGTGTGGTGCCTTCACATTATTTAACGCCAGATGAGCTCTTCCTACACCAAAAAGAACTCATTTATTGCTGTAGATGAAACAAAAGAGCTCACAGCTTTAGCTTGATTAGAGGTGTTAAGCGCAAACGCACTTCCAGTAAACTGAAATAAAGTATTCCGACATATCCGCGACACCCAAAAGTTGTAACAGGAAACAATAAAAACGATTTTAAGCGGCACTTTCGTTGTTCTCTTTATCGTTAATTTATTGAATGTTATAACATGATTAGATCGAAACGGATGTTATAATCATAATAATAATTAAACTGTCAAAGCAAAATTTGCAATGACCTCAAACACACATTTTTACAAAAACGAATTATTCACACTACAGTGATTTCCTACATAAAAATTGTAATTAATATCGTTGAATTAAAAGACATTAATAAGTCGTCAACCTACATTATTTACTGACAGCGGCATCAAATTTTATTCACCTATTTGAACGATCAATCGATTATACTTTTAAATTATGTTCGTATACAAAGAGTTTCGCGTGTCAGAGATCCACGTAATTAAACAATGCTTTTAACGGTTTGAATAGCGGTACCCGAATGTAATACTTTATAGTTTTTGAGTACACGGCTTTACCGAATTTTTTTTTATGTTTTAGTGTCACAAACGAATTCACGGTCGAACCGGTGTCGAACACCGGAACTCATAGATAAACGATAACGTGAACGTCGCCGCCCATCTAGAAGCGACATCGAAGTCTAACGGAGTTTAACCGTTTCCTTCCGCTTTAAAAGGTGGAAGTCCACAACACTGGTGGTAGGACCTTTTGTGAGTCCGCGCGGGTAGGAGCCACCACGCTGCCTATTTCCGCCGTGAAGCAGTAATGCGTTTCGGTTTGAAGGGCAGGGCAGCCGTTGTAACTGTACTGAGACCTTAGAACTTATGTCTCAAGGTGGGTGGCGCATTTACGTTGTAGATGTCTATAGGCTCCAGTAACCACTTAACACGAGGTGGGCTGTGAGCTCGTCCATACATCTAAGCAATAAAAAAAAAACATTCTCTACTCTAGTACAGAAGCAATAAATCGAATGAGTTTTCTCGCTTGATGGCAAACTAGATATCGCGTTTACAAATTTCATTAATCTTAAAGCCAATTCTAAAGATTTAATTTCCTAGAAGGAGCACGCTAGGGAGCATTGGAATTTAAACTGAACTGCCATTTCGAGGATATTATAGAGTACGATGATTTCTCCCGCCCAAAGATTGGACGTGTTATAAAAGCTCACTTATGCCGAACTTGTTATGGCAATGAAATATCCCTTAACGGATAAGTTTTGAGAAATATCTAAATAAAATTAATTTTTGTGCAAACATTTTTCTTGTGCTTGATTTTAAAAGAAAAAAATACTATTGATTGACAAAATACGTAATCCTAATTACGTTAAAATCGTCAAGAGACCTTCCGTGAGTTCGTCCATTTTTAACATGCTTTTATCCTCTACTTGACTGGAATTAACTCTAATTCTATTTTTTTACTGGTGGTAAGACCTCTTGTGAGTCCGCGTGGGTAGTGGGTAGGTACCACCACCTTGCCTATTTCTTCCGTGAAGCAGTAATGCGTTTCGGTTTGAAGGGTGGGGCAGCCGTTGTAATTACATATACTGAGACCTTAGAACTTATATCTCAAGGTGGGTGGCGCGTTTATGTTGTAGATGTCTATGGGCTCCAGTAACCACTTAGCACCAGATGGGCTGTGAGCTCGTCCATCCGTCTAAGCAATAAAAAAAAAATTGGCAGTGTCTACTTCTAATATACCCTGTATACAATTTCCGTATTAGTATTTAGTTTGACAATGATTTCACCCTTTTAACTCAGACCGCATATGTATAATTCTCGCATTGAAATTTAATTTGATTGATTTCGGTGCATTAAAAAAACATTTATTTTGTAGAAAAACATAATAATTCATTACGAAACTCGATGAATGAGTTCCATTTCAAGCTTTCTATCCGATGCATTTATATTTGAATCAATATTTAATGTTGCATAAATTTCATTTAAAATTGAATTTTATTATAAGAGTAATTCCTTCAAAATGAGGTTTTTACAAGCTAAATAGAGGTCCCATCACAATTACAGAATTTGGGCCGGTTTAGTTGGATGTATTTATGTCATAACCTAGTATTTTTATTAGTGTTATTAATGATTTTGATGGCAACGGTTCAATGACGTTCGCTAATTAAGTACCTGATATCGTACAATATTCAATTTTTGAGAGATTTTTTAAGACTTATTCGAACATTATTCCAATCGTTCCTTTAATTGATTTTTAAAAAAATACTATCAGATTTCGATTAATTTGCCTAGTAAAGATAGCGTTTTATAGGTAGGTATACGAGTATTACAGTTTATCATTGATGGGTGGTAGACCTAATAAGTTACTAGTCTATTATGAGTGTGCTTTGTTTCGCAAGATCGAGGTCTCCTTTCAAACCGGAACCTCAAGATGTCTCCTATCAGAAATAGGGAGGTTGAAGGATGACGTCCCTGGGGTCTACCCTGGACCGAGTGTGGTATGGTTGCCACAGTCGCTTTATGAAGTGTAAATAAAATTAAATTGGAATGTGAAATTACACCAGACCAGAGTTTTTTACGCTGTTGACACACACGCACACTAACAAATTAACCTTTTTTTTTATTGCCTATATTTGTGGACGAGCTCACAGCCCACCCGATGTTAAGTGGTTACTGGAACCCATAGACATCTACAACGTAAATGCGCCACACAAATTGAGATAGTAGTTCTAAGGTCTCAATATAGTTACAACGGCTGCCCCACCCTTCAAACCTGTTGCGATTACGTATTAAATGCAGAACACTTTATGCGAAACGATTTAAGATTAAATAAACTACAAAATGAACGGGTAACAAGTTTGCCTTAGAATGTTTCAGTTGGTTATGTACTCGGGTAATGAATTGCACGAGCCACTTTCAAAGACATTCACTTACGTTGCGTATACTTTGTTGTTTTATTTGTGCTATCGGTATTGGGAGTTCGAGTTTTTTTTTTTTTTATAGCTTTGATGGGTGGACGAGCTCACAGCCCACCTGATGTTAAGTGGTTACTGGAGCCCATGGACATCTACAATGTAAATGCGCCACCCACCTTGAGATATAAGTTCTAAGATCTCAGGTATAGTTACAACGGCTGCCCCACCCTTCAAACCGAAACGCATTACTGCTTCACGGCAGAAATAGGCAGGGCGGTGGTACCTACCCGCGCGGACTCACAAGCGGTCCTACCACCAGTAAAAA